TGTCAGTAAAGCAAACTCATAAGCCTTACCAAAGAAGGGGTTTCATGGAGCGCGAAAAGCGAGGACATCTTTGTTAAGGACATTGGCTGGTACAGTACAGCTACTCGACCGCCTACGATAAAGACCAGATGTTGTAGGTCTGACGCACGTTCATGGGTAGCCTTACGACGGAAATTCATGTTCGCTTTCTGAAATCTTTAAATGCTCTGGAAAGCTTTCCAAGGCTTTCGAAGGCTTCAAAAAACATCAGGTTACGATCTTAAACATAGGACGTAATACGAGTCACAGTAGACATAAAACTTTTTTGCCGTCCGTGCTACTGCCTACATATGTGCTGCCAATCATCCTGTATACCCTGACTGCTATCTTCACATTTCAAACAAAAGCTAAAGTCATGCTTGCTAATTACATATTTCGAGTAGTGGATGTAAGGAACAACTCATGCCGACAAGAGCAATGTCAGGTGACGACGCGCTCTATAATTTCTTTTAAACGTCACATTGCTCCTACTCTCCTTTCTACTCCTTCTGTTCATCGACAACCTGGTTGTTGCGGCTGTGCCCCTTGGCCGTCACTGCCACTTCTTTCTTTGAATCGGCCGCTGTGGCATATTTTGACTTACTTGGAGTGAACTTGTAGCGATTTCCATGGTATCTGAATTGGTGCCCTGGAAAAACTTTCCGAAGCACCGTTCATGCATGAAATCATAAGAGATTTTTGGTGTTACTCACACTTTCGGAAATGTTCCCACTCGACTCTTGCCCCTCATGCATATGGTACACCGATAAGAGGCAAGCTTCAGTGAACAGAAAAGAACGAAACTCATCGTGATCGCCAAGTAGCGAGATGGGACGAGTGTGTGCATGGAGCCTGGAGCGTCTACAATGTGCAGGTGTTATCGGTGTGAAGCATGGCCCTTGAGAGATTGTCATCCATTGTTCGCGATCCTTGTGCAACATCGGATGGTCAAACAGGTCAAACTGTGACGCCTACAAAAGAACTGGACTCGACTGCGCATTTCCCTTTCTCTTTCTTCTTCCTCACTGTCGAAAGATCTTTTCCACCTTTTCCACTTCATTGAACGATACCAATAAAAACCACTTTTCAGCTTCTTTATTGAAGGGTTGCCTTCTGCTACTTGATCCGAGTGGGTGTACGTGCAGAATCAGTATTCGTTATTGTTTTCGGCGTACATTTGCGATTTTCATTAGGATCTTTGTGGCGCAGTGCACGAGTCGCTATTGCAGCGAGCCCTATCCGTGAGCGCACTACAAGCCGTAAAGTTCTTTACCGCTGTGCACTCACAAAGTAAGTATACACGTAATTCCCCCCTTGACAAACTACTCTCACCCATCTTCTTCTATTTGTAGTGATTTGTTATTGGGAGGTGTAGGTGAGCGCACTACAAGCCGTAAAGTTCTTTACCGCTGTGCACTCACAAAGTAAGTATACACGTAATTCCCCCCTTGACAAACTACTCTCACCCATCTTCTTCTATTTGTAGTGATTTGTTATTGGGAGGTGTAGGTTCCTTTGGAACTGAGGCTTGTGGAGACCAAGGGAGAGCAACCTCTCCTTTGAGGAACGAAGGATTCATATACAAGCCGGTCATTTGCAAGCAACGATAAAAAACGTGTCTTCTTCTGTCTTTGTGTACAATAAATTTTATTGATTTCGTTTCTACTCTCTTGAAGAAGTGTTTGTAACTATCCTGAGCATGGGCTGATCAATTGACTATTTATAATAAATGCTTTTCGAGGAGCAGCTTGCTGCAGAAAACGAGACCAGCCTCTCTATGAATGAAAATTATGAATTGTGCATTTACCGGTGTGGTTCCGTGAACAGAGCGATCCATTCAGTGATTATACAACCAGAAGTGCGATCTCTGGCGTGCCGGTGGAGATTCTTTTGGAGATATTAGTTTTATAAGTAGCTTTTTGACGCCATGATTCCTTCCCAATTTATATTTGATAACAAACATTCTGATACTCAAGTCGGTATCATGGAGCAATATATCATGTATTGATACTAAGCAATGTGTCCAATCAACTTGAGTAGCTCCTTTTTCTTAGCCCCATTTGCTCACATTTGGAGCACTGTATAACATCTACAAATAATAAAAACAATCAATGAATTAATGTGAGGTAGTATATATGAAAAATGTAATTAGCTAATAATTCATGCCAACTTACATATTTATGAGAATGTCAATAACCTGAAGATTGATGTTATCTTTGTTGCATTTTAGTTCTTCTGACGAGGTATTATTGGCCTATAATAGAAATAAAATATTAGAAATAAAATATCCATATGAGAAAATAGAAAATATCAATTTAATAATAAAATATTTCTTTATATTTATATTATAAAAGAAAGTAAAACATTTGTATTTAATGTCTATGAACTATCTTCTGAATCAGCCAAACAAATTAACTTATTAATCTCAAACGACATTTGATTTGTCTCTATAAATAAGATGCCTAAAACAAAGTAGCCTAGCCACTGAAGGCCTCCCGTACAACATCTTATCTCTCCTCTTCCACTATGACGACTTTTCGATTTCATCACCAACGTCTACAACGCCGCCTACATCATGCCATATTTTCTCGGTCTTGGTCAGAAACGTGTTTGTGCCTCCTCCCGAAGCAAGGGGATTTGACCTCCTTGTCAAATTGGAGACTTACAGTATCTAAACACGGATGTCAAAATACTCACCAGGCTTCTCAATGCATAAGTTGTGGAAGTCAGTCAACGAATCATCAACGAATATCAAACTGGGTCTCTACATGGTCGCTATATAGGTAACAATGGGCTTGCAGCCAGACTAACAATTGAACATGCACAACACAATCGCTCTCCCGGGATAGCACTGGCTCTGGACATGGCCAAGGCGTACGACCGGGTCTGCCAACCATATCTTGAAAATCTCGTCATCAATATTAATGGAGCCATCTCAGAACTAATACAACAAACCCGTGGTGTGCGTCAAGGCGACCCCATCTCACCGGTTCTCTTCAAATTATCCCTCTAACCACTAATAGTAAGCGTTTCACAGCACCCTCAGATAACAGGCTATCAGATCCCATCTCAGCAGGTGGCAGGTCCCACCCAACAGCTTACTCTAAAAGTCCTCACATAGCGGATGATTGCTCGCTACATACTCCTACACTATTGTCAAGATCTACAGCACATAGTGAGCCTACTTTATATTTACTCAGCGGCCTCTAATGCTAAGATCAACACCGAAAAAACACACGCCCTATCGCTCTCCGGCCAGCATTCGCCGCAATGGCAACAACATCTAGCTGGATACATTTTTTTCTCCTGGTATGCCAACAGCATGTCCATGCATTTATATGTCTCGGCTTTCCCCTTTATCACAACCCACGGCAGCGCGATCAATACTGGTAAGATCGTCAGCAAAATTAATACTGGGTGTTAGCTACATTTATTACGATCCCTGTCTATACGAGGACGAGCTACCATTTTGAATGTATTGTTACTATCAGAACTCTGGTATGTCGTACGAGCTTGCCCTGCACCTGCGCACATATTGGATAAAATCCGCTCGAAATGCCAACCTTTCTTGACTAGTAGGATGTGACCAAAGGTTTCATTCCAACTCGAAACGTAAACATGGTGGTCTTTCGATACTCCACCCAGCAGCACAACAATATGCCCTCCAATTGAGATGGTGTCAGCCTATATTCACTCTAGATCATTCCCACCACTCCTTCGCACACAAGTGGTTACTAGCTGTCGTCCAAGATATGGGCTGTCACGGCGACCCAGCCATGGGGGTTACTCTCTCGGGCTCTCCGACCAACGGGGATAACTAAGAAGGTTTCCACGCTTCGAAGAGTATGTGACACAATTGATTTCTTATCCTTTCATCCCTCTACCAAAACATAATTATCGACTGCTACCGTTCTGCAAATGCATATATTGGACATTATGGAGCCTAGCTGCAGACCCATCACCGCATTTCTTGATGACATAATCGGCACTGTCCAGCGTCGTCCAATACGGGTACAGGACGTTTTTGATATCAACCCCAACCAACAATGTCTGTGTTGAAAAAAAACACCCACAAATTAAGCAAACATCGTTATCTGACGTCGAAACTCATGCGTCACTTGGATCAGGGTATGCTCCAGTATCAACCATTCATCATCCGGTCATGCGTATCGTCACAATATTTTCCGGCTGAAATTGACCCACAGCTCGATGTGTTTAACATCTCTATGTACTGCAGCGATGAAAGCTAGAATCATCAATGAGCTGAATGGTAATAACTATGACGAATTCTAAAAACATTATAGTATAGTAGTATAGTAGAAGTTTATTTTGTTTTTAAAATTACAATGTTACTACTTACTACATGTATATGTATAACAGAAAACCACATATACAATATACAAGAAAAAACGAATTTCTTACTTTACCTGCTGTATGTTCCGTGTAATTTGGCTCACCATAGAGAAAACTCTTGTTCTGCCTGTCTTCTGAAGTAGGCTTTATTTCGGATAAATTATAACCAATGGTTGCGCAAGCACAAAGGGCGGCACCAGGGGTAGCATATTATGATTAAATATACCACCTTGCTCAATGCAGTGCATTCCACAAAAAAAAAGAAGCATCACATTCTCAGAATGCGTGGACATGAGCGTGTGGTTTTCAGCAGTAATTTTCTCTTCTTGTACAGTATAACTAGAATGTGTCACTACTGTCTGCAAGAAAAAAAAACTTTTTATTGTTCCACTATGTACCATGCAGTTATGTTACTTACTACAATATGTACGTGTGATGGTAACACAAAACGTCTACAGTTACTGCTTGAGCAGATAGAGAAATGCTATCGCATCCCTTTTACATGTGCGCAGCTATTTTCAGCGTTACACCTTGCTACTTGTGTCCACTTACACGAGCCAACGTCGACTGCATGCAAGAAGCAATGAAAAAAAGATGGAATTTTTTTTTGGAACGTTCAGGTTGTTCAACTTCTTTTCAATTTATATCTTTGGTTGATACCGCGTACTGTTATCTGACTATACGAATGCCCGCAACAAGCACCGTACTTGGGATTAATGTCACATTAATTGCTCTCGCTTGCGGAGCAACAATAGGCGCAGCTATTATGTGGTTCAAATCCGATTCGCATCAAAGAGTATACCCAAACATCATCATTACAGCACTCGTCATAATCATTGCGTCGGTTCTCCCGATTGCCGCACATTACAGTACTACAGCAATTGGATACGATCTTGAAGCATCAGCAACTTATCTCGACGACGCATTACCGCTGTTCACATGGTGGATTATGATTGATCTTCTCGGCCAAGTATCCTATCGACGCCTGCGAGACGAAAATGAAACCGGTTTGTTTGGCGCACAAATGACGCTTCAAAGAGGTCGATGGTATCTACTCGGCATTGTATTAATTACAACCGCTTGCGTCATCTTGGGAGTGCTTGTCGACGTTTATCCTGGCTTGACCCTTTTGAACTTTGCCGTCTTGGTATACTTTGGGTTCTTTTTACTATGGCTGTACGATCGCGGTACACAAGACATCCGACCCTTGTACGGTCGTCCTTTTTGGGCATTCGCGGTCCTGTTGGCTTGTAACACGCTCGGATCGTTCTTGTTGGCTGTCTTTTCCCTAGCGTACTTTGGTGGTCGCGAACTTGCCCAGACCATTGTCACAGTTGGGCTGATCAAATTTTGTGCAGTGTTTATTTTGATATTGGTCCTGGTGGCGTTCCCACGGTTTTGGTTGCCACATGTTAAAGGAACCGAGGTCCAGTACCAATTCAAACTCTCGTCAACCGCGCCTTCGTATAATGACAGCAACATTGGGGAAGTCAACAACAACAACTACAACAATAATAATAATAATAGTGAGATTGGAAACACTCAGCAACAGGACCAGAAGCAGAAGCAACCGGTTTAGACGCTACAGCAGCAATACCAGCCTCCACGACAGCACTTTTCTCCAGCCACAACAAGTCTCCAAACATTCGTGGGTACCCGATTGATAGTAAGTTGTAACGGACATGTTATAATGGATTGAAACGAGATACTAATCAGCTTTCTAACAAACGGCAGATGATATCATCTCCTCCGTGTAAAAAAAGCGGTGCCATCCTCAAATATATCTACTAATAGGCCTACTCTATCATCCATCTGTACATTTCACTTTTTCAAAAATCTGCTAAAATTTGGAATGAGTATTATGTTTAGTTTTTATTATTGATCGTTATTGAAATCATTCATAGAGAGAGGGTGCCCGCTATATTTAAATGGAGGATGGAAACGGAGGAGAGCTTTGAATGCACTGATAAAGTTCGCTTACGGGTTGGCTAATCCTTTTAAGGAAAGTGTTATTGTCCTTATTGAACAAGAAGCAGAACCGTTGTGGCGCATGCATCTACAGCAGGATATCAAAGCGATAGATATGTGGTACACTGTGATCGGATGGGTGGAGGAGCTCCATTGGAAAGTGAGTCCATCTACAACGTGATATGTGTTGGATTAATGGGAAATCTAACGCCAAAGATAGACCCTTTCACTGAGTGTATAGTATGATAGTAATGAGTAATCCGTAGGCAGGATATTCTAGTGTATGGAATGCTATGCCGAATGAGGACAGCAAAAAAGGTTAAACAATCAACCGATTGGTTCGATGACGATAACATCCTTGGTCTGAGTTAAAATGATTGGGAGAGTTGGAACCACGGCACAGCTGCAGACAAAAAAGAAAAAAGGCCCGCTCAACTTGTGTGAAGTGATCATTATCAAGCGATCTCTTCTTTGATACAATTCACAACATTTGTCATTGAGTGCTAGTAACAGTGGAAATATTCACCATTGTTTCCTCACTCGCGCTTCACACCTGATTTCTTTGTTCATCCACAACAAATTTCCATTTTTCTAAATTTAACCTGCACCCCCGACAACAAAAGCCGATCGCTCAAACCACAAATACACACTCCTTGTTGCCTCTTTGTATAATTCAGTAAAATCCCCTCCCCCCCCCTCCGCGTATACAAAGGAATCGGAAGAAGAAAAATATAGAAGCAACTTTAATATAACGGGAAAAAAGGGGTGCGACTTTTTTCGGTCAAGCCACTTTTTTTTTTAAAGAAGCATAAAAAAGAACGATCATGAATAGCTCCGCACCTGGCACACCTCGTTCGACGCATAGCCCGACGCGCGAACTGACGCCGTCATCATTAACTAACGGAGGAGGTAGCGGCAACGGCGGCGGGAGCAACGGTACTAACGGTTTATCTGTAAAAAGCTCCACCAAACCTTTTCGAACCACGGGCGAGTCCTTGGGGTCTTTAGTAGGTGCTTCGCTGTCCGTGGTCGGCGATAGCATCTATATCTTTGGCGGCTTTGACCAGTACACCGACGACGTCTTTAACGCCCTCTACAAACTCTCGTTGAAAACCCATCAATGGTCTCGCGTCATCTACACCAAAGGCCGACTGCCTGCAAAGCGCAACGACCATACGACGACGCTGTGGAAAAACCGAAACAAGCTGGTTGTGTTTGGTGGTAACGGCGAAGAGGATGGAAGATTTTTTGATGACGTTGCAGTGCTCGACCTGGATTCGTTGACATGGTGGCAGCCTGAAACATACGGCATCCGACCTGATGGACGCATGCGCCACTCGGCGACCATTTATGACGACAAGCTCTATATCGCCGGTGGATTATCGGCAACCGAGGGCACCTTTGCCGACACCTTGCTCGTGCTGGATCTCAATACTTGGGAATGGCAAGCTCCTATACCCTTTGTCCGTCGCTCGCAACATATCAGTTTCATGTACAACAAACGGCTTTACCTGTTTGGTGGATTTGAAGAAGACATGAGCCGATCCAACCATTTATCCTTCATCGACGTTGACCGACACGGCGTCACCCATCTCGAAATCGACTCTCCCTCTGCGCCATCCTTGACGGGCCAACGGTTTTCCCAGATCTGTGGCGATCAGCTGGTTGTGGCTGTTACCCACTCGCAGTCAACAGTGGCTGGTGATATCCCTGCTACAGGATTGTGGAGTTTGGATCTGACGTCGATGCAGTGGCAGCATCGAGACATGGGCTCCGTCTTTGAAGGCTACAACTGGCTAAGTTTTGCCATGGCCGAACACGACACGTCGTTTTACCTATGCGGCAACGATATTGACGAAGAACCCGACGATTACTATGCGTACTTGCTTCGCGTCGATTTGAAAGAGTATGGGATCATGCCAGTGCCGCCTCCTCAGCTCGGCACAGATCTGGTCGGACTGCTGATCCAACAATCCCAAAGCGCGGATTTTTCTATACGATCATCCAAAGACGAAGACGGCGGGCGATACATCCGGGCACATCGACTGGTCCTACTGGCACGTTGGCCACATTTCGCACATTTACTGAGTTCGGGCATGGCAGAATCCATATCCGACACGCTCACACTCCCCGAACCATTCTTTGTCTTGGAGGCGTTTGTTCGGTTCCTATACACAGACACATTGGATGACTTTTTACCCGCAGAGCTGATCGCCGACCTGTTGGTAATGGCCAATCTGTACCTACTTCCTCGACTCTTGGCCCTGTGCGTTCGACGGCTGCACAGCGATATGGATACGGAAAGCGTCAGCAAGATATTTCATTGTGCTGGAATGGCTGGTCAGCGAGGATTACAGCAAAACGCGCTGCATTTCATGTTTGAACGGTTTGGTTCGGTGGTGCGGACACAAGCATTCCGAAGCTTACCCCATGATGTCCTGTGCCAAATATGGGATGAAACACCAGTGAATGCCATTTTGGTTGGTGGTTACGGTGGTGGAAGTATTGCCATGGATTCGCGCAATGGAAGCCATCATAGAAACTCGGATGACGAGCGCGACGACGACGACGACGACGATGATGATGATGATGCTCGGCCGGACAGTCCAATGGAAGCTTGAAAAACACATATTTTGAACAAGCATCATTATACTTCGAGATCCATTCTCCCTACCTGATGTTTGCTCATACATAGGGCCACAAACATACGTACATGCGACCTCCATCCACCAGCTAACCAAACGGCAGCTACACCTTCTCTGCAAATTCCGCCTTTGGTACTTCTTCCATTTAATACATCATATCCACCGACCAACTCATCCAAAAGTGCCAGAAACTCTACCCAACTGTCAAAATCTCAAAACAAAAAAAGCATCCCTCCACTTTTCTCTTTTCCTACTTCTTTTTGTATTGTACATTTGATTTGCTCTCTTCCTTTCTCTATATATCTCTCCTCTTTATATATTGCCCGCCTCTTTCTTTTTTTTCCAACACAGTATTATATGATGTCCCACCAGGCTTCTTTGCTCTTTTTACTAGTCATCAAATTTATCATTGGTGCCACCAACTCAAATGACGTATCATAGTTCGGCAAGACAGTCTTAAGTTACTCAATACATATTTTAAATTGCTGTCTCTTACACATAAACAGTTTACTATCATTGCCCTGCTCCTCATATCATATATGTAAAAATGATTTATCATACAATGCAGGAGATATTTTAGTAACTGGGCTTTGTGTGCACTTTCTTTGTTCTTCCCCTATACTCGAGTGGACAGCATCTGCATTTATAAAGATACCATCCGCGAGATATCAAGCGGGCACAATTGTTTCCAGATACGCTTTTATATAGACGCGACATATAAGACTATTTAAATTGACTTTGATTGCAGCATCAAGCACGGCAGCTTGGTCGGTATATTCCCTCCTGACAGTGCCTCTTCTGATAATAAACTTGGAAAATCGAGTAAATGTTGTGTTACCTATTCTACTATTGGTTGCGAGATATTAAAAAGAGAAATGATTGCCGCCACCTACTCGTCAAGAATTTTGTTATTGTGTTTTCTCTCAGCTCCTATTCCGGCTGTTGGCAAGCGGCAAAACATTTGTCCTTTACGAAACTGGTAAACAACTTCTCACTTTTTCTCGCTTTCTTCCCCGACAAGCTTCGCGTATATTCATGATACCAACAACGTTGCTTAAGCGAGGATCCACACAATTACTGCCATCAGCTGGATCTTGTTTTCGGCCATCATCATGCCAACGACTGCAGCATCAGCAACAAGGGATACGTGTATACTCTCGACTACGCGGCAGCACACGTAAACGACCGGACCCCATTGTCTTTTCTGTTTCTCCTAACCGTACAGCTGGAAATGGCTTTGATCCACCTGTTCGATACCTGGGACCAGCTCTCTTTGGCCTTACAGCTTCAACTGCTGCATTCATAGTCGCAGCAGTCATTTACGATCGAAATCAAGTTACTTTCTGGCAGCGACTACGACAACGATCGTCCTGGTTTGGCAACAACGAGGAACTAACACTGGGTGAGTTCATTCAAGCCAAGCAAGCATGGATGCGCGAACGACGACAAGAAATGCTTGAGAAAGCACGACAACGACTTGAACAACTAGACATGTTACCACGAGACGTTGTGCGGGCATATTTGATCGTCGTTGACAAGTTGACCTCATTAACCGAGGCAGAAAAAACGCTGTGGACACTGATCGGTATCAATGTAGCTGTGTTTGGCTGCTGGCAATCCTTTCGCATGCTACCGTTCATGACCAAGTGGTTTACACATAACCCAGCAAATCGAAACTCGTTAACCTCCTCCATCACAATGGTGACAAGCTGCTTTTCACACCAAGAGGTGTTCCATTTGATGCTCAACATGATGGGTCTTTATTCGTTTGGTATGGTCATTCATCAACATCTCGGACGGGAACAGTTTGTTGCATCCTATCTAGCAACAGGTATCGGTGCCAATGTTGCCAGCCATGTCCTGGGTCTCGCCACGCGTCGTTTCCGTCCGGTGATGCCCAGCCTTGGTGCAAGTGGCGCTATCTATGGCTTGCTCGCTGGTACAGCTTATCTCTACCCCAATTCAAGCGTTTCACTGATATTCTTGCCGTTTATACCGATCAAGATGGGCTATGCGCTGCCAGCCATGGTGGGCTTTGACTTTGCTGGTATTTTGTTGGGATGGCGGAGGTTTGATCATTACGCACATTTGGCGGGTGCCGGTATAGGCTTGTACTATATGCATTACGGTCCTCACAACATTTGGCAACCGCTCGTACAAAAGGTCCATGAACTTCGTAGAAACAACGATAGTAAATCTAACTAGATACAAGATTAAGCTTAAATATAAATCGATAGAGCAACCCCTCTCCTTCATGATCATTGTATATAAATATACATTCTTTTTGTCATTTTCTTTGTAAAAATATAAAAAATTTGAAATAATAGAAATTTCGATCGGTTTATAGTACTGTTGACCCGTGTACATCAATCAACTTTTTCAAGCAAAAAGAAAGCCGGAACCGACAGTGTGAAGACGACCATGATAGTCTCTGAAGCGAGTGTTGAACAGATAGCTACGAGCGCCGACAGAGCCGGAGCCAAAACAACCATTCAAGCTATCGGGCCTCATTGGGTAAAGAGCTTTTTGTACGCCAACCAGGCGGGGTAGCGGATCTTCTCGCTCGCTTTATTCAACTTGTGGTAGCATTGGAAGCAAGAGCATCTCTTTTTTGAAATCTTGAGCATAGCTTCCACATACCATTAATCAAGCTCACAGCACATTTTACATGTGTTTACTAGTGCTAAAACTAGTCGCTACGACTGTGATGTGGCATAGTACAAACATTAACCGATCTCCGTGTCATAAATATCATTATGATGCCGATGACTTCCACCTTGCTGGGTTGAAATAAATAGATTATGCTTGTGGCAAGTAAGTGTTTGGAAGCTCAATCTGATGCTATAGACGCTGAATAAGGATAAACCCTATGGTGGGTCTAGTCGGTTGCCATGGAAACAGCGCTTATCAATATGCCAAATTAGCAACATTTATCATCAATAATGATAGGGCCTTTTCTTCATATGTTTTTAGGACTTATTGATATGTCTTCAATATGGAACTATGAACTAAAGTACCAGTACCTGTACGTAGTAAGGAAAAAAAGTTTGTCCTCACACCCCCGCTGTCAGTTTAATCAAAAAGATCGCGAGGTCACACAAACTCCTTTCCATTTGTGTGATATCCTGCCAAGCAACTCCGCCAGACTTTGTGTGTGCCTCGACGAATCCCAACGTTTTCCTCTACTTTGCATATACGGGAAAATGTCAGCTTCATCACGGTCGAGAGGTGGTGCCCGACTATTCGACCTTTCTTCCGATGTCAAGAAACTCTTGACGATTGACACATTTAAGGTATACAATTGTTACTGCTAAATTACTACTGAGTGCTATTGTAAAGCAAAAAGTGACTAGACTGAAAACTTGTGTCGGATGGTGGATGAAAAAAACTATTTATGCTAACAATTAATTACATTTGAAAATAAAGGGAAATGTGTCAACCGATGACTTTATGGAAAAAATATCGAGCGACTTAGTGAGCCAGTTGAAAGATCAAGCTGGTGCAGGTTCGTACACATCTTATCTTAAAAAGAACTCAACAAAAAAGTGTCAAAACTGAAGACTTGCCTTTCCTCTAGCTGCATTCGATCCAAAACCGTTCGTTCGAACCTTTGAGAATGTGCTTGAAGAACTAGTACAGCTTCGGACACGAGTACAGGAGCAGTGCGACGAACTAGAAAATTCAACACAAATTGTTGAGCATCAATATAAACAAGATATTGCGGATATGCAAAGCGCGTTCGAGGTAAAAAGTCAGATTACCAGCGAAGAGAGTGAAAAGAGAGGAATTGTACCGTTAACATATTGCTTTCCACGGTGAAAACAAAATATAGGATGTTTATCGCTCATACGATAGTTTAGAAAGTCATATCGGTGACGTTGGAAACACAGCAATTCGGATTGGTGAACAGCTCGAGACAATCGATAAACAACGGTCAAGAGCATCCGAAAGTCGCGACATTATCGAATACTTTATGGAGTTCCAAGAAGGCAATTCCGAACGATTAAGTCTGCTATGTGAAGGTGGCGATGAGGGTCAGCTTAAGGTAATGTTGGCTGGGGGATGTCAACAACACAATTAGCATCCATAAGTCTTGATAAACTAATTGGTGAGTAAGGGGGTATATAGGCTGCAATCATCTGCCGACGTCTCAATGCTGTTGCCAAGGAGGTGGATAATGATGTGAAGGTAATACTCTAAGAATCAAACCTCGTGTGATTAGCTACTGACTCTAAAAGATTCAAGTGAATATGAGAATCTGACAGCTTTTAACTTTGTTCATAACTTTTTATTATTTTTAAGGCTCGTATAGGCATCGAGAAGTTTTGTGAAAGCTTTGAAAAGGAGATGCTCGAAGATTTTGATCGGGCATACAAAGAAGGCGATCCGCGTGTCATGGCAGTAAGTTGGCTTTGTTTGTGTTTGTTTGTCTGTCTGTCTCGGACATCAGGCAACAACAACGACAATGCGAATATCCGTTTACATAGCTAACCTGTCTTTTATCTTTTCTTTATAATCCGGGACTCAGCATCGGGCAAAGGTTTTATTCGAGTTCAATGGTGGCGCTTCTTGCGTGCAGACCTATGTCAATCAGCACGAATTTTTCATATCCAATAAAAAGATTGAGGAAATGGAGGAACTACGGAGATCCGAAGAGTAAGTCTTAGCGCAAACACATCAACATAAACAATAACTATTATTTAGCAGCATGTGATGAATTGAGAAGACCTAATTCTATTTATTTTTGTGCTATATAGTAATTTCGATCTGTCAAATCCGAATATCCCACCTCCCGAGGTTGATACAAGTTTAGTGAAACTATACGATGATATCCGTATTACCGTGCGTAAAGAGGCAAACATCATTTCAGCCGTGTTCCCTCAGCCTGCCACAGTCATGCAAGTTTTTCTCCAACGCATTTTTGCTCAATCTGTAAGTTTTTATGCTTTTGTTTACTCATCGACCTCTCTGTGTACCAGAATGACGTCTTTTCCTTCATTTGATGAATGGCCACAGTAAATAGCCTCAAGTTACAACGCGGCACTAGTAGTATTACCTTTATTGCAATGTACTGATGGATATGTTTATTGTTTGTTGCCATCATCCATCTGTATCCGTATAGATCCTAAACCACGTCGAACTACTACTCTCACGAGCAGAACGCTATTCCCATCTGGCGTATTTGAGAACATTGGCATCCACTCATGCAGAGACCAAACGTCTGATAGATAACCTCAAGTTTTACTGCGACAAGGAAGCAAAGTTGACAGATGCTGCTGATGCAAGCGGGCTACTTACATCGGCATCGCCTGAGGAAGCGCTGGATCGCTGTATGGGCGACTTGTTTGTGCCCTATACCGAAGCCGATCGCTACTTGACACGCGAAAAACAGGCACTGAACGAGCTGTTTGGTCGAATTATCGCAGAGTTCTTAAACTACATGGTAAAGTTAAGAAACTTTCCGGGGGGAGAAGGACTGTGCATGCACACGCACGCTCGTTCGTTTTATAAGGAAAAAGAATATTAACTGGTCCCATGACCATCGACGTTCTCAAAATATCCATCATACAGCAAGAACGCAAAAAGAACTCTGCGCGAAACCAATCTGTGTTAACACGTACGCTCAACCAAATATCAGCATCCACTTCAGGTGCAATGTTATATCCAACTTCACCATCCACGCCTTCGGACCAACCAGCGGCGGCAACGTCGACCAATCCGTTCGAGCGCGGTTTTGACGGAGGATCACCGGGCTTTACCGAAAACGGGGGACGAAATGCCGCCGCTGGTGGTGCTGGTAATGGAGGCATGATGGGCGGTGTGGCTGCTGCTGACAGCGGCAATCTGATTACGGTCGATGACGATGGGTTTAAACTACTTTCACGCGATGCTATCATGCGGATGCTAAACATTCACGCGGAAGCCATCGTGCGTTGTATGGAGCTTTCAGATACACAAGATTTGTATGCTAGCTTTGTTACTCAAAATTAAAGTAGACGAGAGAGAGAGGGACAGGAGCTAAGCTAATCCTTTTTTAGGCCGACATCCATCTTATTCCTATACAGCGTGTTACTCGATTTTATTGGCACGAAATACCTTGATATTGCTTTGGATGAGTATGTAATAGTGATAGTAATAATTGCGCTAGCTTGTGGCACCATCTATTATACATTGGAGGGGCAAAAAAGGCTAATTTATACTCCAACGGTAGTGTCATTGAAGAACTCGGAAGCAAGGCGGAACCCGATACAAGCTGTTTTGCAGTAGTTTCCACGACTACTAAAGTGATGCAATTAATGCAAAAGCATTTCCAAACTGCAGTGGTATGTCAGAATATGATGGGAGAGAGAGAAAACTAGCTTCTATATGAATGACATAATTCTATATTGCCATGTAGCTTCCACTCGTGGTGGGAACACCATCTGTCCATCGAAATGTACTTGGAAGCAAAAACAAATTCATGGCAGCTTTAGAAAACAAGGCCAATGATGTGCTACGAAAGGAACTGGAAAGCATAACATCATGGCTTAAGGAACTTTTATCGCTTCAAAAACGAAATGATTTCAGGCCCAAGGACGAAGATGTAATAATGATGAGCATGGGAACACAGGTAAGGCTATAAAGCATTTAGTGAGTTAGTAAGCTAGAATACTTTTTACTCGTGAATATAACACTTATTGACATTATTCTCTCTTATTACCAGCCTTGTGTTCAAACTGTTGACTTCATAACGCGTATCTACCGCGCCGCATGTAAATCACTACAAGGCAAAAACCTCGAAACGTTCTTGTTCAATATCGGTCAAAAGCTCCATCTGTAAGTTTAAGTATTCATATATACTCTCGAGCATTTTAAGCAAAAGAGATCATGCCACACACTCGTGTAAAAAAAAAGAGAGCTAGTCTTAAATATGACTGTCTTATCCACGCGGATTAGAATGCTGCTTGATCATTTCAAGAAATTTTACGTCACACCGACGGGAGGTCTTTTGGTGTCCAAGTAAGTTCTAGTTCTACTTTCCTTTCCAAAACGGGTAAAAAAAGAAAAAAGAGCGAGTCGACGGGAAAAAAGTAATATAAATTACATTAGCATGTACATATTACGAGGCTCGCTCGCACAATACTCAAATCTACTTTCTAATAAATGACGATGGTTAAAATTAGAGATATCTCCAAGTATGAAGAAGTCATCCAGATGTTCAAGATACCCGCCCTCAACGACTTGTTTGAGATGCTACGACAACTTGGCAATATCTTTTTAGTGAAGCCCGAGATTCTCCGCTCGATTCTTTCGGAGGGGTATCTAGCCCGCCTAGATCCCAGCATGCTCTATCCGTACCTGGAAAAGCGTGTGGACTTTAAGAGTGCCAAGCTGGATCGCATTCTGGGTGTTGTCGACGAAAATGCTGCTACGGCTGCACCAGCAGACAGCAAGGCACAACGACGATCGCTCTTTGTCAATGAAAACACAGTGCTCAAGGAAATGCGCAAAAACTACAACCGCGACTTTTTGAACCAGGAATTCATTGCAGCTTTTAAAAGCTAAATAGCAAAGGCCTTATTAATCGCACCAACCAACTATAATGGAATAGATGCTACGCTAGTTACCATCTTTTTTTATTTTTTCTGTGCATAACCGGTGCTGCACATGCACACCTATCCCTCCCCCTATTTCTTACTCTTTCTTTCTTTTTTGCATATAACAAAAAGCCTCCTTTATTTTTTCTACCAATTTCAAAGCATCTCTTAACGCCACTTAGTGTGTGTGCCAAGGTTATCAACCCCTGGATATATATATGTGCGTATTGCCTGTGAAAAAGATCCCCGAGTCAGCATGGAAAATTCCAGCGGAGTAATTTGATATTGGGTTTAGAGTTACACGGCGATCCCTCTCGTTTTCTGTCATACATTGTCCAATTTCGATTACAGCACACGACCTGCCAAAAGCTGTTAGGCACTCATGTACTCTCTGCATCTCGTTCTCTCTCTTGCTCTATGCATGCCCGTGCAAGTGTTTTTAAGAAGTACATGTATAGCAGTAGTATATATGCATCTCCATGACAACCCGGTAAAGAAAAAGAAATTAACGAGACCATGGCAACTGATCGGCCGTTACCAAGCAAACAATAAGATGAAACCAAATTTGTCTCGGTCCCCAAATTTGTTGTGTTTTCCAGCAAAAGGAAGACTAAAAGATAGAGAAGAAAATCAACCGACGACCACAAAACGTAAAAATAAAGAGAGTGACGAAATTCAAAAATAACAAAAAAGAGATCGACACGAGACCACTGAGAATCAACTCACAGTACAGAGAGAGCCGTTTTGATCTACTAAATAAGTCAAGCACCAAAAGAAACGGAGAGAGAAAAAATAGCAAGATCCAATTTACCAACAAATCCAACCGTTCTAATCATTTGCTCTCCAACACCCTCTTTTTTCCCTTTCTTCTTCTTCTTTCATCTCCCATTTGCTACACCTTCATTGCACAATCGCAATGGGCGCGGCCGCCACAACTTCCACTCGTTCAAAGGTAATACAGGTTATTACCGGCTTTACACTCTCCCTTGTCCTCCTATCTGCCGTTGGTCGCTATGTCCTAGGTAAGGCAAAAATAGCATTTATTAAAGAAGAGAAAATCCTATTACCCGGTTTTTGCAAAAGCAAACAAAGAGTTCCTATAAAAAAACCTGTTGTCTAACAAACACACTTTCTACGCATTACACCACGTCAACCGTATATTTATAACTACTACCACATTAACGCAACAACAGAACCCCGCGACCGAACTCGATGCCACGGTATGCTAAACGATGGCTGGTGGCTCGAAGAGAATTATACCAAATGGCAGCCATCTGGCTGTATGCCACACACATACGCACCACAAGAGATTTCCAACTGCCTGAACCACTCGCGAGTGCTGTATATTGGCGACTCGATCATGCGAGAGCAGTTCTACTCGATGACCAAGTTTGTGCAGGGCATCGAAACCAAGGGCCCCTTGCACATTGACCGGAAATACCACTCGAAAGAACTGGATATGTCGTATGAATTTTGGTGGGATCCCTACATCAACTCGACCCGTACCTGGGAAATGCTGAACGCTACCGACCCGATAAACCGGCCGAGCTTGCTGGTTATTGGCAGTGGTGTGTGGTACATGCGTCATCTGAAGGAACACTACTTTGATGAATGGCGGGTTGTCGTCGATCGAGTCATGACCGCCGTTCAGGCATCCAATCAAGTGGCCGACGCCGTCATGCTTTCGCCTGTCGAAATCCCACAGTTTGATCTCCTCAATGATGTGCGTCGTGAAACAATGACCATGGACAAAATCACCAAAATGAACAACTATCTCAAGGCCAAGGAACCTACGTTGTCGCCTCAAACACCTTTTGTCATTCCTTTTGCTTGGAACGAGATTTGTTCGAGTACGGTCAATATCACCGATGATGGTCTTCACTATAAGCCCGGTGTCACTGCGGTCCAGGCCTCTTTGGCTCTCAACTACCGCTGCAATGATCTGCTTCCGAAGCATTTCCCCATGGAGAATACGTGTTGCACACATTATCCGGTTCCCGCTTGGTATCAAAACACGATCCTACTGTTCTTTTTGCTCTGGGTGCCTATTGGCTTCTATGTGCTTAGCAATGGTAAGTTATCTTTTGTGGGCTCTCTGAGGGGTGTTGTTTGGCATACAGCGTGACTCCTCTCTAGGCTAGAATAGAAAGAGTGGGGCAAGTGCAAGTGATGTGGGCAGTGTGCGGATGATGAATTGCAATAGACGCTAAAAAGTCCAATCATTTCAGGATCGCATCTGAAATTCATGCGCCGATTCTACCCATCCGAAACTCCGGTGCTTGCTTCCCTGTTTATATTCGGTTTGGGTGTAGTGTACATGTACTTTGGCGATCGCACCCATTTGTTTGGCAAGGTGATGAAATCGTTCAACGCCGACCAGTTTACATGGCTGATGATTGCCACCTTACTCGGCGGCCTTGTCTCATTGCGTTCCAAGAAGGAAGGCGACCAAGGCTTCCTGAACCGTGCCCAGACCGACGAATGGAAGGGATGGATGCAGATCATCATTTTGGTGTATCATTTCTTGGGTGCATCGCAAACGGCTGGTATCTACAATGTGATGCGTGTCCTCGTTGCTGCCTACCTGTTCCAGACAGGCTATGGCCATTTCTTTTTCTTTTACAAGAAGAGTGATTTTGGCCTTGTCCGTGTCCTGAACGTGATGGTCCGCCTCAACCTGTTGACGTTTGTCTTGATGTATGTAATGGACACCAACTATCTCAGCTACTACTTTACGCCGCTCGTGACATTCTGGTTTGGCGTGATCTGGGTTACAATGTACATTGGTCATGGGGCCAACAAGATTGTCTGGTTTGTGCTGCTCAAGATTGCCATCATGGGCGTTCTTACTGGCGTGTTTATCCATTTGCCTGGCGTTCTGGAGGGTACATTTGATGTGCTCGAGTTTTTGTTCAACATCCACTGGGATGCGGTCGACTGGCGTTTCCGACTGGCACTGGATGCTTGGATTGTCTATGGCGGCATGATCTTTGCGCTGGCCACGATCAAGTTTTCGGAACACAAGCTCCACGAGCACCGATTGTGGCCGATCTTTAAGATCGTCGCAGTGATCATTTCGTTCCTGGCCATGGTCTGGTATTTCAACTTTGAATTGTCGCAGCCCAACAAGAAGGCCTACACTGCGTACCAACCCTACATTTCATGGATCCCTATCTTGGCATTTGTCACGCTGCGCAACGCAACCGTACGACTGCGAAACACGACCTCGAGATTTTACGAATTTATCGGCAAATGCTCGTTGGAAACATTTATCGGCCAATTCCACATGTGGCTGGCTGCAGATACCAAGGGTCTGTTGATTGTGTTGACGGATCCTACGTGGGCTCAAGGACTCGGCTGGTGGTTCAATTTGGCAGTGTCCAGCTGTCTGTTCTTGTTTGTTTGCTATTATCTTAACCAAACGACAGGTGACATTACAAAATGGATCGTCACGTCGTCTTCATCCAACAAGAACGAAAGTGCACCTGTGCGCTTACCGCAGCAGGAACACCAGCAACATCCTAACGACGAACAGGATGTACCGCTCCTCCCGACATCCTCGGCGAGCAGTAACCAGGAAATCAGCAACGATGACGGCAAACCGGAACAGACGTCACTCATCGGTCACCATGACGACGAAGAGGCATGGGGAGCAGCGTCGGGCACGGGTCAACAATCGCGATGGCGACGATGGATCGGTTGTGTTTGCGGCGACCTTCGACTCAAAACAGTCGTGTTCCTCGCATGTATGGGCATCATCAACCGGTTCTGTTAATTTTACTTTTGTTCTAGAATTCTTCATATATAGTCTTTTTTTTATTATCATTTTCTCTTTTACTTTTTAAATACGTTCCCGAACATCCTAACCTCGCGCTGCCATTATCTCCCTACTATCAAACTACTTGAAAAACGCGCATACACACAACCACACATATCTGTCTCTCTATCCCGCACATCAACATTCTACTTTATTCACACGCACGCACGCACATACGTACGCTTGACATACACACAACAGCACCACCCCCATTACCACACACACCAACCTACTTTGAGTGCACGTAACCCACTCTTCCTTGTGACATCAACCCACAGCCTTCTCTCTCTCTCCCAGCTCGCTATTTCCTTTTTCTTTCTTTCTTTGACACACCAATTCGCATGCAACACAGAGTTAGTAAACAATAAACAAAATTCGCTTTGGCATTTCACGGAGCACGGACCCGGGCTGTTGTTTTTTTATCTTTGCTTTTGGCGGCGCCCATTTGCGTTCGTGTTTGCTTTTTGTTCTGGAAGACGCAAAGGCTTTTTAGGTTCGTGCTCATAGCAATTTTCAGGACAATGTGTGTAGCACAACGCGTGGAGCGGTGATAACAAACTTGTTCTTCTCTTTATTTAGTCCGTAATCAACACCCCCCCCCCGACAAATAACTCCTCCGGAACCGGTTCGGCAAGACGCAAAGCGAATTGGGGGTTGAAGGTTGTTGAGTTGCGGTGGGGTTGTAAATAAAAATGTATACGCATAACACCCGGATCGATCTTCGCCCTTCCTCATTAAAAAATCGAACAGCTAGTCTTTTGTTGGGTTGATTCATTCCATCTATCCAGCCTTTGAACTTTCAAGCGTCCCACCTAGCACACAACACACACTACTACTATTACAGCAACAAAAAAAACGCACAAATAGTATTAATGCTCGTCAAGTGAAACTTCAAGAAGGCCGTTACACCATGAAAGGCAATCTTAACCTCTGACACTTGCTAAATATACACTTTTCCTTTATTCGACTAAATGGCGCTTTTTGTTGTTGTAGTAGTAGTAGCGCGTGTGCCATTTCGGCTGTCAAAGAAGAATTGTTCTTTCCTTCGCTCTACCCTCCCTAACCCCCAACTCCCACCCTTTATATTATACATCGACAACCTCCCCTCCCTCTTTTCAAAGACTGTTGAGCAACAACTGAACCTTCATTCTCTCCCCCACCGCCAACCACACCGGGAACCCATGACCGGAACCGAATGGACAAGTGAGATTAGCAGCCATTAGCGCCTGCTGCAACCTTGAATAAGTCAATCAATCAAACTAGCTCTTAAATAACTTCGCTTCCCATTTCATCCCCAGTATGTCGGGAACACACAACCAACCCATCAACCTTCTTTTTAGCCCGGCACATTGTTGACACACAACGCACGCACAGTGAGAGATAGCGAGAGAGAGAGAGAGAGAGAGGATGGATGGGGGACATGAACCTTATTGTGACATTCCGTAATACAATCGGATCGGTCAACTCTAATATAAAAGAGCTTTCTATCTCCTCGCCTTTTCTCTCTTCTTTTTTGTCTTGGTCTTGTGCTGAATCTTACTCTTCTGGAACACACACAACATAGCTGGCCTCACTTTCTCCCAACTCGAGAACACACATCACACACCCAACGCGTCGTCAGTAATCTCCGTTTCGAAAGCATCAGCATGTATCCAAGAATCCCGCCGCTAGATTTAAAAGGTGGTCAGTGGTATGTCTTACTCTACCTCTTTTCGCGTATGTGTACATGATTACCAAGTACTAATCCTTACATTTTTAGCACCTGGTGTGGCAAATACGGACATCAGCACAAAGTGTGTCCTTATCTCAAGTGATTTCCCCGTCTCTTTCTCTTTTTGTTGGCCGGCTAACAAACTACAGCAATGCTATTATTACAACCACAACCATGATGCTTAATCGCTCATGCTTTGTGCTCTACCAATTCCGCCCTCTCTCGCTCTTCTGTCTCGGGGAGAATGAAGGTCTAACTTGCTTTTGTTTTATATTTTGCTCTTCTCTTTCAATCTCTTTCGTTTTCTCATGTATAACTGCTTGGCACTATATCCACTACCTTACCTCATCCATCATTTCTTTTTCTTTTGCAGCTGCAACCGCCTTTCTCGCTCTCGCTCTCTTCCCTCATGCTTTCTTTTCCTTGTATATACGCATCATCCATTCATCATTCTTCTCGCTCTATCTCTCCAAAAAGTACGTTTCTTTTCGTTTCATCATGCTTTTCCTTTTTCTTTTATACGGCTCTTTCTCTCTATCTCTCTACATATAAACCCATTGTATAAAACCACGAACAAAAAGCAAAAATTACATACTACTTCACTATGATATATACACAAAAATCCATCCATTTCCTAAAAGTTGTCAACCCCTCACATTTCTTTTATCTGTATTATGTACTGTTAAAAAAACGCAACTTAAAGAATTATATATATAATAAAAAAAGCTTCTTCTTTGTACTATCACTACTAAAGCATGGTCATATAGCTCTAAACAAATAGGATTGCTCTAAATGGCTAAGCTCGCAAATTATCACTAAACACCCAAGTGTACATCAGCAGCAAGCAAGTGAGCACACACACAAACACTTTATTTGATACCACGGGGTCAGATCGACGAACAAAGATGACGGATGCGTGCAAAAGAGAGTTTTTTTTTCATTGGGGGGTTCGGTCGTATAATAGAAAGGCGATATGTGGTTGGGGGTTTGGAGAGAGAGAGAGAGGGAGGGAGGAGTGCCAATTTAAGTATGCACCGAGACGCCCACAACAACAACAACAACTGTTTGTATTGTGTACAATTGGCGAAGATGCACCATAACAAGTTCATCTCGAGCCCTGTGATCCGTCTCTCATGCATTCCGTCTTTTGTTGTTTTAAAAAAGAGAAAAAGCCGATTGCGCGGACCAGAAATATGGCACAAACTTTGGCCTGTTGACGTTGCACCATAGCTGTTACAGTAGTCAATGTGATACTCGGACAAGATGATCATGAACATGTCCTCTTTTTTTTTTTTTGCTCGTTCGTTTGTGTTGCACATGGTGCTGATGTTGTTGTTTTACGTGTGTATGACGTGTCAAAACGCGCGTTTGTCATACTTTGATGTAACGAGTACAAGCTTTTTTGGTCTTTTCAAAAACTGTATACCCCTTCTTATTACTAGTGCATCCTGGTAGTAGTGTAGACAACAGCCACAGAAGGCCCCGTGAACAACCTTGTTTTCTTATGCTTTCGCTCGGGCGTACTACACATTGATTGGATATGTATACTGGGCATCATTATCATCCCCTTGTATGAAGCGGGAATATTGCATACACAGAGTTATGTAGAAGGGTGAAAGGCAAGTGTGTGTTTTTGCTGCTACTGTGTGGATTAGCAGCTGGTATGTACATAAGTATGGTGCCGTATACAGTACATAGCATAGCATATTAGTAGTCTTTTTAATTCAAGTGGATACATACGTAGTGTCGCCCCTCCCTTTCTTTTTACTGCACTTATTGACGCGCCGATAATAGTGGGATGGATAGACAGAGCGTCTGTAGATCTTTAATAATGAGTAGGACGAGCTTGGCGCCTGTTGCTGCTGTTAGGTAAAAAAATAGTTTGCACGACCTTCGGGCGCTTTTCGATCTAAGATCCAGTTTGTATAAAGCATAATAGTAGTAAATAGTGCTTCACCGTATTATTATATTTTGTGCTGTCATCACGACAGCAGCAAAAATTGCTTCGCGGAGGGCATACACATGCATCGGCGTGAGTTCTTTATCACACCACATCCACTTTATGTAGAAACAGAACGACACTACTGATGGATGCGTGCATATAAAAAAACAGCATCATGTTCTTTTTTCTCCCTGCTGCCGTATATATGTACTATGTATATCCATCGCTATTATGCGTAGCCTCTTTCTCCCTTCTTTAATGACATCGTCGACTTCGTGCAGCTCAACTTGACATGTCACTCAGCCACCGTTTGATGCTCTTTCAAGGCTTTCCAAGGTCCATGACAATGAATGGGCGGCTTTGGGAGACAATTGCATTAGTTTTTTTACGATACATAATAATGTCAAGAAATCAATCGACTACTTGAAACTCGATAGGCCGACAACTGATGGTTAAAGATAGACTTGTAGAAAGGATAAACTTCAATTAAAGAATTTAATGCTTCATTCCAACCTGTCTCCCCATTCTTTGGATTTGTACTGTGGGGTACAAATAGGCAAAGAAGAACGAGAGGGAGGGGGTTAGCTTGTGAGGACGATTATTACAAGCATCTTAATTACTACATACAATATCGGAGCGACACCTCCTCATCTCCCTTGATTTTACGGGTATGTAGTATCTTTGATTGAGGTCAGGCTGGTCTCGCTGTCGATAGATGACGTGAATGCAATCAGGCGTTTCGACAAGCTAATGAGCGCGCTTAACCTCCCCACTCCATAGTGTTGTGTTCCAGAACGTCGTGAGTAGATGCTACTTCGGATGTGTTGTGCACAGCCGCAGCTATAAACTATACATACTACTGCATGTATACCGCTGCACTCAACAGCAGTATTGTATATACATTGTTGATGTTGGAATGTCGCCCTATTACTATACTTCCCCGGCTTTACTTTGCCCTTTTCTCGTTTCCGGTGCACTCACGTATATTGTTTTTCGTCAGGCAAAGAGAATATAAAAGAGAGGGCTGAGTATAACAACAGCGCGCATGCAGTCCACGTTTTCCGCGGGTGGGGGGGGGTGTTATGTTGGAAAGTGCCCCGAAAGTGGTTGGAACTTGGTAGTACTTTTGAGCTTACGAATTGAGTTTACTTTCTATGACAAGTTAGCGTTACAAGGTTATTTCCCTCCTGGCTGCATTGACAACGCCAATTCACTTTTTGAATGATTGGAAGCGATCAAGTTTTCTTGACATGGAGGATATTCACTGATCTCTTTTTTTTTTTTTGTTTCCAGAGTACATTGTTAGAATATAAAAATCTGTGCTGCGTCATCGTTGTGTGACCCGGAACTGTCGCAACCGTGCTACCTCGCATCGAATTTGTACGTTTAGCATGTATAAAAGAAATAGGGAAAAGAGAGAGAAAGAGAGAGAGAGAGGACGTATGACAACCACACCTGTCGGTCGTTGATATACCCGACAATGAAAATTACTGATGCTCTTAATTATAACAAGCTGACTGCTTTGGTGTGCACATACGTTTTCAAAGAGATTGGTCCAGAGATAATAATCTATGATGCGAATAAAAATAAGGGGGGTGGATGGGTTGGAAAGGGGTGTGTTAGATAGAGAGACGAGGAGTGTTGATAATTGCATTCCCCACCCCCACCCCCACACGTACACACCCCTAGTATGTCCAACAACGGACCATATACACGCACGCACACACATACTTAAAGAAATATATGGAGAGAGAGAGAGAGAGAGAGAGAGAGAGCGAAAGGCACCTGGCTTTAATATTCTAATAGAGATCGACACGACACACATACCAACAACTTTTCTCACTGTACTGGGTGTGTCTTTCTTGAAGCTGATCGCGCGCAGCACAAGCACGGTCCATCCCATTCTCATGATAACGAACGTTAAATGTATATATCATGGAGCACATCATAACCTTATATAATCTTTGTTAATTTACTCTATCATCTCCTCTCTTAGCAGTTTAGAAAACAGGGTATGCCCAGTAAGTTGCGTATACGTGGGGAGCAATAAAAGAAGAGTGAGAGGCACGCCAATGCTACATAGCGTAGTAGTAGTTACCTGTAACGTACATGCATAAAAAAAAGTCCTTACATCCAACCCTTCATGATCTGTCGGCTTTGTTATATAAAGGTGGTTTCGCAACCCCTTCCTTCTTCCCCCGCTCCTCTTTCTCTTCTACTTCTCTCTTTCTTTTAATATTTCATAATACTTAATAATACATCTCAGCTAGTTCCAACCAAAATGTCACATACGACTGCAATGACGTATGACAACGGTGATGACAATGGCAGTAGTGCTACCATGTCAGGTCAAGGATATGGGTTGATGCATCCACCTCCTCTGCTGTCTTCGACTTCATCTATTACATCTTCCCATCATCATCATCATCATCAAATTCACCATCATCATCCTCATCACTGGCAGCCTGCTGCTCCAGTACATCCGGCACCAGTCACTCCTGCCGCTCCAATCCCATCCATGGTATCATCAACAGTATCACCACCACCATCAACATCTTCAACAACAACAACGAAAACATCGACGGCGACAGCAGCATCATCAACAGGCTCTATGGCCGAGCCCCCATCATCAGCGCCAGACATGGATCCATCAAAGCAATATCATCCTGAATGGGGAGTACTGAAAGAACAAGATTTCCATCCACTTACGCTGAAGCATCAACGTGATCTCGAAAATCTTCATCAGACAGGCAGCCGTATCCCCGACTTTTACTTTTGGCAGGCCAATTTGGGTGGATATTGCATGGCAGATATGCATCAAAGTGAGTTATTATCATTATCATTATAATTATTGGCAAAAGGAGGATGGGTGTGCAAAAAAAAAAGCACAAAACAACAAGGACTGGTGTGTACGTTATATGGGGGGTTCCCTTTTTCGTGGATTTTAGAAGGGAATTCACGTTAGTAAAAAAGAAGAGATAATGAAATTGACCATCTATTGGCATTACATAGATATTGTTGTTTCGTCAGAAGGTGTGTTCGTCTTGGTTCGACGTATCGTGGAAGGAGCAGCACATCCTGGGCGTAGAAAGAAGAAGCAACAGCAACGGCAACAGCAACAGCAGCCTTCTACTACTACTACTGCTACTGCCTCAACAACATCTTGATCTATGGAAGCGATAAAAGAAAATAAGGGGTGGGAAGCAGAGGAGAAGGGGAACAGTTTTTCGTCAGGATGAGGCAGACAAGTCGTTGTGCGCTGTTTTCGCTCATCCACATATCTGAACACACTAATTGACTACTGCCGCCATTAAAAAAAAAAGGAAAACGAAAAACATCTGCCCCTATGTTGCTGCTGCTGCTAACTCCTCCTCCTCCTACCCTCCTTCTAACCCGCTTCCTTCTTTTTACTTCGCTTTCTTTCAACTTGTAACATAATTAAGCTATTGACCTTTTCTATTCCCTTCTGTGGGTTATTATCAACTTCCACTGCCCTCCCCCCACCTCTCTCTTATTTTTTTGTGTGTTCTTTAGCTCAAACGTCACTTCCCCCGTAGTAGTATAGTGTTGTTTGTGCTTGCACATATTAACGCATATTATTTAAACTCATTCATTATATATAATTAATTTGCTATATTCTATATTCTTTTTCTTTTTTGCGTATTTCTTACACACACACACACACACACATATATATTATATTTAGTATTATCATATTTATTATTACAGCAGTTATTTAAGGTAGTTAAATACTCATATTTGATTTGATGTGATTAAGAGCGTCCCATGATCCTTTGTTCTTTCTTGCTCATCAAAAGCCGACATCAAAAATTCAGGGGTTGTTGGATAGGGCTGCTCACTAGGTGCGCCAATAAGTACTGCTGCTTCCTGGCAAACAAAAAGGATTCCGGGGGCTTGCATAGTGTATGTTATCATCACGAAAAGTCGCTTTCTTTTTCGTTTCCTTCTATTTGCCAGAGGAACAGACTCTAGTTGTCATTAAGCAACAGTTTCTTTAGCCTATTATCACCCCCTCGCGAAATAAGATTAATTAGAGGGCTCTATAATTGATCAAGTTTGCTGATCATAGAAAATTGATGTGCTTTGCAGCAAGCAGTTGAATAATTGATATTTATCTTTCATCATAGTATCTGTTGTTAGGTACATTATCCGCAGAAAAACGACTTAGCGGTAATGACGACAAATACATACAACGAGTTTGTCTCATCTACTATTAGATATGGTCTGTTACGTACATATGTATGAACATGTACAGTATGTCTAGCTAGGAGTGGGCTGAAGAGATAGAGAAGGCTAATCCTCTTTTTAAAAGAAATCCACACGTTTACTATTGATAGTCTGTATGTACAAGATGTATCATGATCAGCTCGTAAGAATAACCGATGATGGTGCTACTATTGCTGCTTACATATGAAAGACCAGTAAAACAGAAGCAAAAGCTAGCATAACGCTACTGGTAACGCCAGATTGTATAATATGCTTTGATCTTCATGAACATGCAACACCGCCAGGGAACTCCACAAAAGAATGATTCTGTACTCCCGTTCCCATTGGCTTACATGTCAATATATATACATACATCATCATCATCATACCATATCCTATTTAAGCAACGTTGAGCATGGTTTGATCTGTATATAATAAAACAAGTTTTATATGTACGTACATATCTTTCTTATCCCGTGTTTCTACTGTATTCTTGAGGTACATGTACGTTGTGATGTGGGCTTTACTCAAATGTAAAAAGAGCATATATGTATGTAATCCTTCGTTGTTCATGTGCATGTACATATACCATTATGTTTAAGAAAGTTGTCATCGAGTTATGTATCACTTATGATCGACATATTACATACTGTATCTTACTTTTCATAACATGTAAATAGCTTTTCTTCCTAGCCCCGAGATTATTGTTGCATTATCAAATACAGCATAGTCACAGAGAGAGAGACGATATAAAAATTAGAAAGAGAAAGCTTCAACCAGATTTTTATTGTTTCTCATAAGAAAACGCGTCGTCGGTTTCCGCGTCATAGAATCTTCATTTTTAAAAAATGAAACTATGAGATACAACCCAGTAGAGACATACTTAAGACTATGACGCGATAAAACAAATGCAAAAAATAAAGACAAAAAAATGGTATGAAAATAAAGAGAGATATTGCGGGAAAATAAAAGACAGGGAGGACGTAAGGTACTACTTTACATTTATGAGATAAAAAATACGGCGAGGGTTGAAAAATAGGTCGAGAGAAAGAGAGAGAATGTGTGTGTGCTCGCGTTGTTGTAATTAAAGGTAAAAAAGCAAATGAATTGGCCTTTTCTATTTCTCCTCTGCCGCAACAGCAGCAGCAGCAGCTTCACGAATAGGAGCTAAACATATTATTTTAAGGATATGAGTCAAAGTTTAAAACCTTCAGGCAAAAACAGTGTAATCTTTCCACTTACCAAAGTATGGATGCGCCATGGCTTCCTGTGCTGTTAGTCGTTCTTGATGATCGTATCGTAATAAATTATCCAGGAGATCAAACAGCTCATCCGACATATAACGCTGGTTAGATAGATTCACAAACTTGGACCAAGGTTTTGGTGCGTATCTATATATTATCGACGTAAAATAAGTTGTCATTAACAAAGGAACATTCCTTCATATTGCCACACACACAAACTCTTTCTCTCTCTCTCTGTGTGTGTATATTCTTTTTTGTTTACCTTCCCATGATTTTGTCAAAGTGAGGGTCCAACTGCAAATTGTATTTATTCAAGTATTCATACAATTTGCTGGTGCCAAGCACTCTTGCAATTTTGACAAGTTGGTCATAGTTGTCTTGACCATTGAAGAAGGGTTCCTTACGGAATACCATACCAGCCAACATGCACCCGAAACTCCACAAATCCAAACTGTAGTCGTAGAGCTGGAAGTCAACGAGTAATTCGGGACCCTTGAAGCACCTGGAGGCAACTCGGACGTTGTATTCAGTGCCCGGATGATAGAAATCTGCCAAGCCCCAATCGATCAATCGAAGCTAGAAAAGAAACATGATGACGCGTTTATATACATGTATTCGTGAATTATCGAATAACCCCTCTTTACCGATCCATCCTATACCGCCTTATCGTCGATAATGAGTCACTGTTGTTATTACCTGTCGCTTCTCGTGATCAATCATGACATTGTGTGGCTTCACATCACGGTGCATGATACCTCGACTATGACTGTACTCAATAGCCTAATACGTTCCCCCAAAAGTAATACATATAAATATTAATCATAAGAAGATGTATCGTACCGCCTCTTTGTAAAACATACCTTTAACAGCTCATGCATGTAGTATCGCACATCGTAATCCGAAAAACGTGGATAGAGGATCTTGAACTCGGTGTTGTTGACAGACTCGAAGATCAAAGAAGGTACTCTCGACTATGTATATAAAAATACATTGTGTTTCCACCCATTTTCTTCGTTAGCACATGGTATTGTCCTTGTCCTTATTGACGTTTTCCCTCCCCTCTTTTATAAGCTCGTTCATATTAACCTGTGGGTCTCGAACAATATCCAGAAGCCCCACGATATTCGGTCCACCCGTCAAGTTTTGCAGAATCTTGATTTCACGCTTGATCTTTTTCTTTTTTACTGGCTTCAGAACCTTGAGGACGCACTTTTGTCCATTCAGCGTATTGACACCTTCAAACACTTCCGAGTATTTGCCACGTCCAATCTTGCGAAAGATTTCATAATGATCTTGATCACTAGAATAAACAAAAGATTTCAAAATGTTTTCAGAGATTTGCTTTACGTGTATCCATAACGACAAACAGCTCAAATGTTCCAAGAGAGAGAGAGAGAAATAAAGTTGTAGTGTGTTATATCTTGAGGTTTCGAGAGGCCAAGCAAAAAAAAGAAAAAGTGGTAACTTACCCCCACGTAACTTGGAGTGAGTCGTAATCATAGTATTCTTTGGGTTGTTGCAGATTGACACTGGCATATACCCGAGCAATGCTCGTTCCTTGCATTGCTGTATCCATATGAGATAAGATCGAATATATATATGTGTGTGTGTGAGTGCAAAGAATATATCTAGTAAGGGTACTTTTTTGTGTGGTGGTGGTGAAGCCAGGAACAAACTCGCTAGCAGGAATTCAAAATTGATAGAGCGTGGTCACGCTGTGCTGCTCTCTGGTCTCTATTTCCAGCCACCACCAACCATTCGCCACCATTTCTCAAGAATTTCTCACTTATTGCTAGACAACAATGACAGTGACACTGTGGAAAAATGGGAAAAGGAGCATTTATTAGAAACTACACTGCTGTCACTATCGATTGTTGCCAGGTTGAAACATAGGCAATGGATGGGCCTCGCTATTGAACACGTATTTATCTAATGGGATGAAATCATCCGGTGAAAACAGTAGATAAAGGTATTTCAGTGTTTCGGCCTAGTAAGATGATTGTTCAATGTTGTTAGCATAGTCTTCTCACTGCTTTTTGAAGGTGTTGGTTGGAATAAATGTTGATTTTTGCTTTTACCAAAAAGAAAGTATCCATGCGATCGTCTTGTGGTGGCGGTATCTGGGTAACGTCTTTCAACGCGGCGTAGCCACCATTCGGCAGCTTGGTATATTTTTCAAACGATTCGAAAATTTGCCAACCCCATTCCCTAGCAATCGGCAACACCGGAAGCGACTTAATATGTCTGTTGCCATCAAATGGGTATGCGCACAAACACACACTGACTATCGTTTCCCTGGTTTCGTTCGAACACCCCCCCCACTCTATCTCTTCCTAAAAAAGTTAATATTTACCTATAAATAGGATCTCCCGTAATTCTCCACAAGATAAACAAACTTTCCACAGTCTCTGGTCGCAGTAAGTTGTGTCGGTCGCGCGGCTGGATAAAGATATCGTTGCCGTTACCCCCCTGATTATTGCTGTTCGTGTTAAAGTAAACAATCTCGCTTGCCAGACCCGTGGCTGTCGAGCTGTACATTTCCCAACACGTCCGCGTGATTTCCTTGCCCATTTGGAGATCGTCTCGATCTTCGTCTGTCATCAATGGTGCCTGCGCCAATGTCAGACCTTGTGTAGCACCTAGCGCAAATGAACCACCGATAAAGCAGACGAGATGGTCCATTTTCGGATGAACGGTGCCAGGCACTCCATTCAATAGCTCGCCAATGTAGAGTAGATTGTTCGGGTGGCTCCTGCTCATCAGATGCTTCTGGATGGCATGCACCGTCTGTCGATACATGTCCAAATATATTGGCTCCGTCTTTTCTGTTTGCAGATATTGCTTGATTAGGTATTCTTAAAATTTGTGGTTAATTCAAAAGATGAGCGTTAGCACTTGAATATATCAATGCATAAACAATAAGCTGCGAGCATTGACAAACATTACTAACAGCAGAAGTAAACAACAAATAAACTTTCTCTTATGTGCCATAGGTATGTATGTCTTCCCCCCCCATCACACACTGTTTTATATAATTTACCATAATAACTATCACCGCGTGAACCAAGACGGATCTCTCTTGTGTTGAACATGCCAGTCTGTGGACTATGAAGATTTTTGCGGCGCAATTAGTAAAAACAACAACAAAAATGTAATAGTAAATATTTACTGGATCAAGATGGGGACAAGACCATCCACGGTATGTCCTTGGTCCACCAATTGCTTCAGCTTGACCATGACCCGTTCGGCTGCAGTCCAATATTTAGGATCACCCGTCAGATGGCTGAGATATTTGAATTCTAGCTGAATCGTAGCGACCTCGGCCGTGCTGCTCGGGACATGAAACGTGAACGGCAATCCCGTCGACAACACGACACTGGCATACGGAATTCCTGATTCCGTCTGAAACGCACCAAGCAGCCGATTACCCAGATCCGTTGCCTTATCCAAATAAACCGGGTCATTGCCTGACAGATGATACGCCGACAGGAGTCCGCCTAGCACCCGGATCGTCGTCTCAAATACATTCACATTCTGATCCTTGTCGAAATCCAGCTTGGTTGCCACCCATTCTCGCGCCATTGTATATTCCTCCGTCAAGTTCATCAGTAGCATCGTATCCAATGCATCCACAATCATCAAGCCAAGGCCTCCAGGCGCCCAGTCGCGACCTTGGTGTGTTAATGGTTCATATTCATCCATACCAAATGCATCTTGTACATATCCTTTCCAAGCATGACGGTATGCTTCTACGACCTGTTCTTGTCGATACGCTGTTTCTTTGTCGTCCGCTGGTTTCAGTTGTTTGGGCGGTGGTATCTGTGTGAACAAAAATGATGTGTCGCTAGTGTCATCTTTGCCCTCGCTAATGTTTTCGTCTCTGTTGCTATCGTTGTTCCCAGAACGGTCATCGCTAGTACTGCTTCCGTCTTGAATCACGATCTCGTTAGGCCGGTTGTCGTCTATGGGCGGCGCAAGAGGCGGAGGCGCTTGGTATTCGTCTGTCACTGCTTTTGTGTCCAATACTTCATCGCTTAATGGTCGATCGTGCACTAGTAATGTATAAATCGCCAAGAAGCTTAAAAACAAGCAAATTAACACGCCAGATCTCCGGCGAGTCCATAAACCTGACAGGAACTTTGTAATTGCGTTGAGCCACAGCGTCTTTTCGTCTTCATGTCGGGAAGGGGTTGAACTGCCTTCCGCCCCACTCCCTTTTCCCCCTTTCGAAGTGCACTCGCCCTTTTCTTCCTAACCATTTTTATACTCCAATGTCGACCGTGCTTACGATACTTGTCATCGTTGTAGTCATTAGGCATACTACTAAGACGATGCACAGGCAGCATACTAAGATAGGTCCGAAACGACTTTGGCGTTCGGCTATTGTATTCGATTCAACTGCAAGAGGAATTTTTCTAGGTCGAATTTGATGTCAGAAGGAAAAGAGCGACTGCCACGTCCACGTCCACTCTCGTGGTATGTTATGTCACATGCATAGAGAATTTATGTTGTGCTAAGGTCCTTTATACTGCTGTTCTCTTTGCCCAACATTCGGTTTTTTGTCTATGCACATTATCTTTGATACAATAAGAAGCTGGGCTGCCACTTTATGCTGTGCCTGAATGACTTTTTCTATTTTCTCAACAATTTTTCTCTATGATAACCTTGAAAGTCTTCACCATATATACGCAACCAACTGTAAAAAAGGCTTATATTCATGGCTCGTTTGGTGCTGCCATACCGCAAAGGGCTTACTAAAGCAGTTTTGCGGCAACCATAATCAAAGCTGGTTCTTTAACGAATACCGGTTTAGCCAGCAAGTGAAAATTTGGATTGAAGAAGTGCATCATCCCCAACGTTGAATACAGGCAACAACGACTTGCAGCTACCTCTATTCGACCATCTACAAGAGTTAGTCATCTTCTTCTCCAGCTGTATGTACGCCAAAGCTTTCTGACGATATCTCTAATCTGAGTTGCTACACCACCCTCTTCATTTCGCCACAGCAGTATACAAAGTTGACCTAGTCGTTTGTCATGAGGTTTACTGCAACGACAAAAAACTGTCGGTATCATCAGCTGTGGCTAATCGTACACGATAGTTTGATTCTGGTCTACAATGACACACATAATCACCTATGGTTATTGCACGAAGCATTCGTCACTCATTATCAACATCACGATTGGTTTGATAGGGTCTAGCCTAGATACGAAGAACGATACATAATCTACAAGAGCGGTCTAAAGGATGCATGTAAACATGACGTTTTGTGGATCCGATCTGTTCAAGGACCTGGTGCTTTGCTATGTAATACTTCAGTTAGACGAATTCGGTACTATTATGGAATTTTTTTTAAAGAACCCCCATTAACCCTTCCAAAAAGCGGTCCGAGAAGATTTTATGCAACATATACTATCAATGGCACTTTTTACGAGATAAACATCAACTCTGGATAGTGGCATCCTAAATGGGGATATACACAGTGAACCACAACGTGTGGCTATGGTATATTTAACCCTAGCCGCTAGCAATGGCGTCAACCACTTTAAGGTTTCCTTGAGGGAGAGACTAACGAGCCACTATCCAATATCCTGCAAAAATATATGATATGTAAAACCAATGACGTTACTTTGCTATCAGTATATATACCTCTGGACAATGTTTGCTACATTTATCAGTTTCAACGACAGTATTGTATATACTAGCACTGATTTGCGTAGTCTAATAAGTTTTATAAAACAGTCATCCCGGCGGACGGTTTAAAAACTTGAACAATGTAGTTGTATGTAACGTTATCAACTGGAGCGTAATGTAGCACTGGTTTGATATTTATTTGTATATTGAGGTAGTGATGAGGATGATGAGTGTGATGTTATGCTTTGGACAAGGATGGGGCTAAAATATATGGTTGCTCGCTCACTTTATCAATGTCCATAGTCGAACTCTTCCTCCGTCTCTCTCCCAGCAGAGCTTAATCGTTTCTTCTTTCGCATAGGGTCGCTACTACCTCCGATCATCTTTAACTTTCTCTTCTTCTCCTTTCGCATCGATAATGAGCCTGCAGAACTTTGTGTTGAGCGATCATCTTGGCTAGATTCTTCTTTGTCTTCCTTTTGTGCCAATGCCTGTTCACAAAAGCCAAGTAGAAAGTAATTACATAAAACTTAATACGCAAAAAACCTCATTGAGTATTGATGTATAATTTACCTTTTGATACGTTGATGATGATAATGAGAAAAGCCGATCCAATTCTGTGAACTTTTGTTTGCGTTTATCCGGCCGGTTTGTCAGATAGCCTTCGAATCCGCGAATTATATTTCCATTTTGCTGTGTATCCTCCAAATACGAGCCTTCAAAAAGATAGATAGCGTGTTCGAGATTGATCTATTTATATAAAAAAAAGAAGCAAATGTAAATCAACCAGACTATACTGTAACATATCTATGGATTGTAATTTACCAGGTTGGTATCGACTTGTTTCTTGCGGCTCAGCAGAGCTTGCAGTTCCAGTTTTGCTTCTTCATATTTTTGCCGTGTCACTTGAGGTGGTTCAATAGGTGCTGCTGCTGCTGTTGCTGATGTGGGCGCTTGTGGGGCTGGAGCAGGAGTAGCTGTAGTGGTGGTACCAGTGTTAGTGGTATTCGTTGTGGTGTTGTTGGTTGAGGAAGCAGCAGGAGCCGATGAGCCCACGGCTGCTGACGCTGATCCTATTGATTCGGCTGCTTTTGTATTTGAGATTGAAGATGCATCTGTAGTACTTGTCTCTGCTGAATTAGATCCTGCTGCTTTTGTGTTTGTGGGTGGCTGCGGTGACGAAGAATGCTGTAACGATTGCTCATGCTGTGTCTATATATAGGGAGTGCCGTACCAGAATTGGTAAATGAACAAGTTCCTCAAGCTTTACATGCTAAAATAATCACCTTTGTAGGAGTGCTTTCTTCCACCATGATCTTGGTAATTTGTCAAATGTGTAAGTTGAAAACGGAGAGTTGCGTTCAGAGGAATAAAATTTATCCGTATGCTAAGCAAGCCCAACACAATCTTTAATGAGTCTATCGCTACGACCACCGCGCGAACCAGCAATACTTGTTTGATAGATCAATTAAAATATTTCCACTGCAGCTGATTACATCTGCCGCATGTTTACCTTGCTTTTAATGAATTGATTGTATACCACTGTTTTGTACTCACTCACTTACTCTATTTCACTATCTATAAGCAATATATAAGCTTCTATAGGGCGGGCTTCTTGATTTGGCAAGAGTGTTGTGTGACACGAACAGTAAGTATGTACTTAGTTCACTTTCAGCCGTTGCTGCTAGAACTAATCTGGACCCTCTCTATATCCGCATCCATTTTTAGCTTTTTTTTACTCTCTCTTCTTCCAACCTTTGAATCGGGTAGTACTCGTTATTTCCTGTTCAGCATCGACACACGCAATGTCGTTGCAACAAGAAGAGCACACAATTACGCCAGGGGGCGATGCACCTGTTACTGACAACAATAACGTGGAAAAGATCAACAGCAGCTTATTAGAAAACGCTGATCCCGACAACCACGACGACGACGAGGACAAAGACCACGACATCTCGAAACCAGCTGCAGTAGTAGACAAGCCAAAAATGGCCATTCCGACGATTGTTATCAATCAAGGCGACGACGACGCTGGCGATTATGCTCAACCAGCCATGTCGCCTTCACCACCTTCATCCCCAGAAACGCCTGCGCCTGCAAGCGACGATTCAGTTGAACTGGTCTCCTCTCCTGAAGAGGAACACCAGGGACAACAGGTTCAGCAGCAGGAACAGCCACAAGTACGAGAACCAGAACCAGAAATAGAATCAAAGGCAGAACAGGAACAACAGCAGCAGCAGCAGAACTCGGATAATGAACAAGAAAAGGAACAGGAAGAGGCATCGCCAGCACCACCGCCACCGGTAGTGCCCATCATTCACGAACCAATAACGCTTACTGACTCACCTGTACAACCACCACCACAACAACCGCAGCCCAGGCCAGAGCCTGCAGCTGTTCAACTAAGCCCCGTGACCGAATTCTATCGCGGAAAAACAATCCTTTTAACAGGTGCTACCGGATTCGTCGGCAAGGCTGTGTTATGGAAACTAGTTCAGTCGCTTGGACCCAGCCTCGGCAAAATATATCTACTCATACGAAATGGAAGTAATAAGCGGAGTAAGATTGGAAGACCAGCCGATCGCATCAAGAGCGAGATATTGAGCAACAAGGTAAATCCTAGACTGGTTTTCAGAAAGTAATATGAAGCACATGAGATAATTAGAGACTGAGTTAGAGAGACATCACTTATTTCCAAATATTGACCTGCATTTTATTAGGCATTCTTGGCATTGCGGACCTCAATGGGTGAAGCAACATTCGACAGTATTATGCAAGAGAAAATTGTACCTATCGCTGGAGATATCATTTCACCCGATCTGTCATTATCAGATCAAGATCGCGAAACCGTTGTCAAGGAAGTGCAGGTCGTAATCCATTGTGCTGCTACTTTGGATTATCATGAACGATTGGATTTGGCTTTGGAAACAAATACGCTGGGCACTTTGCGGTTGATGGATTTGGCAGATGAATGCGAGAACATGTGTAAGTGTTCTTGTTTTTGCCCTAATGGATGAAATGAAGAGAGCGAATCTTCTAACGTATGTTTCAAAAATGAGAATAGTATCGTTTGTGCACATGTCTGTAAGTTACTTTAACGCAAACTTGCCGGATGGTTATGTTCAGGAACGGGTATATCCAATGGAAATCGGCGACCCTGAGGACCTTTTAAAAGAAATTGTGGGGCTGGAACTCCAAGGTAAACAGTGTTTGTTCAACTATACAATGACGGGAGAAAGGCTAGATGTTTTGAGTAGGCTAAAAGGCTAAATATATATTATAACAGACATCCCAAAAATGACACAGCGCGTCATGGCTTCGTATCCAAACACATACACATTTACAAAGTTCCTGACCGAACATTTAATCTTGAAGCGTGTTGATTATAACCGTGTGGAGGAGGCTCAGGGTGGCAAAAAACAATGGCCGGTGTCAATTGTTCGAGCTACTCAAGTAGGCGCTGGCGCATTTGAGCCGCTTCCTGGATGGGTAACAATAAGATTCACTCTTTACTTTATGTAACCAGCATGCAGGTAGCTTTGCATGATCTTCTCTTCTCGCTAATTCTGTTGCATCCTTGTTTATGCAGGTTGATGGTGTCACAGGAACGAACGGAGCAGTCTTCTTGCTGGGTCATGGAATACAAGTACTTCAAACTGATATTGGACATATGCCTGCGGATATTATACCCGTTGATTATCTTGCTCGTATTATTATCAGTAGTGCTGCTGTGGCCAAGGCACCGGGGACGCGGTTCCTTTTGCCATATAATGAAATAATCACGGAGGAAGACGAAATTGCCAGTCCATTACCACAGCCAATTGTTGCTTGCTTCCCGATCGTATACCAAGTCTCTGGCAGCAGCTTAAAGATGGCCACGTGGCGCGAGGTCTATGAAGCCGTCCGCCACTATTGGGTCAGAAACACGAAAATTGCGCTACCCACCGGACAGGAATACTTTGTAAACAATAGAGCGCTGCTCAAGGCCCGATTATTCATGAAGAACCAGTTTTCCAACTCACTATCATCTGTAACGACGACCATCAGCGGCAACGCTCAAAACAACAACAATGTCAGCCCGTACGGAACACGCAACATGTCTCGACCTACGAACCGAACAATCGAACTTGCATCACGTATCGTAGAAGCCAACCAGCCCTTCTTACGGCACCGATGGGTTTTCGATCACCAGAACGTACGGATGCTTGCCCATGATCTCGAGAGCGATCCAGTGTTCCGGCTGTCACCCTACAAGCACATTGATTGGGCTTCGTACATGGTGAACTATAGTTACGGTACACATCTTTACATTGCACAATGTCCGCTGGGGCTACGCAATATTGTGGTTCCTCCCGGTTGCGACTGTGCGCTGTACTCTAAGAACCAGGTGATCCGGGACTCGATCATTGAAAAGCAAATTGAATCGGTCGTGTTTAGCATCTCAGATATCCAGAAGCGCACAGAACGCATGCTCACACAACTTATCGAGACGTTGGAAAAACCAAACTCGTACAATCCTCGCGATAAAAAGAAGAATGAAGAATGGATTAATGATTTCGACGCTAGTTTGGATGATTGGTGCCACGATGATACACAGATTCTGAGGGATGCAAACGCGGAAGCTCTACTCGGTCGTTGGTCAAAGGTGTTGGGAGAAAATGATGAGGCCATCAAGGTGGTTGTGCTTAATGATAAGCGAGTCCGAGATAGTGTGGAGCAGGTAAGGTTCTTCTCGAAACAATGTGATGAAATTATTTTTTTTTTGTTTTGACAATGCGCTGTTTATTGGGTTTGATAACAGATTATCAGCTCTTCTGGAGTTCCTCAGGGAACGGTCGTGGGTGAAGCAATGAAGCTCCTGCAACGCATGCGCGAACGCACACAATTGCCATATGTGTGGTTCGCTGGCGCTTTCCTGGATTGTTTATTTAAGCGATTATTTACAAGCATCCGGATACAGGAAAGCGATCTAAATAAGGTTAGCGTCTGTCAACGAAAATCAACTTTTTTTCCCTCCCATTCTTCTCTCATGCTAAGAATATTTGACTAACGTACTGTCTTTCATCATCTTAGCTAAAAGATCAAATTCGTGGAAAAAATGTCGTATACGTTCCGGTTTCTAGAACGATCCTAGACCAGCTTTTAGTCTGGTACGTTTGTTTGCGGTACCATTTGCCGATGCCAGCCATTATCTGTGACGAAGGTAACACTTATTGTTAGGAACTTATAACGCCTATTGTCTTCTCCTCCAAACATCTGTTTCTCTGTATTTTACAATGTGTGACAACACCAATAACGAAAACCGTGCTAACATGACAATAACTTGTTTACTATACAAAAAGCCTTGGCATTACTTGGTCCAATTTCAGACATATTCCGAATTGCTGGAGCGTACTTTGTACGACGCGATCAGACCACACGATCTCCTCTTAGTACCGCCGTTACAGCAGCCTATACCGAAGCCATGTTGCACGACCACGGAGCGCTATCCATGCTGATTGAAAAGACGCGTTCTCGGACTGGAAGATTGCACAATGCATATTCGGATGGATTGATAGATATGGTGTTGGACGCAAGCCTTGAAAAACATCAGCCGTCTGCCCCATCAACACCAACATCTAAAACCCGCAATAGTCTGTCTCAAAAAGTTCGAAAAGACACAGTTTTTGTGCCACTCAACATCACCTATGAGAAAATTCCAGAATTACACATGCTCATAGACCAAGTCCTTGATCAAAAGCACCATTCACAGTCAGCATCTCAACAACAACAGCAGCAGCAACAACAACAACAGCAACAGCAGGCAAGACCTTCGGAATCTGGACCACAGCGTACCATGTCGACGCTTGCTCGATCATCATCCTTTTTGCGACCAAGTGCTTCTATGGCAGGACGAACAGCAAATAAAGACAACGGTGTCAACGATAAGGGCAAATATGGCCGAGTATACATTGGTATTAGTAACGTCATTGACGTCAGGAAGATGGCGGAGGAAAGGTGTGTATCCCATCTCTTTTTCTTTCGGAAACCATATGCCAACTCATATATTTTAAATTCTAGAGATGAGGACGAAAATCAGCATGAGTTTGCAAACACGGTGGCACGAACTATTCAAAAGCGACACCATGAAGCTTCTGCAGTCAGTCCAGTATCATTGGTGGCAGCCGTCGTGCTATTCGGTCGTACATCCAACGGAATCACGATGGGTAAGTTGTAATAACACGAGTGTCTACGTATGACACGTATCTCATATTAGACTCTCTAGGTGCTATCTATGAACATGTCACATGGTTCCGCGATGAGCTCAAGTCCAAAAGCATTCCTCTTGACTGGCAGGGTAAGCCAATAGATTATTTAGTAAACATCATCATGAGAGATGCGCGAAGAACTTACGCCTATCTTTATTTTTTTCTGCATTAGATGATGAAGATGTGGATGCTATGGTCGCCTATTCATTGAATCTGCTTGACGCACGACAAAATATCACTATTGAGGGAAAACGCGTTACTGAATACTCTAACGTTCGTGTAGTTGAACATGCTGACAATGTGATGGCATTGTCTTACATGGCCAATGCGGTAATTATAAGCTCAATTTCTTTTATCCCCTAGTACTACCTCTTTCATGGGACTTACACTTATTTTCGAACGTTATGCTTTCTTTTAGCTGGTTGAAATGCTCCTACCAGACGCGTTGTTTGCCATCAGTTACTTTTCCACGGGCACTGACGAGGTTTCAAGGCATGAGTTGTATGGAAGCTTCAAATTTTTGATTCAGCTATTCAAGGACGAGTTTATTTATCCATGGGATCAACAAGAGGTACAGAAACAAAGATCATGACTGCAGCATTACATAAATCGGGATTGTCTCTGGGGTAAACAACTGTCGCTAATGTTCTTTCTAATATATTTCACTTTATTGCCATATAGAAATTCTCTCAACTCCTAAGTCGATTCCTACAAAAGGGCCATCTCGTTGAAACCGGCAGCGACACATTTGTGAAAAGAGCAACACTCAAAAACGACCCCACCACATATACCCATATCTGTCTTTTGGCATCCCTTCTTTATCCTACTCTCGACGCATATTGGATCACTTCTTGTTCTCTTTCAGCCCTGCGGGATCTCCCTTACATGCCTCGCAAGATTGTTCCTGTTCTCGCGCAATGGATTGCAGCACACTTGATCAGCGGCCGTCGCACCATTTATCGCGAAGTTCTATCCACTGAAGCAAGTCAGAATGCCGTTGACAACTTTTTGGCCATTGGCTTCATTGAAGCAGTGCACCCAAAGACAAAGTTATCCCCTGATGCGCAAATTTTGCTCTTGGAACTCGGTGTAACAACCAACGAGGATCTGGTCATGGTGGCTCCTCGCCGAAAAAGTCAGGAAAATGCAGAGGTAAAGGAAAAAAAACATGGCTTAATATTGATATCCATGAGCAAGAGAGGAGAGGACAAGAGGCTATAAAGTTTATTTATTGATGTCGTATTGTTTTTATTTATATAGTGTGACGACGGTGATATGCTGGGCCGATTGGAAGATATTGCATCATTATGCCACAACATTGAAAAACATCGGTTTGGCACGACAGCACAATTAGAGGCATATCGGAGCAGTAATGCGCAAGTGTTTGACAAGTGCCAAAACCAGATCCGTACGATCTTGCGTTCTGGCGGAAAGAGCTATGCAACCATCCATGGTATGGATCTCAGCAAGGATGAGGATCAAATGATCCAGCTCGTCTACTCTTTAAAAACTGCAGCATCAGGAGTTGAGCGTACCGGCGGTGTTCCAGCATCACGTAATCCCAGGCGTGTTTCGGAAGCATACAATCTACTAAATAGCCCCAAAAACTAGTAATTGCTGTTGTATTTGTATATGAATTTTTCTTGCTAAATATGTTATTCTTCTCATATTTGTTGTTATTGTATAATATACGTTGCGTATAAACACAAAAAGAAAAGACGGGTAAAGAAAATATGCACATATTCTCAGATAACTTTACACATGCCTCATGTTATCTCCTTCGCCAAAAAATTCGGTTATATGATTATTGCTGGTGCTAAGTGCCAACCGTATTATGTATACAATAAGCATCGATGTCTTCATAATTCACTGTTTCCACTTTTTATAGGGCCAAGGTCTTCATACTGATACTATCACCCACTGTGAATAAACATAACTCGATGTCTTTTTCTTTTGGATGCAAATAATCAGACACGACCATACGGACATCTTCCACTTGTATGGCTCTTTCGGCATGAACGAACTACTTTTCCTTTGATATCGACATTAAACATCAGAAGACAAACAGGAACAATTCTAACTTGATTCTTTGGGCGGTGATCTCTGGTTTACTGCTTGTATACTATATATTTGGAAATGCGTTGTTTGGTAGGTTAATAAAGATACTTCCGTTTTCGCGTATATACAGCATCTTTTTGTATATGACCATGTCTGTTTTCTTTTCGTTTCTTATTCTCTTTGCTTCTCTAATGAATTATCTCGTCTTCTCAATGTGGACATGCAACCTGTGTAAATCTTGAAGAGACACGATAAGTATGCTTACTGTTCCCCATGCGGTAGATACCCTTGCAACAAGGATGGAAAGTGAGCGCAATAGATGTAATTGATAATACACAGCAAGCGAGACTGTATAGTGCTACTGTATATCAATGCCGTTTCAATCGGTAAAGCTTTCTTGTATTTATAAGTTTGAAAAGCCTTTAATCGTAAACCGTGTACATACAGTATTCTCAACTTGCAATTTATTCTTGAGACTTTATTGTTATGGTGCTGTCCATGAATTAACGATATTGGCTCATCCGTGTGTGTGGTGCTCGCTCTACTTCACTATAATACTGATCCGTGAGAAATACCTACTGACGTGAGTCAGCAGGAAGCAAAGGTAGTCTAGGAACGAGGAGCTCAGGAAGAGCGCAACACAGATCTTTCTTCTTTGGATAGTGACAAGTGATGCGTGTGTCAAACCTCGAACGTTCCAACAGCTTTCCCTTGAAATGAAAACTCCGTAGAGTGAAAGCGCATTGTTGTTACGCAACGCTTGGCCAATTTACTTGGTACTCAAAGTGCACAAAGGAATGGCGGGTGAACAAGGTGATCAATGGAGCAACGAGTTACGCGCAAAAGGGTCAAAAGATGTACAGTAGGAAGTCATCGTTTATGGTGTTATTCTTCTGATCGTCCCAATGGATCTTGAAAGCTGCTCAAAAGAACGTAGAATCGCACAAAAACAAACGAACCGATTAACTTTATCAGCAGCAATGAAAATCAATGAAGGGTGAGTCAGTTTCACTAGCGGCAGCGTATACTTACCATGAGCGGACAGCTTATCTGCGGCAGCACATACATACTTGGATAGAGTATGAATTCGGAATGGATGGAGGGAGGTTACACGGCGTAGTTCAGAGAACTGTTGGCGGATGGCGAAAATTATAAAGCAACAGTAGACAAGCACGCTTCACAATAAAAGATAACGATCTTTGATACACTGCAGCGTTGGAGTCAAGTGTGTGTTGTATCTATTCCCGCACACCGCACATGCAGTCAAAAGATACTAGCAAAATGGAATCGTCTGTGGACTACGCTTTATACTGTTTATCTTGTTGGGTGAAATGGAAACTGGCTGCTGGGAGGATCGTGTCCTTGATATTTACTAAGCAACTGATGCCGTAGAATCTGTTAAGTTGTTTACCTTGTCAGACAATTCTATATTGCCATTTGATTGCTCACAGAAAAGCATTTCTTCCGTGAATCTACATGCTCATTCACATTCGTGTCTTTGTTTTCGCTTGACACGGTGCCGTGCACGGCCCCCCTCACAACCAAGCGGCGACAGCATCGGAGGTACAGCAGCCCATGGTGAGAGACACGTACCACTACCGCCGAAGCACGCTTGTCTACTTGACCATCAGGTACCACTCCTCCTTTCATTTCCTTTGGTGCTGTATCTTTTGTTATGCCATAGTAGGCAACCCACAAGTTGATACGCAACCCGTTATCTGGGCCAATGAGAATTCACGGGGATTTGAAGTCCCGAACGAGAAAAATGTCTATATAAAGCGAGCAATTTCGCCTTTCTTTTTTCTCTTCTCTTCAGTTCGTTTTGGTACAGCTTTGGTCTGTAGTACAGATGCACTGCTCTGTGCCATGATCGGGTCATTGCTTGTGCTGGCTATTGTCATAATTCTTCTGATGATCGGCAGATTCAGTGGTCCGCGCCCTGAAGAAAATTTGCAATATATACCAGTGGGAATGTGGTCATATACTCCGGCAGCCGATCGTGAACCTTCGGGTGCATGTGATGCCAACGGTATATGTTGGGATAATTGAAACGAACTTTTTTATTATTATTTATTACACACAAATAAGAAAATGATAAACAAATAAAAAATATATTTTTCTTTTTCGCACTTTCCGCATAAACGTTTTACCGCTTTTGCCTCGCCTTTTTTTTATGTGCACGACAAGTTCCTTTTTCTTTTTTCGCGAACAAAAAGCTAATTACTCCCCCCTCCATCCATTCACAGCTCCGTGCTAAACCAAAGCGGGGAACAGTGACAGTGGCTCTGTATCGTAGCCGAAAGTAACACGATCACAATGCTTTGGCACTCTTTTTCACCTTCTGTGTTCGCCTAAATTGCCAAAGTAACTGTCAAGAAAAAAATTGTTACCGAGGACCCTCCTTTAGAAAGAGGTTATTTTATAAGAGACAACGCTAGAGCATACGCCAGCAGACATGTATAATTGCCAGATCTGTAAATTGGAAAGTTTTTTTTTTCAGCTGTTCGTCTCTCTCACTCTTCCTGCACGTAGCTTATCACAACACAATTTTCTTATCATTTTGGGTTTTACCTGGATCGAAAAGCTTGCACTGATCTTTCCGATGTGCCTGCTTTTAAAGCGTGATTCTTGTAACAGCTCTTTCCCTCCCCTTACACCTTCACTTCTCTCTTCCTTTTCTTATTTAACTTTACTTCGTTACATATTTTCAAGGTATGCGTTACCTATTTGAAAGTGATGATCGCTCACCAAAGATATCAGGGGGACCTGTTGAAGATATGATATATTTGCTCTACCAAAACATGCACGCACCCACACACACAGGGATGCTGTGTTTTCCAGGCCAAGCGATTCGTTACTCATATATGACTTTTGCGGTTTGTAAACAATAAACGCGAGTGTTCACTGAAGCCTTTTGCTTCGTATCGAGAAGTCGATGCTTTTAGAAAGAGCCCTGTTCTAATGTGTATCTGCGTATCGCTATGATAGCATAAAATTCAGGTGAGCTACCTGGTTCGACTCGCTTCTCCTTTGTCGGACATACTATTCACGAGTCCGGATTATGTTATACAGGCTTTGTTCGATTAAAAGCCTCGTGCCAAATTTCTTTTCGCGCGTCCCCTTTCACATACACGTAATATGACTGATTTGATCTCGATTTTGCCTCCCGAATCATTCAGTACATCTTCTCGTTTATCGGACAGCGGGCTGTGTCGAATGTGTGAAAGTATGTCGCCGCTGGTTATACGCGATCCCCACTTACCAGACAGCCCTGTGGACACTGGTGGGAATCTCGCCTGATGCATGGAACAAAAGGAGCGACGCGATGCTTCAATGTTTGGGACAACAAGTCGAATCAGTATACATCAAATCTCAAGCCACGTATAAAGTACTGGAACGACTTGCTTGGCGAAGATACAGCATTCGCTTCCTTGGTGAAGTAAAACGATACTCTTTTTTTTTGCGTTAAGAGGATCGCGTATTCGGTAGTACTTACTACTGCTTATGCGCAAAAGATATACTAAAGCTTTTTCTTTGTTTTCAATAAGACATTAGCAACCATGTGCATAGCAAACAATTACAACCTATTTTCGACAGTAGCACGTTACTGCCAGGTATCATCGGATATTTCTCGCATACGCTAACTGCTCTGACGATTTATTTCACACTTGCGATATCTCGCTGCCAATGCTACTGGACTTCTTGCCGTCATTAACGCATCTTTCAGTGATGTTTGATGGCCGCACTAACTTATCAGACGCTACTCTTGAACAAGTTGATGGCAGAAGCAGACACAAAAGGCCACCGATACACAACATTATCTTCTTAAGACTGGACGGTGTTCTCAGTTTTAAATACCGGATCCGTCCCTTATTGCAGCGTTGCTCCCACATCAAGTACTTGATATTATCGCCTTACTCACGATTCAACAACGTATCTCCAACCAACATCTATACAGCTTATGAGCTGTGCCCTCTATTACGCTACATTATGTGGGAATGCAGCGAACCAGTCATAGCAGACAGATGGATTTCACTATCAAGAAGCACGAGTGCTTATATTAAGTAACTGAAAGGAAAGCATCGAATGATGGCGAGGAAGGCAGTATGGCTTATGAACTGCTATTCAACGGCAAGGGACACGAGAGGATCATGCCAATAGTAGTAAAATCGCAGCCGATACTAGAACATTTACGTATAGTCGCCTGTGGTCTTTCTGATATTCATTGCTGGGATGTCTTGGCACGCAACCAATTCACACAGCTGACAAGTTTGGGGTTGACGGACATCACTGGTATGTCAAGCGAAGATTGGTCCCAGATTTTGCTCATGCAGCAACAAAATGAGATCTTGGAAGTTGGAAATCGCGCTGGAATAACGCAGTATCTGAACAGCATTATCGCAACCATCGGTACGCTGCAACGGCTCCGTATACTTTCCTTGCGAAATTTCCTTCACATGTTCAGCGAGAATCCTCTTTGCGATCTTACTCCGCTTCGACGTTTGCAACAGCTTGAAAAAATGCGTCTCACGAACATACCCATCGACAACCAAGGTCTAATGCAGTTGTGCGAACCATCACAGCACCCACTAGTCAGGAGATTAAGCTTGAACCCGCACATCACCGTACAGTAATAGTGTCGACGACTTTCTCACAGAGGCAGGATGGATTGTGTGGGCACAACGACTTGAGGAAACCAAAATACTGAATCTGGAACTGACAGCCGTGAAAGGTGTTACTGGTGCTGTCCTTGAGCATTTTGAACAAGTCGAAAGCTTGGTGCTATTGCGTGTTTCACGGATCTATAGTCTCACCAATGCAGGCATCAATGCTTTTCGTATCATTGAAGGATCTAGTAAAAAGATTGAAGTCGTGGGGTGTTCAGGATTATCTCGGACAGATGATCTTCGTATGCCATACAACATATTTTTAATAATTGAGTACCATTGCGGTGATATTTGCAGTCTGGCTTGTACTTTTATCTATAATGAGCTGATAAACAATATTGGCAGCATGTTTAATTAATCAGTTTTCCAGGTTGGATTGTTGTGATATCTGTATAGTCAAGCATCGATTTGAAATGTTTACATATACACTTACTAGATCCAGGATTGATGGAAAGGCAGCACGATATGGATCTGGTCGGCAGCGAGTCTGGTGCCCTTTCAAACCTGAGCGAAAGCACAGACTAATTTTTTTTGGTTACCCTATGCTTTCCTTATATATCAGAAATGCTTGTGTACCTCTTTTCGTCACAAAAGGGATCACCTCGCACTCTATATGATATAGTCTCTGTGACAGAAGAGAGAAAAAAAAATGAAGTGAGAATATTCTTTCTTCCGTTGTTGAATAGAAAGACCATCGTCGCCTCCTCCCCTCTCCCTTTATGACCAAAAAAAAGCAGTCTGTATGCTGTATGTATGCGCATACGCGCGTTCCTGTTCATGTCGGGCAGTGGATTTTTAATGCCCGGTATTTGGATTTCATTGGCCAACGTGCTGCTGCAACTATACTCGAACCGCTTTGAGAGTTATACTACGCAGAGGACTTATTGGAGTCAAGTTTACTGACAAAGGTCAATATTTATGGTAAGCGGGAACATTATCATCTTCCACATGCTAGGATATATACGGGATCAAGAACATCTTGAAATATAGCGATTCCCGGAAAGTGTTCCTCATATTTTCTGGGCAAATTCTAACTACAGTACTTTGTCTGTTTAAACTCTATATGTAACAAACTCATGAGCAGTTGTTCAGTAAATGAACCCAGTGTCTTAAGCTTGATGCTTACCAAACGAACAACAATACGATAGCAAGCTCAAAACGCCAGAGAAAAGGCAAGCCTGATACAAGACGCTGGAGTGCTACTGTGTGCTGTCAACCAAGATATAAACATCACCCTAGTAAGCTTCCTGGATCCCAACTCCGCTCAATGGATTGGATAGCATTGTAATACCCTGCAGATGCGGTAACGAATAAACAACAGCATTCAGGATGTCTAGATTATATAACTAAAGTCATCCTGGCAATAGCAACATAGAGAGCAAAAGCTAGTTCAGTCTTCCTTACTTTCAAAGAAAGAAAAAAAGAGATGCAAACGAATTATTGAAAAGTAATATGCAAAAGGCAACCATGACTGAATCAACCCACACTTGTGAAAAGCATTTACTGTATATATATTAAAAAACCGTCTTTATGACAAAGGTTAGGTCATAGTTTTAAAATGATGATAAGGATAAAATACTCACCAAAAGATGGCTGTTTGACGGTTATAAAAGAGAGAACGGGTATAAATGATATGGATAAAACTGATAGAAAGGCTTATATGGATCAAAAGAGCTAGTTAGAGAGTTTGAATAAGCATATGGGCACTGCAAGAACAATAAAAGTAACCAGGTATGAACGGTAAGCAGAGAAATATAAGAAATAATATAAGTAAACTTTAGAGAGGACAGAGGTGTTTTGGTGTAGGAAGAAAATAAGAGATAATATAGAAATGGATGTAGAATAAGGGTAGATTCAAATTGAAAGTGAGGCGGTACTGCGAAATCCCTGAATCCACAAAAACACATTAATATTTATGAACGCGGCGAAGTGTGTTGACACTGTAGGAAAATTCTTGTGGTTCTTGTGAATTTCTTGTGAATTTGGACCCCCGCTGGCCTCATTCTTGTGGTTCTTGTGGATTTCTTGTGAATTTCTTGTAAATTTGTGACGTCTGTCACTGCCTGCTCTGGGTCGCCTGGTTTTTGTGGATTCTTGTGGATTTCTTGTGAATTTGGACCCCGCCGGCCTCATTCTTGTGGATTCTTGTGGATTTCTTGTAAATTTGTGACGTCTGTCACTGCCTGCTCTGGTCGCCAATTTTTTTTTTGGTGGTTCTTGTGGATTCTTGTGGATTCTTGTGATTAAACAGTACTCTCTTGTTATAACCACCTGGTTAACCAGGGTGACAAATACTTTTATATTACCGCAAAAGTTTTTTTTCTTTCTTTTCTTCGCAAATACTAACCAAACACCTCCCAACGCTAACCTTAATCTCCTAAGTCTTCACTCGTATGGAGCATCGTCTTATTAATGTAGAGACAAATCAAGCAGTCATTCTGGAGAAGCTCGACCAACTGCTAACGGCGTAGTCCCTAGTCGAGGTACCAGTTGTCGATGAAGCAGAACTTGCTGAGACGGTTTCCCTCATTCCCCACCCAATGACTCTAAATGCCAAGGGGAAGATGGTAAAGAAAGCGAGCAAGGATGATGTTGAGCGCCTTCTCCTTCAAGGCTACCACCATTATGAAGGAGGTGCCTTGATCAAAGCCCAGACCGACATCAAGCACATTAGCGAACGTGTTGTGGTCGATCTGGTGAAAAGATTGCAGAATCGTGCTGACAACAGCGTGACCCACTACTTTGCTAAGCTACAAAGCAAAGATAGGCAACTGGGCTAATAGCCTTTTCATGAACCTGGCAAAAAAGCAGGGCATTGGTTTTGCTGTCTGCCAGGGCCAGTGGGCAGCTCGCCATATCCTCCAGGAATGCTGGCATAACTACGGCAGATCCAGCAAGTCGAGAGCGGTTTCTAGGTATGATAACTACTACACTAGAGCAACCACAATCAAATATATATTAACTATCAGGTAGACAACAAGAACCGGCTTCTGCTATTCCTGTCTCTGCTTCTCTTCCTGCTTCTGCTTTTCTTCCTGTTTCCGCTTCTGCTTTTCTTCCTGCTTCTGCTTCTGCTTTTCTTCCTGCCCCTGCTCCTGCCCAGTCCACGCAGTCTACCAAACGACGCCGTACGACAAAGCGGCTCGGAGCTGCTCCCCCCACAAAAATATACATAATTAAAAGGTAAGTTAAAGTATCAGAAAGTTGATTATTGTATAAACACACACACATACACGTATATATATAGCGAGAGTGTATGTGATATATAGAGAGAGAGAAAGGGGTGGTTTTCATCTGTATACGCTCGACCAGTATTCCATCAATCAATAAACCTTAGCTAGTATCATGTAATTGAATAAAGCTATTTTTTAAAATCTATATAATGAATATTCCACAAAAATGTTTTGTGATTTTCCTGTGAACGTGTGACCGCTTTGGTATTCCACAAAACGTTTTGTGATTTTCTTGTGAACGTGTGACCGCTTTGATTTTCTTGTGAACGCGTGACCGCTTTATCGCTAATTTAAATTCACAAGAATCCACAAGAATTCTTGTTACTTTACTTAGTGTTTACAAGAATTTAAAATTCACAAGAATTTTCCTACAGTGTTGAGTTGTCCGAATCAATCTCAAAGTAGTGTAGTTTATCACAGCATTATCTCGCATAGCCCAAGTTGCGCTATTAGCTAAACTGTCGCGATCCCATTCCTAAGCCTTCACTGTCCAAATATAACATAGACCTTGGGCCATATCTTTGAGATACACGGCCTTGTATTCTTGGCTAGTCTATATGTCGAGAGTATCTTATCATTATGTTACTGCAGGTCCAACCTCCGTTTGCATGAACGGAACTTTCATTGGACAAAAGATATCATCGCCGCGCAAAAAGAAAAAAAGGCACCATTTCGCCTTGTGATGTGGAGAACTCAATGAGCTGCTAATTATGTACCAGTGACTAGCTTACTTTACGTATACAGCATAGACAAGGGAGCTCAGTGTCGCAAAATAGCTCTTACAGAGAACACATTAGGGAGCGTGAGGTAATGGTAATGCGCAAGAAAAAAAGGGTTGAAGCTCCGTCTGCCCAAACAGCGGGGCAATAAATTTCGAGATTGACGCGTGCCTCTTTTTTTCTTCTTCTTTAGCTCGCTACCATAATGTTCCCGCCCACAAAGCTACAACTCATCCACAAGGAACCGCAACAGCAGCAACCCCAACCGCAAAGCATGACTGACAGAGTCTTTAAAAAGCCTGTCAGACGCTTCAATCGAGCTCGACATGGAGCATTAACGGCATCATTGCAGCCACCTCCTACATCACTCGCACCCGCAATTACCCCACCACCTGCAGTTCCATCAGCACCTGCAGCTCCCGCAAAGCGTGAGGAGCCCTCGGCTGCCCCAACGCCAATCAATACCGTGCTTGGAAAGTTGATGGCAAAGAGAAATGAACAGGAAAGTGAGCGCAAGCAGTTGCGGATTGAGAAAATACAGCAGGTGCAGCAACAATGGTTGCATGTCTCGCCACCGCCACTCTCCCCTTCCCCTCCCACACCAACACCACCACCGCAGCAACAGCCTTATTTCGACGAAGATGTTGAAATGGAGGATGTTCTGCCAACAATACCACCGCAGCAACAGCAGAAGGAGGAACAATATGTTCCCACCTTGCTTGATTTCAACGAAGATGTTGAAATGGAAGACGTTGAGGAGCAGTCGGTGGATACGGAGTGGAAGACCGGTGAAGGAGATGAGATGGAGTGGGAACCCACCCCGCCCCTCAAGGTAATCTACTGGCCGGTTTATTCGTGGTAAAAAAAAGTAAGTACTTGACCTTGTTTTATCAGTCTTGGTTAGATTGACGAGTACCTGTTATAAACTAATTGTTGACTCTTTTAGGCTCTTTTCCTCTTTTCTTTTTTTATTGCAGTGCCGTACGACGAGAAAACACCAGAAAACCCGAAAAAAAAAGCAAAAAAGCATTACAAAACCTCTGAAAAAAAACCACAAAAGCAAAAACACAAAAACATTTTAAAAACATAAAAAATACTGGTAAGCTTATCTCTCACACTTAATTTATTGGCTGTGGCGCGTAATAGCGTGTATCATGGGTACTGACTGCGTTTCGTTGACTTTGACAGGTCATTCCCCTTTTGTCCTTTTTACCGCCACTCTGCCTCCGCCATGATCAAAACTTCCTCCGTTTCCGCCCTATTTATTTGACAAAGCGCCTTCGTGCGCTTTAGCTGGACTCCATGCCCAGAATAAGGTACGTACATCCGATACACTCCGTTGTTACCTGGTATGATTACAAGAGATGAATAGCTAATGTTTGCCATATCATTTTTTCATTAGACGAGAAGCGTCTTCAAGTGGCAAAGACAAGTTTTGAAGTTTTGATGGTGTGAGGTATATATTTTTCAAATTTCAATATACCAGAACATCGCTTCATAATAGTTTCCTCACCCTTCACTCTTTGTACTCTATATAGGAGCAGCGGTGGCCGACCAGTGTGCGGCGCAGTACGGGCGTCTCAGTAGTTGATTCTCTAAGACACATGGCAAGTGTTTCGGTGGTGAGCATTGGCATTGGCGTTTGTGCTGTATGCATCTCAGCGTGTCTGTGCGGTAAGTGCATGGCAGTGGAGATATTGACGGTGTCATTTGGGAACTGTGTCCTGCAGAGAGAGTTGAGGGGTGTGAGAACAATGCGACTTGGATCTAAGGGGGTTGGGGCAGTGGAAGGGAATGTGATCTGGTGTGGTTATCTGCGCTTTGGGATGCAACATCATCTGTTTTTGTAGGTAGTCCAAGATAAGAAGAACAGCAGAGATATACAAGACAGTCCTTTGGCGACAATGATGGTATGTACAGACTTATTTGTTTGGTTGGTAACTATAGAAAAACGTGTGGATCTGTACTATTATCGGTATTACATTCAGAAATCACTAACGATAGATGTTCTGGAAGCATCCCTTATAGCGGCTCTTCTTTCTTCGCAGCTGAAGCTCGGGAAAAAAAAGTCGTTATAAGGGATGAGTGTTCTGGCTAGGATGTTCAAGCCATTCTAGCCATGTGTAGATTTTTCCCGATTCCCGGTCTTGGACTACCTACAAAAACAGATGATGTTGCATCCCAAAGCCCAGATAACCACACCAGATCACATTGCCTTCCACTGCCCCAACCCCCTCAGATCCAAGCCGCATTGTTCTCACACCCCTCAACTCTCTCTGCAGGACACAGTTCCCAAATGACACCGTCAATATCTCCACTGCCATGCACTTACCGCACAGTTCAAAGACACGCTGAGATGCATACAGCACAAACGTCAATGCCAATGCTCACCACCGCAACACTTGCCATGTGCCTTAGAGGTCATCTGCTGGGGCGCCTATGATGGCCTTGCAGGCCATGGGTGGGTGTATGGTGGCCCACAAGCCCAGTGTAGCACGCGTGTGCTATTCTGGTGAAGGCAGCGAGTTTATATTCTTCGGGTCGGTGGTCTCATGGTGCCACTCTCTGAGAACACAACCAAGGATCGCGTCGCTGATTGCGGTCGAGCATTTAGCAAAAGAAATACCATACCATACAATTGCGATACTTGAATGAGCAGCGGACATGAACCAAGGAAATCTCTTTAACATCAATCATATTATGCATCACATTATCAACACCTTCTACAAACAATATCAGTGGTAAGTCACTTTCTGCATTGTTTAACGCCACTTTAAGTTTCGATTGACTGATCATCTAACGCTATGTTTGTATTAATCTTGTAGGGGAAAACAACAAACAAACAAAAAACAGAAAAGGATGGAGCTGCCGACGCATATACAGTGCGGCTTTACGATCCAATAGGATGGAATCACCGACAGATTTACAGTGTGATTTTCCAATCCATGATATTACCCTCCCAAACACCGCATAGTGAGATGCAGCATATACAAAAGGTACGTATGGATTGCGAATACAGAGTCTGCTGAAAAATGTTGGATGGAAGCGACTAACATACCATCTTTTTTTTACTGCAAACGTTCATAGTCATAAATACTACAACATGAATACCTTTGGTCATGTCCGCCTGCTCCGCGATGCATTACATTTCATTTTTAATAATAAAGCATTGCATAACAAAAATTCTGTTTTCTCTTATTTCACTTACATTTTTACTTTTGGCTGTACCTGAGATACAGTATTTGAGATATAAAGTGCCAGTATTGACTTAAAACCTATGTGTGTATGGTATATGCGCCACGCTGGCTAAAGTGATAATGCATCAATGCGTTGCTTGATATAACTTATTGACTGTAAATAGCAGCAGCAAGTCGGTTTTAGAGCCTTCAGAATTAGAAGGCACAGCAATAGTACTGTATTCTGGAAATAAGATCAAGAGCAGAGAGCGTCTATTTTTTTGTATGATAGACGCAGTTGTATTTACCAGTTCTATGGTGTTTTCTTGATTAAGCGGCAATTCGTAACGGCGCGTATGCAGGTCGCTGGAGTTCAGCAACAGTTGTCGAGTAGCCAGACACTGACTACACGTCGCGTTGCATCTGACTTTAGCAGTAACAAGATCAAACGCGCCCGCAAACGGACTTATGCCAGCAGCAACCGTTATTATCAGAAAATGTGACATCAAATCCTCACTGTGTCAGCCTGCCTCTGCAGCAACTTTGAGTATATAATAAAAAGACTCTTCAAAAAAAACGACCATCAAGTAATAGCAAGTTTTCTACTAGGAAATTAGCTATTCAAGGCACCTTAACTACACCTTTACCCATGAGAAAAAAAAGCCCGAGTCAAGCCCCAGCAGAGAAAGCATCCTTGGATCTCCTTGACATATTGTTAATTTCCGGAATTTGCCAAGGAAATACCATGACAAAGTCGGGCGACTCGCCAATGCGAATATATGAAAGAAAAAGGCTTGTAAAAGAGAAGACGGTCATAAAAAGAGTTACTTTATCTATATTGTTAGAGAAACGCTATTACCAATAATTACCTGGTACGACCCAAGACATATACCACCAGCTACGACGGCAGCTCTCTTCTGCTCGATGCCCCTCCGTATTATCCGGAATGTAAGCAATCCATTGACGATATAATCAAGCGCCCGGCACCTTTATTCATTTTCGAAATGCTCCCGGTCAGCGGTCTCGTTGCCGCGACACTGTCATTTGATTCTATTGGGGAGAGGACGTTATACCGCCACCAATTACTATGTAGTCAACAGAGATTTAAAAATGGCTCTGCCTAAGGCATATCTTCGCAAGAGCCTTTTCGAAGGATACACGATGTTGCCTTGGTGTTATACGCCGACATGGTTTTCAACCATTTTACTCAATACCAATTCAATGACAATCATATACCTTGTTAATCTGGATTGACCCTCAATAATGTCTTTTTATAAATGCATGACTGCTATTGGGTCGTTGCTTCTTCATTATTGTTAACACTTTCACCCGTTTAAATACCAAAGATGTCAACATGTTTCAAGTCGCCGTTATATCTAACAAGGCCAAGAAGCTTCGCTCATACCTTAGATCGATCATCGACGAGCTCAAAGTTCTCCAGCATATATACCCGAGCTTACTGTCACTAGATAACAAGCGATACTAAACACGTGTGCACTTGCTCTTCGCCACAGGTAATATACCCGCCGAATCTGCACTCTCCCATACGTCATATTATAATTGCCGTAGTTGTGTCAGAGATAATGTAGATCGTATTAGGAAGAAGGAACGGATTACATTCCAATTTAATAGAAGATCGTTTTTTTAAGCGTGAAATATTTTACTGGGAGGATCGCCTCTTCTTTGACTGGGTTAAGCTTTAATGCCTTTTCGATTTTGTATATCATGCGAGCGCTTGCATGACAATCGCATATGCGCTAAAGTCTAATTTTCCACAATGACTGGTTGAAAAAAACCATAAGCCTTAGAGGAAAATAGGGTACTCTTCTGCAGATAGAAGTTTAGGTGCAATGAAAGAACAAAGGGGAGAACTATGTCTATCACGGTTTCTTTTGATCGCTTCTTATTATTCGTAATTTCAGAGTGTTGACGTAAAGGGAATGGGTACCAATATTACTAGGTACACTTGCGCTCGTATTTCTTCTTGTTCTTCGTAAGTTGTAACGCGTCTTGAAAAGGCAGAATTTAAAGGTTGCATTATTGATGGCCTATACTTTATACACAGCAACTGGTGCTATTTTAAAAAAATTAAATTAATGTTGTCTCTATTTAAGACCAGTTGTAACTATATCAAACATTTTGCTATTGCGACATGACGTTGACGGCATACTTGAGTCTATTATCACTCGGAAGCAGCATTCAACGACGGTCGAGCAGTGACAGCTTTGAACGCGAGGAACAGGTGTATCATTTATGCCGGATGGATTCAGCATTGTCGCGTGCTCAAGTCGACGTTGTTAATGCCGTCAGTCAGCACAGTGCCCCTGCAGAAGAAAAAGGTACTCTTCATACACCGGCACAACATTACAGACAAGACTCGAAGGCTGATTGGTCTCTTCCTCACCCGATCGTATCCTTATAGAGGCACGAGAGAGTACAGTGGCTGTAAGTTTGACCATGGGCACTATGGTGGCCAACTACATTTTGTGTTTCCCGATCGTCGTTGCGCGACACCGATTACAAGCTTTCCCAATACCAGGACGTAGTGACTCGCCACTGGCGTTTGTATGTTCATTTCGACGCATGTATCGTACACGAGGCCTTCCATCAATGTATTCGGGTATTGGTTTCGGTCTCCTCAGCCAGGCAGTTACAGGCGCATATGATTCGTATTATGGCAAACCCCGGGGGACTGGGATTCTTCCATTTGTAACAAAGACATGGTACGAGGACGAGCGATGGAGGGAAAAAAAACAAGGATATGGTAGAAAAAAACTCACGGATATTTGCTAACACTGGTTTGGTATACGAAATTATGATGGAATGGAATGATGTAGTCTAGGAACAGGATTGTTTGTCCTGTTATATCCATTTTATCGAAGTGCATTAATCGTTCGAGTCCAGGCAGCGGGCACTCACAAGTTAATACGAGGTGTCAAGGATTTCATTTTTTCATATACACATTGCCTTGCACGCTTTTTCACTTTTCGACGCATCAGCCATTCTCAACAACAACAACAACAACCTCTACATATCTTGTCTGTCTTTATACCGTCCTGTCTGACCCAGATTTTGACCGAAAAACTATTGCTTTTCTTATACCAACGGATTTACCCCTTTGTCTCCTTTCGAAAACCATTCAATTCGTGGTCATCGCGACGGTCACGATTACTTCAACAGCAGCAACAAAATCATCATCACCGTAGATCACGACGCCACGCGGTAGAAGATTCAAGGATCGCCTTGGAATCGACTTTACTCGCCGATCTCGATCCAACGGGTGTTGTTGGTGGTAGTGGTAACATTGTCAATCCATCATCAGCAGCAGCCGCTGCTGCTGTTGCTGCAACTTCTTCTTCGAGCGGTGGTAGCAGTAGTGGACGAAGACGAGAAGACGCCAAACTATTACGGACATTTTATCCAGAAATGGTGTCCGGTATAGCAAGCAGCATTATCACACGAGCCATAAGTTTCCCCGTCGACACGGTCGTATTTAAGCTGATGCTTCAAGACACTGGAATGCAGCCAATTCCTACATACTATACTGGGTTCTTTGACTGCGTCAAACAAACTTGGATGGAAGGCGGATGGAAGGCATTTTTCCCTGGTTGGGGCGGCTTGGTCGTCGAGATTGTTGTCAGTTACCTGGTTTTGGAAGGGTCTTGGATGGTATATCGTGCGGCCGACTGGAAATTAAGTACATATCCTAGTCAAGAACCACGGAGTGTTCGAAAAGCACGGCATCTCCGTGAAAGAATGAACCATAATCGTAATAGGAGTAACTCATAATAATTTACAGCGTTGGCTTTGACCGTGTAAAGTAAAAACAAGACATGGAATTGTACCAATGACTCGTACCCACTTGACTTCAAAATCGTCTTAGCCACCAGCTCTTTTCTACGCAAATATCTTGGTTCACGCCAGTTCCCAGTTTTGTTTATGTCGATAGCATTCATTTGTTGATACTCACGATGTTGGGCTCGCTCTTGTGTATACAGTATTCTTCACTTAATTCGAACCGAAAAGAGGTGCTGCGTTAAAAGAGCTGAAGATTTACGTGAAATGAGAGAGTTTTAAGCATCAGTATGTATGATATATGAGGTAATAGGGTAAACTAAGAATGTTGAAATAACGGAAGGTTGATTTTATTATGAATGGAATTAAACGGGGAACCACTGGAATTTGGTTATGTACACCTCTTTACTAACATGTGAGGGCAATATATATATGTTATACATATGAGAGCGCAAATACCTATGATAATCTGTTTATTCTCAATAGAATTGGCCCTATTAACATTTGAATTTGTAAGGTAACACAACCCGAGTTTTAGTGGAGAAGAAGTGTGTCGATCACGACGTTGAAGTATCAAGCTATTCGAGAATCTTTCGCTTTCTGAAAAGCGACAGAGCAGTAGAGACTATATTCGCAAGGGACCATGTTCTCTGCTCAGCGCTAACTTAGACGCAAATCAACCAAGAGCATTTGTTGTCCTAAAACCAGGTAAAGATAGCTTCGTATATGTCTTGATTGGATGTTCTTAGCAGCTTTTAATAGCCAAGGAAAAGAAGTTTGAATAGTTTTCACGACATGATGGTTCTTGGGTTCGAATATCTCTCGTTGAATGTGCCCGGTCGATATAAGAAGTCTCGCGAAACAGTTCCCCAAATTCTCAGCTTCCGAGATGCGATAATTTTACTAAACTATTAGCAGCAGCAGCAAAACCATCCTACGTCAATATATCGGTAGTCAAGCGTGTGGATAGCATCTATGCATATCTTTGACAATCTCGAACCGTTATTGGATATCTTTAAAAAACTCTCTAGTTTGCCAACTTTCAAAACTACCAACGCTGTACTCTTAACACTCACCATCCTTCTTTCCTTCTCACCATTTCCGCTTTTCTTTTTCTTTTTTCTTTTACATACTTTATTATATTTTTATGGGTTGCTTCTGAAAAGTGCGTTCGAGGAAAGTGCTTGTTTTTGATGGTAAACAAAAAGAAGAAAAAAGGTTGGGGGTGTGGTTGGTGTGGTAATAGTAGAAATGTATCCGTGTATTGTTTTATATCTTTTCGTAGTCCAGCTTGGTTTCCAATTTCTTCGCATCTGCGACCTTACGAACGGCCTTCATAAAATCTTCTTGGATGCAGTAATCACGTTCTTCTCGAATGGCAAACATACCAGCTTCCGTACAGACGTTTCTCAAATCAGCACCGTTGAATCCATCTGATAACTTGACAATAGCTTCATAATCTGTAACAGTGGTTTACCAGTATGTCAAAATGAGTTATCAAGTAACACGTAGCTAGTAAGAAAATACCATCCTCCCTTTCTAAATAATAATTTTTTTTACCTATTTCGCCATGCTTCGTAATATGGCCAGCATGAATCTTGAGAATTTCCAAGCGACCTTGTTCGTTGGGCAAAGGAATTTCAATCTTACGATCAAGACGACCTGGTCGCAACAATGCAGGGTCCAACGTGTCAGGACGGTTGGTTGCCATAATCAGCTTGGTTTGTCCGAGATAGTCGAAGCCATCCATTTGATTTAAGAGCTACAAACCATGTTTAGTTTTTCTTTTCACCTCAAGATTTTTATCACCTTGCTTTATTTCTTTGTTAATCATCGTTCTTTTTTTTTTACCTCCATTAAAGTACGCTGAATTTCACGATCTGCAGAAGTGCCTTCAGAGAAACGACGGCCACCAATAGCATCGATTTCGTCCATGAAGATAATACAAGGCTCATGTTCCTTTGCATAGCCTATATACAATCGTGCACTCAAAGCATTAGAAATCAATCTCTCCATTTGGTACCTGAATGAAGTTAACCTTTATCTCCAAACACCCAAAATGAAACTTACCAAACATTTCACGGATTAATCGAGCACTTTCACCAATGTATTTATCGACGATTGCACTTGACACCACCTTTAAAAAGTTGACGGACAATGTGCTTGCCACTGCCTTTGCGAGGAGAGTTTTACCAGTACCAGGAGGACCATAAAGAAGCACACCCTTGGGAGGCTTGACGCCAACACGTAAGAACAACTCAGGGTTCAACAAGGGCAGTTCAATCACTTCTCTCAATTCTCTGATTTGTTCTCCTAAACCACCGATACCAGCAAAGCTGACAGAGCCTGCGTCCTCCATTGACATGTTGTATACAAGTGGGTCCACCTCACGAGGTAAGATGCGCATAATTGTGAGAGTCGTCATATCCAATGCCACACGTGCACCTTGCTTGAGCTTGTCTTTATCCACTGTGTTACGACAGCCAACAACATATCGTGGTCCACTCGTGTTTTTTACAATAACTATATAGCATTCGAAAAATATACCAATGTCAAGAAGCAGCTCATTTAATTCGATATTCACTAAATTCACAACTTCCCATCCCTTGAATTTCCCCTTTTCCTTTGCTTGTTTGCCTTACATCGTTCTTCGTCGAGTTGTTTCAACACTTCGCCAATGACTTGGCCGACACTTTGTAATGCTTTAATGTCATCTTCTGAACGGTCGTATTCTTTTTCAAGCGATCGCAATCCGAGACGCACTATACAATGATTACGAGTCATTAAAATAAGTCCCCCTTACATCTTTCATGTTCCTTGGAATGGATGACTCATAGAGGGCGAGACAGGTTATTTAGGTGACGTACTATCTTTGAGTTTTGCATCCAGTTCGCGATGCTCCAGCAATCGTCGCTTGTAACCACTGAGAGCTCGTGCCTTAGGATCTGCTTCGGGTTGTGAAGAAGAACCTTGTACTGATGTCATTTTTTCTTATTGCTTATTGGCAATAGCGTTGCGTTGTATATAGAAAAGAAATAGAGGTTGGAAGAAAGAGACGTATACGCGTCCTGCTTAATCTTAGGTCCTTTCCGCAACGTCACCGACCCAATTTTTTTATCGCAATAAGGCAACTCCGCCTTGCTATTGGTGCTGGTGACATGCTTTGGCATACACGTACACCTTCAAAACGCTGGTTTCTTAGTGACCTTATAGCCATCAACAGCACTTATTCGAGCATTATTGGATTTTATATCTGGTGGCCTTGTTCTTGTAAAAGAGAAGCTTAAGTTCTTTAGATTGTTGCCCCGTGCTTTGCCGTTGCTATGTATACGTTGTGTCACATAGTAACATGAACATTTTATATGCGGTTTTTAACAGAGTGTAGTATTTGTGTTTATATATACGAAGAGCAAATGGGAGATTGGTTAATTGTTTGTTTGTTGAGGTAGATAAAAGTTGATTATTATGCTAATCTTGAGAGAGAGAACAAGAGTACGAAATTGTATACAGGAATACATAGAGATTTTGGTGGTGTTTTTCGTTTCAAAGGGAGCAGCGTCATGATCCTTCCCTTCATTCTCGTCACTTCCTTGAATCAAACGTCGTTTTTCTTTGTGATGCTATTACCATTCAAAGTCGCCGCTGGCACGGTGGAACAAATAGTCTCTTCCGTTTACAAGCATGATGCCATCCTTCAACACACACTTCCACTTGTTCTTTGTACGAGTGACCTATTGTGTGGGATGCAAAATGGTCAGCAAAAATAAAAAGTTCAAACGCAAGTACATAGTAAAATTGCGTGTAGCTCTCTTCTTTACCTTATCATACAAGCACAGAATGATATGCTCGATTTCCTCTCCACCATCAGCGTCATCATCAGCATCATCTGAATCGTCAAGATCGGAATTAATATCGTCATCCTACAAACAACAACAACAACAACAACCACAGTTCAAGTTAGAAAAACAGCTAAACCTTCTCATTATATAGACAGTACTAATAGCAAAAACGACGGCCTCTCTTACCCCTGTGTCGCCTTCACCGTCAAGTTGCGGAATCCGTGTGTTTGGCTTGATGGCACCGGCTTTCACAGCACGATCCCGTGCGTCACGCATAAGGACTTTAACATCGTCAGGTAAAGCGTTCAGTGGTATGGAGTTTCCTGCGGAAGAAGTGGCTGTGAATGACAAGCTGGACGCGTCAGCGTTCTTGCACATATCGGCGATCTGTGCATCGATTTGCTAAATAGTAGAAAACAAAAACGTAAGTTTCTCTGAACCCTCTTGAATGTCACCTTTGTAATACAGGATTTTAAATATACCTCAGTAGTCATATCTGCATCGGCTGAGCCATCATTTTGAGGGATATTGGGTCGTGAATTGTTAGCAGCAGCAGCACCACCACCACCACCAGGCAGCTGGATATCCTGGGTGTTAGCATTAGTGGATTTTGTTTGTTGTGCTTGGGTTGTGTTGGGTTGCATCAAAGTATACTGCTGTTGCTGCTGTTGGCCATTCGCGTTTAACGTGGATGGATTGTACGAGTCAGCTTGCTGTTGTGTTAGTTGTGATTGTTGCGGTTGAGACATTTGCGGCTGCTGCTGCTGTTGTTGAGGAAGTTGTTGCCGAATACCACCAGCAGCTAAAGCAGGCAAGCTTGCTGTAGCGCCTTGTGCGTAAGGCTAAGGTGGACGCTCCTTTAGTGAGCAGGAAAACAGGAGCACGGAAAAATAAAAATGAAAAGACTTACGGTAGGGTACTGAAGTTGTGCGTTGTCACCTCCAGCTGCCATATTTATATTGTGTTGCTCCTCCCCGTCTTCATCATAATATGCCTCATCGCTGAAACCAAAGTTTGCTACTCGTGACCGAGCTACCTTGGCTTCCCAAGACTATTTCATTTTATCAAAATGGATTTGTCAGCTGTTCGAATGGAGGGGGTTTTTTTGGGTGATATGGTAAAAATCGCTTCTCCCTGTCGTTTCCCCAACCCCCCCCACCCTCTTCTCTCATTTTCTTACCCGTTGTAATTCTTGCAAAACCGCCTCGTCAATGCCCATGTCTTCAAACTCACCACGCACTTGACTGATGACCTCGTCAATTACGTAACGGTATACATTCGACTTCATTTTTTTAAGAAAAATTAAAAGCACAGAACGATATGTGAGTACGTATAAAACAGAGAAAACACCCTCAAAATAAACTGAGAAACTCACCACAATGGCATTAGACATTTTGGCTGATGATTAATATGGTTGGAAATATAAATGATGGAGGCGTTTATTGGAGCTAAATGATGCATAATCGTTGAGGATTCCAAAAAGATGGTAGTTTGTCGTACATGGAGTAGTATAATAGTACCCCACGAATCAGGTTCAACATATGAAAGATATTAAAAAAAGAAGATAAAAAAAAGACCCATATTCGTTATTCATAGAATATAAAATAAATATCATTGTTAGTGACCGATTGAATAAATACAACAAATACATGTTATGTGTACATAAACACATAAAAACTCTTTTCTTTTTGTTGCTATACTACTCTAATGGCAAAAGGGTGTACTAGGATACTAATAACAAAAACACAAGAAGAAGAGAAGGGCCATTTGTAAGCTCACCTTGAAAGAAGTTTAGCGGTAAAAGAAGCGCTGCTTTTATACTGCTGGTTTTACCAAAATTCCTATTTATACCAAAGTGACTGCGAAATTCAACCAATAAGCGTAAACTTTCTTTCTCTTGCAATCTGACGCCTCGAAACACCCACCAACACTTCTCTCTTCTATCTATGATATATTATTGACTGAGCATGCACCGACCGCTATACAGAGCGCGAAAAAATAATCTGCGATCAAACCATTAAGCATAGACGGTAGGTGCTTGATAATTGTGACCAAGCCGAGAGGCAAGGTCTTCTTATTCACACCAATATCCAAGACAGCGACGAAGACTATTACCAATGTTTTCATATGATTTTAACGACTCAAAGTCATTTCATGACGGCAGAATGAGTATGTCAATTCTTGGTTAGGCAGGAGACATTTTCTAGGCATTTAATACCTGCAAAACTTGATATTATCTCAGATATTTCTACCATCTAGTGTGTGCAACATAAAGAGTCGCTCACGATACTACTGTATATAAACCAAACTCACTCAAGAAATAGACTAGAGCGCAATTCTTTCCTCTGTAGTTCACGTATTGTTTGGCCTGTTTGCATTGAATGCATTGCCGTTTCTATTTGTTTTTGCTGTTGCATGTGATTATTAGTTTGTATTGACGTCTCATTCTTTATGACCCTGTATCACTACCTTGATATCCACTACGACGTTACACTATCATCTTATACCCGTCCCTTCATGAATAAGTATTCTTCTGCCTTTGTTCCCTCCCTCATTTCATATTCATTCTCCCCTTCCCCACGAGACCTGAGCGCATCCTTGTGGCTCGCTGACAACACAGCAATAAGGGACTTTAGAACGATTGCTGGGAATATGTATTATTACTGTGCGTGTTTGTGAGAATGTGCGAGTTTTTTTTTTTTTTTTGAAAAGTGAAATAATGTGGGCGAGGTTGGTTAGGTGTGTGTGTGTGTGTGTTTGTGAGAGAATAAAAGCAAGGAAATCAATGATGGGTCTTTTCGTTTCTCCGATCTAATCGAGTTGTACATAGTTGGCGGGTACAAGGCCTTTCTTGCCTGTGCTTGCTAACTCGGCTCGCCACCAATCGTCCGAATCTTTGTCAAGAACAACCAACGACGCACCAGCTTCAAAACTTAAACAATCTTCTTGTCCTGCAGGTCCTTCAAAATCATATAGTGCCTTGGCAGGCAATCGTACTTTATCCGCTGGTTCGGCAGAAATGGCAGCATCAGCAACAGCTGCTGCACCTAATAGTAGTAACAACAACAACAACAACAGCTTTTTAGGATTTCAAGTTGGTTTATCTCTTCCTGTTCTTCTTACCTGGTTCCTGAACATAGGCTTTAGGGAAATAACCTGTTTCGTTCGAGCCCTTCACACTTCCGTACCACCAGTCCGGATCAGAATCATTGAGAACGACAATGGTAGCGTCTTGTTCAAATGATAAGTCACCATCTCCTTGGCCAGTGTATGCCCACTGTGCAATGTATTCTATATACAGGTTGGTTAGAAAGGTTGGAATGATGTTGTTTACGCTAAACACTCATATAAAAAGGCTTTCCACTGAATCTTTCCATCCCAAATCCTTCTATTCCATCTATACCTTTGCCTTCTTGCGCCTGTTGTTGAACAGGCTCAGCGACGGGGGCAGCAACAGGGGCAGCAACGGGGGCAGGAGCTGCTTCTGTTGCTGCTGGAGCAGGACTACCACCGCCTGTGCGTGCTTGTAATTCGGCAAGGAAGTTGCTGCTTGGTGTTGCAGCGGGTGGAGGCGTAGGAGACGACGGTTGCTGAGAAATTGGTGGTTGTGATGGGGCTGAGGATGGAGCTGGAGATGAATCGCCGCCGCCGCCACCAATTACTTTTCCAGATACAGATGCAGCACTTCGATCATTAGTAGCCGCTTTTCGTAGCTTTGTACCCATTTGGATCTGGCTAAGCAAAGCACCGCGTCCTGTAGATGGCTCTGGAATATCGGACGATGGAGGAGGTGCTGGTGGCGCAGCAGGTGCTGATGGTGCAGCAGGTGCGGGAGGTGGTGGAGGTGCAGCAGGAACACCGCCGACAGCTGGTGGAGGAGGAGGTGGAGGAGGAACATCAGCAGCAGCAGCAGCAGCAGCAGAAGCGGCTGGAGGTGCAGGTGCAGGTGGAGTTGTTGGTGCTGCAGGCGATGCTATTTCGCGTGGCTGCATCATTGGACCTAAATAAAATGGTTTGTTTGTGTTTGTTAATTGACAATGTTGCGTTGTTATTACCCACCAAGCACTGGATCTGTCACCATCGCTATTACTGCTTAACTGTAACTTACTCTTGCGCTGGCTCATGGCATTAAACAGCATACCAGCGAGGTTCTTTGCGCTGCCTGCGGCAGGGAATTCGTTTTCGTCATCCGTATCGTCATGATGAACAACGTCCCAGCCGTCATCATCATCAGAGTCGCTCTCGTCATCATTGGCCTTGGTAGCAGAAAATGCAGAAAAGGCGGCGAATGGATTATAGCTGATTCGCTTGGATTTTGGCTGCTTTTCTGGCTCGTCTGCTACTACTGGTGCGGCTTCTTCCTTCTTGTCCTCTTCGGGTTGCTTATCTGTTTGCTGTTGGCCCTGTAGTTTAGCAAATGGGTTGTTGCTGCTCATCTTGTTGGCAGCAGCAGCAGCTGCTGCGGCTGCATCAGTGGCAGGTGCCTCGGGTGCAGGTGGAGGTGGAGGTGGAGGTGGTATCGATGATTCTTGAGCAACTGGGGGAGGTGGGGGAGGTGGTGTGGGGATCGATGCTGAAGGCGCAGCAGGAGGATCCATAGCCTTCTTTTCCGCTTCCTGTTCGCGTCGTCGTTGCTCTTCACGTTCCTCTTCGGCCTTTTGAATAGCAGCATGACGGGCCAGTCGATCTTGCTCCTCCTTCTGGAGCACTGCCTGTCGTCGAGCTTCAAGCTCCTTTTCTTCTTCAATTCTTCGCTGCTCATAATCTCGCTCTTCCTGGATGCGTCGCTCGTCTTGCTCACGTTCAGCTTGTACACGCTGCATTTCGGCTTCGCGTGCCTCACGCTCATAATCCCGAGGCTGTCGTTCGGTTTCATCCCGTCTCGATTCACCTTCACGGATCTTGGCCTGTGCTTGTTGCTCTGCATCACGTAACCGTCCTATTATCCATACAAAAACATAGCAATCGAATGAATTTTTACACGATAGAATACACCCCTTATGTTGATGGGATCATAGGATCTCATACGGGAAATAAAACCAACTTACTCTGCGCAGCCAACGCATCCTCGTTGGCTTGTGACGGGGTGCTAGCCGCGGAAGGTCTGGGCGAGCGCGATGGGGATCTCTTTGCTTGTAATGCAGCCAGACGCTCTTGCACACGTCGTTCAGCCTGCAAACATATGTTTCAGTCTTAGCAAACTTGACGTTTTTCCCTCCCGTTCAGCATCAATTTACCTCTTTTTTAATTTCTTCAGCCGTTCTTGGCTTAGCAGGAGCTGCTGGTTTGGGGCTGCTCATACTCCGTGACGCTGTAGACGGGTTACTGGCAGCAGGGCTGGCGGCTGACTTAATGTGGGAGCTGCTACCACCACCACCACCATAACTAGCCGTTGAAGGCGTGAATCGTGGCGAAGTAGCGATATCCAAAGCAGAGTCGCGTTCCAATTGCTCAACAAAACGTCGAAGTTCATAAGGCAGCTCATGTCCCTTGTCAAAACGCTTCTTATTCACAACGGTTTTCGATTCGACCAACGTATTGAGATAACGCAAATCGCCACGCAGATCACGGAGTGAATCACGGGCTCGTTCCATATCACGTTCATACGTATCGGCTTGGCGATCGTAGTCTTCTTTTTCTTGCTCAGCCTTACGCAATTCAAACTGCGTATCCTTGGTGCTGGAAGTACCGGCTCTGCGGGCCGCCATCATCGCCTTGGCCTTGGCACGCACACGATCACTTTCGGTGACAATGCCACCAGGGCCTGTAGGCTCGACAAAAGCCATGAAATCCTGGGACCCGTCGTTCTTGCGGGCATAGCGTACCTTTGTATCACGGAGTTCGGCCGTAGCGCCACGAAGCTGTCGTGCTAGCACCGGAATGTCACGGTTGCACAGGTATTGAATCTCGTCCTGAAGAGTCTTTTGTGACTCCAACAAATCCAGCAAAATCTCTTGGTTCTCAAAGTATTTGGGGTTAGATCTTGATGCCCGAGTAAGTTCCTCCTGCGTCTTGCGGATCTTTTCTTTCAGTTCCTCGGTCGAGTACCGGCTGCTCGAATACTCCTGTTGCCGTGATGCCTTAGATCGCGTCGCTCTATCCAATGCCACCTTCGTTTCTGCAATTTGGTGACGCAGCTCCTCCAATGCTGGGTCCTCTTGTTCTCTGTAATCATCCTCGTCTTCTTCATCATACGACTGCATTCTTGGACGCGCTGCGGCGGAAGACATAAAGCGGCTGGCAGGGCCCTTTCTACGTGCACTGGAGACATATCCACCCTGGCCACCATCACGATCTTGCTGTGGCGAAGTTGCTGGAGAGCGTTGTTGTTGTTGCTGTTCTTGAGGTGAATCACGCGAAAATGACGGGGCTGGGCGATTCACTTGACGACCCAAGACAAACTTTTTCAAAACGCTTGATGGGGGCGCGAGTTCGGTGGGTAATACCGAAGGGATATCAAAACCATTCAATCTGCGATAGATCAAATGCATAGCAATCGCAAACTCGTCCTCGTCCAAACTGCCATTGTTATCCTTGTCCACCAATCCCCAGATTCTCATCAGATCCTGTTCCGGAAGCTGCGACTGCATCAATGCACCTCTTGCAGCTTCGCCCGACATGTAGTCTTCTCCAGGAACAACCCATGCCCGGAAAATCTCGCGGTAACGTTGCTTCTCCTCTGGACTGATTTTCCATGAAAACCCTGATGCTGAGGACCGTCCACCCAGGAAGTTGGGCAGACCACCCGATTGATTGGGCATCATTTTGCTCGCAAAGTCCTGGTTTCCAAGTCTTGGTGTGTTGTTGTTGCTGTGCATTGGAGGTGCAATACCAGTGCGAAGTGGCGTTTGAAGCGGTACCGACAAATTGGATGGGTGCATCAGGTTCTGGAACGACGCGTTGGAAAATGGTTGCTGTTGTTGTTGTTGTTGTTGTTGTTGATGCTGTGGTGGCATACCGGTCATCATGGACTGTTGTGGTTGTGGCGGTGGCATGCCTGTCATCATAGGCTGCTGTGGCTGCATGAACGAAGTATGTAGCGGTTGGATTTGTTGTGGTGTCGATGGAGTAGAACCTTGCTTGGATGCAAGTGTTGCCATGGCCAGTTCGGTTTCTTCACGGATAGCAGGTGGAAGCGCGTTCGGAACTAGCTTCCCCCTAAGCTTTTCGGACGTCAAGTACATTGCTACTGCGAACTCAGGAAACGTCAAGTGCGGCGCATTCGCAATCGAGCACAAATCCCTATTAACCCCACGTTCAGTTTCTTAATTCACGCTTTATCACCGGACATCTCAAAAAGGATGTTTAAGAATCATAATGGCGTAATTACCAAATTTTGGCGAGGGAGTCATTGTCGAGTCTCGATCGAGTAAGAATGTCGCGTGCAGCCATGGCTGGTATTAACCCAATAAAAAAAAAGATGATGAGCTTTAAAAAAAAACGAGACGTACGAGGAAACCATAAACTGAAAAGCAGAACTTGGAGATTGCGTCCAAACTACAATAACCCACTTACCGGGCAAATTGTTGCCTCCGGAGGATGCTGCTGCACGAGTAAACAGGTCTTCGAACTTTGCTTGGTCGGCAGGGTTAATGAAGCTAAGGCGGATTCCTACATTCAGTGGCCGTTAGTTTAGAAAAAAACATACAGCTGTATCAAGAAAAAAAGAAAGTTGTAGGAACGATTGGAAACCTCCGGAAGGATTAGATGCGCCCATGGTAGGGGCAGATTGCCCCATTGTGGTATACATTGTATATTCTTTTGACAGGAAAGAATAAAAAGCGAAAATAAAAAAGACTACTGCTATTAGAGAAATGCGATGGAGTTAGTGCAAGATTATTAGCACAGCATGTTGAATTTCCGCATTTGGAGTTGGGGCCTGCTGCAAAGGTTCTTACTTATTAGTTTATAGTGGTGAGGACCACGTTGCTACATTAGCATCGGTCACAGTACACGATAACCACACTAGAGAAGACATAACTTGTGTTTATACTTTTGAAGTAGCTTGTTGCCATCAGCTATCATTCTAATGAATGATTTCTAGTGACAATAAACTGATGTGGTGCACGGTCCAGAGCATGATCATTGTGTTTCCGTTTTATTGTTGCGCAAATTTGTCGTTGTTTTGTGCAACGTAAAGTATGCAGGTGCTTGTTCACCGCTGATTTATTCAGTCAACTCTTAAAAACATCATGCTTGGTCATGTCTCGGTTGAGTCATAATAGTAATGGCTTTGCTTTTCCGAGAACGATCGTATATTTCGAACTTGGCGTCGACTCTCTTAGTACGGCTACATAGTAAAAGACCGTGTATATACTGTTAATATACTGATTGCACAATCAGATATGTAGTAGAGAATCAGTGAATGGTAATTCTCTAAGATTTTCTTTTGTAAAGTGCCAGTATGTATTAACAACAGGCTGTTCAGGCTTTGCTACAGATAAGCTTATTTACTTACAACTGTGTCGCGGGAGGATCAGTTGTTGGTTTTTATCAGTGATAAGCTTAACCTTTGAGTGCAGTAAAAGTCCATAAGACATTTCAGACTAGCGGGTACGATAGTACAGTATGATGTCTATATCATTTTTGGGCCACATGCTACATATGGACGGCATCATTTGTATCGAAACATGTAGCCAAAAGCCACTATTTCTGGATCTATCTTTGCCAATAATATTCACTATATGTACCATTATTATGAAGGATTTAGTATGTCTGAACGAGCTTTGCAAAATAAAACCCATTTTACATTTATATGAAGTATCATGTTGTTAAAAGACCCAAACGTCAAGGTAAATTATTCCAAAAGAGACCGCCAACACCGGATTATAGAAAACTACTACGTATATACAGAGACAACAAAAACAAAGAAGAAAGGGATAGAACAGTATAAGAAAAGAGTGGACGAGAGGGACAAAAAAAAACACAAGAGAGGAGGGAGAGTGACTGAGGAAGAAGATTTTAGTAGTACGAGGAAAAAATAAGTGAGGGAGAGAGACAGGAACTATTAATTTTTTTTTTTGGTTGGAGGGTTTTATATAGGCTACTAAGGCTTTTATTGTTCGGCCAGCGTAGAGGCTGATGGTATGCTTGAAGCAAGCCATGCAGCATGTTGTTGTTGTTGTTGCTCTGTTGAGGATGGTTGTGGTACTGAGGATTGTGTAACAGCAGCTGCTATAGGGGTCGGTACAGCCGATGCTGGTGCTGGTGACGATTGATATAGGTTGTTGTAATGATTGCGACTATGGTGATGGGGATGGTGTGGATGATGGTTATGATTACGATGCTGCGGTTGTGGTGATGGTGATGGCTGAGGCTGTGGTTGCAATTGTTGTTGTTGCTGCTGCTGTTGTTGTTGCTGTTGAGGCAGCAAATCAACGCTAACAGACCTTCGCTTTTGTTGCTTTGGTGATCGTCCATTCTCACAAGGTGCTGCAGCATTACCACTCGTGATAGCTGTCAACTTGCGCTTTTGTTTGGTTGGCGATGGGGGCGCTGGTGGTTTGACGGTCAGTTTAATAATAGGCCTACTGCCGTTGCTGCTGCCATTACTGGATCGTTTGTTGGCAATGCAGTTTGGACATGCGTAACGATCAATGTTGGGTAGCATAGAGCTTGTCAAGTTGACACAGCCGAGATGGAACCAATCATGACAGGTGTCACAAGCAATCATTTGAGAGTTCGTAGCTGGCTGTCGACAGATGCAATACACGGCATCGGGTTGAGGTGAGGGTCGTGCTAATGACGGCGATGCAACTGTTGTTGCTGCTGTTGGTGATGAGGTCGCCGACGGTACTGTGCGATCGTGATCCTGGGTGTCAATTTCCATAGATGTCGTCGTCGTCGTTGTTGTTGTTGTTGAGCCATTTGTCCAGCTTGCAGCTGTCAAGGATGGCACACGCTGTACCACGGGTGATGATGAAGAAGACGATATCGACGACGACTGAGGTGACACGGGCGATAATGATTGTACCTTGCGCCGCAAAAACTCGGTTTCATCCTGCAACACAATCTCAAGACCTTCGAGTTCACGCAGATGCTTCTTGATCATGTCAATATCTTCTATACCTAGGTGCGTCTTGGATCGACAGAATGCCTGAACCTTGCTTCGGAAAGCCTGCATGCGACTGGCAATATCGGCCAAGATGGCATGTGCCTTGGGCACAAACAACAGTTTCCCAGCTTCTTCAAGCAATTGCAACACATCTTCTAATCGAGCACGTTCCTTGGATGCATGGGGAATTGTCTGGCTGCCGTCGCAAACGGGACACACATATGAAGTTTGTGCCTTGGCTTCACGACGTGACACTTTGACGCACGGACCATGGTACCATTCATGACACAAGTCACATTCAATCATCAGACCTGATTCGGGCGTGCGGCATAGGCAGTACACGTCATTTTCCTTGTTGTCAGTGATCGTTTCGACGTTTTCTAGAATATCGTCCAACAGGGGCTCCAAGGAGTTCTTTTGTTGCGTGCGCGACGTCATGTTGAACGATTTCTTGACCTGCACCAGCCACGCATCGATCTTGGCGGCTTCAGCCTGTAATGTTTCAGCACCGTCAACACGAATAGGGAGCGTGCGGATTGATTTCAATAGACGGTGCAGTTCCGTTGCTGAGGGTCGTTCGCTTAGTGTCAGTGCTGTGCGGGCGCGTTCCAAAAGCCGATTGACATCTTTGACAGTATCGGTTGCTCGCGTGGCAAGGTCGTGTACTGCGCTGTACAGATGCGGTACGCGGGGAACGTCGTTTTGATGCGCAGCATGCATTACATCTTGAATGCTTTCCATGGTGATGGTTGTCTTGGACGCTTTCAACAAAGGTTCGGCTTGCTGGATCCATTCCATGCCGCGCTTTTCCTTGGCAACCAAAGCGAGATACGTGGGATCGTTCTCGGCCACATGACATTGCTTCGCTTGTTCGATCAGCTCTGTTAACTCAGTATACTCTGTCGCAGGATTGTTGACCGCTGCAGGCGCACGTTCGTTCCATTCACGCCGTTTCACGTTCAACTCTAGCTGCTGCATCTCAGGGAAATCAGCACCAAGATTGTGTCCAAACTCATACGCCTCCTTGAAATCTTTCAGCGATGCAGAAGGGTCGTTGAGTACATGCGTTGCCGTATTCTTTGCATCCGTCAGGGTCTTGAGCGTATCTTCAAGCATGCCGATCTCGGGTGCGTCAAATGACATTTTTGACACTTGTTCGAGAAGATGCTTGATACGGTTGTACTTTTCGCCGGTGTAGAGTTTTGTGTTGTTGTTGTTGTTGTTGTTGTGGTCTCTGCTGTCACGGCGTCGATGCTGGTGCTTACGGATAATGTACTTGCTAGCCTCTTCCAACCAATGGGTGACCTGAGTCAAAAACTCGCGAAGCCAGCGTGCTTCCTCGTTCGGGACAGATAATTTTTCGGCTTCGGTCACGAATTGTCGAAGGGTTTTCAATGTGGGTGCAGATTGGGTGCTCAACGTTTCCCGCACTTTGTCACTCCAAGCGGAGGGAACACATGCACGACTGGCAGTTGTTTGGACCATCTCGTTCAGCTGATCTTCCGAGAAGCGAAGGCAGAGTGTTTTCTTTGACGGGTCGCACGTGCACAGCTGTTGTTTATAGAACAAGTAAGGAATTAAACTTTTTTGTGTTTTAGAGATCGGTAACACAAGGGAAAACTTACATCAGTAAGATGCTCAAGACATGAGACTTTGTTCGTGCATTCACAAGTAATATGCGACAGGTACGCATACGCGTTACAAAAGACGCACTGCTGCTGGTCTTCGGGTAATTCGACGTCTTCTATGATGGTGTGGATCTTGGGATACTTTTTCAATAATTTATTACGCAATGCCATTTCTCGCTGCTGCATGTCTACGAGCGCGTCCTTGAGCCAGCTAGCAGTTTCGATAGAGTGGTCTTCACGCATGGCTGTCACCAACAATTCGTCGTGCGAGAAGCATGGTTGGCGGCGGTACTGCTGATAGCGTTTCGCACATTCCAGACCGGAGTCGACCCATTCCATTGGGGCAAAGTTGACGGCCTCACAGAAATTAAACTATTCCATTGGAGAAAAGACAACGACGATGGATGAGTACAAGCGTGATCGATCGATGGATGGATGCAGTACGAAGCAGGAACAGCTACAGTTAAAAACTTACACCATGGTTGAAACCGGAATGATATGCTTTCGGAAAAGTGACCACAAACTGGCCAGGACGCTGATCCACTGCATAAACATTGACGTTCTCTTTCAACAGGCGCTCAGGGCTCAACATGGTCACGAGTTGGAACAACAGATCTGGCTGTTGCTCGAATAATTCGGGCACTGCGGCCTTCATTGTCTCTTCAAACTGGGCAGTGTCGCTTCCAGGTACGCCGTACCATGTCTTTGTCTCGCCCCAATGCATGTAGTTGATGGAATAGGTGTAGTGGTCCTCATTGTGCCAGCAAAACGCCGAAAAGCACATGCCGATGTACAGCCAAGGCACCATCATGCCGCTGATGTCTGTCTTGATGTGCGTGAACAGCGACTGGGGCAGGATCGGGATCATGTTCAGGTTCCACGGTTCATTGACAAATCGACCATCCGGCCGTCTTTCCAGTGGCGCAAATCCACTAGGATAGAACGTGAGTGAGTGAGTGTTTGTGTGTGTGTGTGTGTGTGTGTGTGTGTGTGTGTGTGTGTGTGACGACTTTTGCCAAAACAGGTTACACTGAGCTGAATTTTGTGTTTCCTGGGGGGGGGGGAGAAGGGGAGGGGGTGTGGGGGTGTAGTGGAAAGGGGGCACCATTTTACCTGCCGTGCTGAGTGCTATGAAGATCTGCGCCGTACTCGACTTCACAAGTTTCATGGGGATTTTCGACAAGCCGCCAGAACTCTTCCTCACAGTCTTCTTCGGAGGTAGGGTGCTGGCCCTTGGAGCCAAACCATTCGCTCTTGAACTTGTCACACACCTTTTGGAAAGCCTGGAGCGTGTACTCTTCGCCGTCTTCAAAGCCATAGTCACCGCCCGCGGCTGTCAGACATTTGAAACAGTACCAATCTGATTTCGGAACGGCGTTGAGCGCTGGCGTCAGACAGTACATATGATAGCCACGGTCGCATCCGTCGCAAAGCAGGATTTCCTCTTCGTTCTCGCCACTGTTGCAAATTTCACAGGCTTGACCGCCATTGCTAGGAGACGAAGCGGATGCTTCTATTTATTAGTGAGATTAGTCAACCTGTATATTATTTCGTGTCATTGCGTCTAGCTGCTGGCATTCGTACCTTCTTGATCAGACGGTTGTCGTCGCATACCAACGCTAGAGGATGATGGCTGCTTGCCGCTGTCTTGCTTGTGCTGGGCAAGCCACACCTCATAGGGCAAGATCACCTTGTTGTAAGCCGACTTGAGTGCATTGGACATGGACGTGCATTGTTTGCGCGTGTATCCAAGGATACGTCCGATCTCTGCCCATTTCTTCTGCTGGGTAACCTAGAACAAGCAACAATAAACAGTAGGAAGAAGTATGTAAGATATGGAGAGAAACGGAAAATTGTCAGGCGATTTTTTTTCTCTCATATAAAAATTTCCACACACAAACGTACAATGTGGTAGCCTCCCCGCTGGGCAACCTCCTTTTTCAGTTTAAAGAGGTCAATGGGTCGCTTGTCCAGCTGAGGCACTTTGTTCACCGGATGGCCATGGAGTCGATGAAACTTGTAGAGCTGTTCCAGATAATTCACATTGGCCCTTGTTTCGCCTTCCATACTGTTGAGCTTCTGAATGCGAGTTCTAAACCGGAACTCCTGGTAAAATGGGGAAAATGATGGGTGGGGGATTATTTTTAAGATAAACAAAGATGAAAGAAAAATTTAGTTTGACCAAAACATGTAGGACATACAGGCTAATCGCAAACAGCATTGCGAAATGAGGGGAGAGAGAGAGAGAGAGACGGTATGTATGTTCAAGACCACTTGCCTCTGTATTCAAACTAAAGGCTGGATTGTAGCTCTTTGGCGGAACAATCTTGACGATGCCAAATTTTTCAGCCTCTGGTCTTATCTGCTGGATGTATTTGATGGGTTCTTTGAACTCTTCTTCTGAGGGATAGTAGGTAGGGGCTTCCTGAAGTCCAAAGATACGTGAGCGAGTGCGTTCGGGTTCTTCGGACGTGGTTTTGACAGTCTTGAGATCAAGCGCAATGCCTTTGCGATGATCACTATTGGCAGCAGCAGCAGCAGCAGCAGCACCCGTGGTTGGTGCTTTTAGTGTTTGTGCTGTTGCTTGTGCTGCTGCTGCTGCTGCATTTCTAGTGGCAGCAGCTGGTGGTGCTGTCTTGGTATTATAAAGAATATCGTGCTGGTGGTGGTTGTTGCTGCTGATGGACTTCATTGCGCATCACACAGGAGAGAAAGTGAGAAAGAGAAGAGAAAGATTGCAATAAAATTCGTAGACGCAAATGTAGCAAGCGAAATTCCCAGTTGTTGAGACCAGCAGGGTTAGCCGAATATAAAAATTGAAAAAAAGAGTGTGAAAGAGTGGAAGAGAGAAAAGAAGAAAAAAAGAGAGAGAGAGAGACAGAGATTTTGGATGTGTTCGCCCGTTATTCGAACGAACTTATTCCACTCACTCACTCACTCACTCGCACTCACTCACTCGCTTTCTCTCTCATCCACTCAACCTCAAACTTCCGCCCAATCGAATTTAAGGGCTTGCAGCTCGCTACTTTTTTTATTGTGTGTGTGCGTGTATCATCCTCTCAATGGCCCCAAAACAAAGGTCTATTTTCTTTATTCCTGCTCTTTTAATAGCTGTTGCACTCGTTGCAACACCGGCGTGCACCCCATGCCGACTTTCCAAGCAGCCAGGGCATCCGCTCGAGTGCTGCCTTTACAAAGAATGCCCACTGGCTTCTGCAGTTCACTTGCCAGACGCACCAATCGATACGACGAATACGTTGCCAACGACGACCCAACGATGAATACGGCGTCCGACTGCCGCACCATCGCTTCGGCTGCACTTGTGACATGCGGCTTGATATTCTCACCGAAAAACACAACCTGAGGCTTCATGCGACGGCTGGCGCAGCTTGTGCAAGGTGGGATATCGAAATCGGCATACGACATGCTATCTGATAATTCCACGTCGCCGTCTGGATTGACCTTGAGCTTTTCGCCACTGGTCAACAGTGTTGCCCACGATGGATTGCGTGAAAACAGTCGGCGTTGGTAATCCTGTCGATCCACCATGTTGTGACAGTCGAGACATTCGACACGGAACAATGTGCCGTGTAGCTCTACAATACGGTCGCTACGTTCTTTGCTATGCTCGAGTGCTGCTGCTGCTGCTGCTCGTCGATGTAAGTAGTCTACGTTTTGTGTTATAAGGTCTGGGACGTAATTGTGTTGCATGAGCCATGCAAGGATATCGTGTGTTGGATTCGGCCGTGCTTTGGCCATTTCTCCCCATCCCATAAATGCTCTCTATCAACAATAATCGCAATGATACACAGCGAGTCAGCGCCACAGATACGCAGTATGCCCTACTGTTGCCTAAAACTCACAGCCCAGTATCTCCTGCGAAACATATCCGACGACACAAGTTCTTGAAAAAGGATAGGACGATGTTTGGGGTTTTTTATATAAGTTCCCTAGTTGTAATGAGTTTAGTTTGAACAACATTGTTTGCTTCAAAAGTTGCTGGTCAATGTACACCACGCACCTCATCACCACGATAATCCGGTATGCCGGAATCCGTCGATACGCCTATAATATTAATCAATAGCAGACTCTTATTGTTAATTAGCTCAATTCAATTACATTACGCCATTCTTTTATTATGTTCGGGCCATATCGCATTTTGTTGTTTTTATTTTACCTGCACCTGTGATCACCAATGTTCGCCCTTTATACATTTTGAGGTAATCGGCAACTAATCGAGCAGCTTCGTCCAAGTTTTCACGAATGTCCGGAATGGAGGACGATACTACTGTTTCTTTTAATTCCGGTATTTTGATAGTAGCCGTCCATACTTTATTAGCTGCAGCACCATGAACTGCTAAACAGCGTTGGAAAAGGGTTAATGGTGAAGCACGCACCATAAAGTGGTATTATCTATATATGTATGTGTGTATATTGGTCTATAACGAGCAGAAAATCGGGTAGTCCCGTCTCCTGCCTTCGTTTATATAGGACTGAGTTCTGTACTTTTTATGGACAAATATACAATAGACATATAGACGAGCAAGTAAGCTAGGTGTATGCCGTAACTAAGTTTATTTTCTACCAACTATTGCTATGGCTTTAAACGAATAATTAGTTACTATACAACGGCGTTGTTATACCGTTGCTGTTATACAGCAACTGCTTAAATTTATGCAGCTGCTCACGAGGACACTTGGTTATACAAACTAAAGACTTGCTAATTCCCAAGCTGTTCTTCCCTTTTGTCAAACTGGGCGTTCTGATAGCATTTATTCATACAAGAACGTTTTTACTCACTCTCAAAGCTTGAACAAAATCTCGTATCATTTAACGTAATGTAGATGTAAATTCACTACTTGCGCTTTTCTTTCCTGACCCCTTATAACCAGATACTGGCACTATCTAATGACACAACATACGAGATACAATGTCAAGCATCAAAGCGTACAGCGGATGCTTCAAAAAAAAATAACGAAGTTTATTCGGGTAATAAATTAGACTCGGACCTGATTGGCTTACAAGGATCCCCTCCTCTCAGAAAGAAAAGAAAAAAAAATTCGGGTCCAGGGTGATGTCACCCCCATTCAGAAAGCACCGCTTTGTGTTTTTTTGCCATCGGAAACCACACCCCAGCTTCCAATATAACCCTTTGCACTATATTTGACATGTCGTCGGTCGCCCGCATTGCTCTCGGCTCTATTGCCTCCAAGGTAATATCTAACTTTCTTATATGTTCTTCTTTGTTGTGACCTTGGACAAACGAAAGAATATATGCCTCGGGCTTATATTGGTTATACCGAGAAAAGAAAACTAAAATTACATTGTCATGTAGGCTCCTTTCACCGTCCGTGCCATGGCTGCTCGTGGCGTCGCCACCTCTGCTGTCATGCAGAAGGGTAAATAGTGTTTCCATTGATCGTACTTACCCATTCTTCGCCACCCTTTTTCCGCGTCTTTTATTATACACGATGCATTTTCGAGAAATGAGTCACTCATACCCCACCCCTTTGTTATTTAGACGTTGTTCAAGAATTGTACCTCAAGGAGTTGAAGGGTTACAAGCCCGCTCCTGCTGTAAGTTATTGGTTCTATCAATTACATTCTCGAAAAAAAAAAAAAAGAGTCTCGAACGAGCATGAGCAGTGGTAATGAAATCAAAACTAATCAAAATTCTTTTTTTTGTGTAATATTTAGTCCCAGGCTGATGAGTCTCAGGTCAAGGAATTGAAGCTTCCCGCTGCTCCTCAGGTAATTAATACTATGAAAATTTTCATTGAGTGTTTTGATAGAAAAAAAAAAGAGAGAAAGAGAATAGAGGGTGTTCTTTGTTAACTAACAGTATATTTGTATATAGGCCCCTTCTGTCGATGCTGACCTTGCTGAGCAATTGGCCAAGTACGATGCTGAACCCGAGGAGGCTACCCAGTAAAACAACCACAAAACATTATATGAACAGTTTGTTTTATTAGATACAATCATTTAAAAAAAAGTGCATGGTTTATCTCTTTTGTTTCACACATTTAACTATGGGGTGAATTGCGTGCTTATGGATATTGGATGGTTGTCAGTTTTGGTGGGAGGAACACGGATTTATTATTATTTTTTTGATATTGGATATCGGTGAACAGAGGGATGGGGATGGGGCTGGTTTACATGCACATAAAGAAACGCTGCAGGAGCTCTACTGTATACGAGGAGAAGTTTAAGCGAGTGATGGTTCAAGTAGGAAACGCTATCAAGCAGTAAAAAAAATTGTCTTAACAAGTTATTTGAGTAGAGCTTTGATTTGAAGCAAACTTTGTCGACAAGCATAAATATCATGTGTACACGATAGCGGTTTAACAACGGTGCTCCTATAAGTAAAGTGAACACTTACGGTATTACCCTGTAAGGCTACATCGGTATGTTCATGGGCAAACATCTTGTCATGAAGTTATTACTGGTTTGCGCACTGGCTATAGCATTTAGGTCTGTAGAGGCACATCTCTTCAAATGTGAATGATATCAGCCAACAATTCTCTCTGTGTAGTTATTCGCTTGGCTGTCCACAGCAATATTGTTTCTCATTACCCGATTTGCATGTATTGGTGAAGACCACCTCTAGGCCGCTACATATTCAAACTAGTACAGTTACAACATAGGAACTGTACAGTATGGACTGACACCTGGTAGTTTATAGCATATATCTATACGCCCCGCTGCCGAGTAAGCGATAATCTACCTCTTTTTGAAACACTGAACAAGCGAATAAAGGAAAGGTGTTTTGCAAACTTTCGTTTGGGTAGCACTTGTGATATGATAGCTTATCGAATGATCTCGTTATGGTATACTAAGTGTATATCTTATTTATGTCCTTCATTCCTTATGATTTTACTCATATATAGAACTACGTTATGCAAGATTATTGCCGGTTATATGCACTGTACCCACAGAAAAAAAAGAAATTACTTCTTGACAGGTTCTTTTAAAAATCGAAAACCTGGTATCACATGCCCTATGTATCATGTCCATCGTACACATTTTGCAGAGATCGACAACATACTGCAGCGATAAAAGACTGACTCATATATCCATTATTATACACGAATTTCAAAAACAAGCATACAATTGTATATAAACTACAGTCATATTATTACTTACCATCAATGATTATGTAAAAACTCTCTTTATTTTTTGTCTTGCATAAAGTATACATGCTTCACTAACTAAGGTACAATTTCTAATCCTAAAATATTCCAGCTTCCCCTTAATTTTAGTTTGGTTAGTGACGAGTTCGCGTATGCCTTCATCGCCCACTCCAGGTAAATCTTGGAGTTTTATACTTTTCACATTATTAAGCAACCCAAGAGATCCAGCAATTTTGCTTGTAATTTGATCAAGTCCTACGAGGTCGATCATTGACAGACCGTTGCCAACAACCGAGGAAGTAATAAACGAGTAAATGCCCGAGGGTGATACATTGGTCAAATACTGAAATTCAACGTGCTGTAATGTTTCAATTTTCGTCAATGCTGCAAGTGTGGCATCGGTTACTCCCGGATAACGGCGAAAGCACACAGATTTTAGCAAAGGTGGAGACGTAGACGACAGTAAGTTTCTGCATGTTTGTGCATAGTATGTGAGCAGTTGTACGCAATTGTTGGGTTGGTGTAGGTTAGAGGCTGCTGTTGCTTCGTGGTAGGATTGCTCATAGGTAATACCGAATTTTCGAAGAGGAAACCTCGGACTCCTCGTCAGAATGGTGTTGACCAAAAGATTCGTGTCGGGTGGGTTGACCACGAAAAAGCTCTCCAGATTGGATGCATTTCGGATAGCATCTAGCATAAACGACTGTGTATCGGAAGTCAAGGTAATGCTCAACTTGTCTAGATTGCTCAAGTTGAACTGTGGATAGGATACATGCAATGCTTGACTTCCTGAGAACAGCGGCATATCCATGCGAAGCACTTTGAGTGTCCCCATGTTCTTGTATAAAAGGGGTATAACGTCTAAAGTCGGCGCATTTGTAGCACCTTTCGCTACGAGCATTTCTAACCCTCGGTTTGCTGGGGTTGACTGCATTGTTGCTGTTCTACTGTTTCTCCTTCCTCGCTCCAATAGGCGTCGTTCCCAAAATCGAATCTCATCATTTGGGACGTTGCATGCAAGTATTTTCAAGTTGTATCCGTGTTGATATACAGGCGTAAAAATGGAGCTGTCGCACGTACTGATGGCCAGGCGTCGTAAATGTGGGCATGAGCATAAAAAATTCCGAACGTACTGTGCTGAGATATTGCTGAACGTGAGCTGTAGTTTGCTCAATTGATAAGGACGGGATCTTCTTGAGAAGTTCCCTGCTATCGAATTGATGGTCACAGCGGATGAAAGAGCCAACTCGGTTAAATTGTTGCATGCTTCGAGAATGTCGACAATTGTAAATACGGGAGCCGTGGTACCCAAATCAAGGTCAATGCGTCTCAATTTTGAGGCACTATGAAAAAGTCCCGGTACCATTTCAAATAGCAAGAATGGATTTCTGGTCGAGAGCCCTTTGAAAAATGTCATAAAAGAAATTTAGCAACGTTAACATAATGACAGTGCAATTTAAGATAGAAAAGATTAGACATAGTAGAATTACTATGAAACATATGTATCTACCGGTAGACTTGAGCGACTGGATGCTATTGAGATATCCTTTCTGTATGCCCTCTAAACAGGGGCCGAGAACCGCGTCCATGTGTGAGTTAATAGTTAGATGCTTGATATAAGAACCCGTATATCGCGCTACGCTCAATATTCTGGCTCCCTCGTGGTTGTTGGCAAGTTCCATGTTATTCCATATACGGGCAGCGCACCCCAAGGCTCGTTGACGCCATTGTGTCGAAACATGCAAGCATGCAACGTGGTCTACTTGTGAAAGGCGTATCAGAATGTCATTGGCAATTTCAATTGGAAGGGACACAATGATATCGATGCGCTTTTGACTTTTTGCTATTGCCATTCTCCTTGCTTTGAGTAATTGGTGGAGCTGAGATTGAGGAATCACCGTTGTCACTTTTTCAAGGCCTCGCGTATACTCTTCAATTGCTTGGCGTTGGTATCCATATAGCGCAAGTATGTTGCCTTTTCGAAGGGTCCCAGAAGGAGAGGCTGGTGCAGATGTTATCATCTTATCTGCCTCGCCAATGGCTTTCAAGAATCTACCTTGTTTGGCATAAGCGTATGCGCGGATGTCGTTAAAGACAACAAATTGCTGGTGAGACATATGATCCACCGCAGCAGATGCGTATATGACTGCATCTTCGAAGTTTCGCACGGCCATGGCACTGTTGAGTTGTCCGACGAGCCATTGGAAGTAATGTAGTAAATCGGTAGGATATGTCGGTGGTGTATTCAATGTGGCTTCTTTCATGAGTATCTATGTTGCGGCGCGTAGCGTCTTGTCGATATCAGTGAATAAGATGGTGAAAAGAATTAGTGAAAAAGAAAGAAACAGTGGAGATTCTGTCTCGTATTTATAGACTATGATAGCATGCAGAGAAATAGATCGGTGTCTAGCAACAATGACAAAACGATATACTTAAGAGGATGAAGATGTCGTCAATAGCAGTATATCACGCACGTAGCGTACATAGCATACAACCAAAGAAGGCTCTAAAAGGCAACCATTCATTGTGTTTGATGTATCATTGATTAAGTGAGACTAAGAGATTGTAGGTGGCACCTTACTGAAGTAAAAAAAGCTTGGCAACATCTTATGAAATTCTCTGCAAAGCCAAGCATCATATACATATAAGCGTTCCACCGCCTTGATCCAGGCGTTCCACCTTCCCTGTGCCATAAACACAAGAGTCTTTCCGATGCCTATTTTAAAGATGCGCTACTGTAAGTCCTCAATACTCAGTAACTGGCTTGACAAGCAACAGAACAAACGTCAGGAATATTAAAAAACGTTCTTTTATGTATATGTATGTACAGGAACAAGGAGAGCGAATAAAAGAGAAAAGAAGACTAGAAGCGAGGAAGGGGGGTTTCTTTATACAGGCACAATTTTTAATTGGTCGTGGTCGGCGTGGTAGGTATTTTGTTAATGTTATTGGCACTTGAAGCATCCACCAACTGGTAATACAACTGCATAATCAGCCGCCATTCATATGTTACTTTGCTTACAGCGGATCGGTAAGTCCATGGTCTCGGCTGCTGCTGCGAATGACTTTGCAAATGGTCAGTGCCCCAAGGCAACGTTGTCTTGTATCCTAACGTGTTCTGGATATTCATCAAGGCCGTGATCGTTTCTGCATGAATTACATGTAATTCCGTCGATGCCGGAGCTCCACCTGAAGTTGGACGTTGTCTTTGCTGCTGCTGCTGCTGGTTGGATCCTCGGCGTGAAGAACGTGGCGATCCAAATCCTTCTTTAGGAGAGTCAAAGGATAGATCAATGCTAGGCGGATGTATAGATAAAGACGGGGATGCTGGTGGTGGATGTGCATTGCTGTTGTTGTTGTTGGGTATATGTAAACCAAGGCCGCATGTGGGCGAGCTACCTTCAGCTTGCTGCTGTTGCTGCTGCTCTGCAGAAGATTCACCTGTATCCTGACGCCAACTTCTCCATCGTGATCGTCGGCTACCCATGCTTGATGGTGTGTTCAGCATCGAATGTGACCGAGCACCTGAGGGTGAGACATGACCACCCATTTCACTAAGCTTCTCGTCCAGGAAACTGTGCAGAAACAGTATTAATGGGCTTTTGTAGCAAACGACAAACTCGAGGAAGCACCAAGTTGCATAGTCATAAAGGACAGCTGTCGAAAGCGGCAAACCGTTGCTACTGCTTTGTTGAAGAAAAGTTGTATGGCCGGAATCGGGCGTCAAGGGACTTGCAGGCGGATTAAAGTTTTGGTTCGGTGGACTTAATCCTGGCGAAGAAGGCACTCGAGGTGAGGATCGACCGGATGTGCGCGGCTTTAGTGTTTTCAACGTTTGACCAAATATTAATGCGCCTTTAATAAAATAGGCAACCTGAACCCACGAGCCTTTGACCTTGTCCAGCGATTTCGCTCCACGTAACAAAATGATTTTCATGGCGACGATGCTGAGCGAAAATAAATGTGCTATCGCGGTTGGCGTTTGCTGCTTCTTGTCTTTTGGATCAGAGAGAACTTCACCCATTTCTGCCGCCGTCCCGTCTTGTCCCGAACCGCCGCCTGCATTTTGGCCAATGTTAGACGTCAGTGCCGACAAGGAGAATCCGCTGGATTTGGACTTTAACAATGAAGCCTGACTGCAACACTTTGAGACGTAGGCCATCAATCGCATCCAATTGGCTGTTGGCTCAGGTCGATATCTTCGTACGACAGAAATGGGGTTGTAGTCCCGACGCAAATCATACTGCAAGCACATGGGTATAAGGATCTTGCCTATCAAAAGTACAGAAGGCTGCATCTGCTCGAGTTCTCGGAGTACGTCTTGGGTCGAATTCTCCATGATCGCCACAATAAGCCGCACCAGAGCATTGCAAAACTTGGTGTGTGCGTCCTGACTGGATTCCCAGTCTGAGAGACGCGTGGCAATAGACATGCCAAAGGCAACATAGCGTTCCACCATCAAGCCAGCAATATCGTTCATATTGATTGCCTTGCCTTGACCGTTCTCCAGCATAATCGCAAAACCTTCATACAGGTCTGCAATCTCTGCTGTTTTCCACTGAGTGCGCAGCTGGCTGTAAATTTGGAGCAGCATCGTCTTGAAGGGCCTGGTGTAGTTGCGCATGTCGACCATCGATTGCAGTGAGTCCACCAAATAACTCTTGATCCAGTCTGTTGGACAGATGGCACCGCGAATCGATGCATAATCACGCATAATGATACGGATAATGTTGGCCATTTTTTCGTGGTTGGCTTCGCTGAGCACGCCATGGCATTTGAAGAATTCGTTCACGAGGAGAACAAACTCTTTCTTGATTGTCAATCGATCGTTCTGTTGCCACTGTTTTCCGTATGCATGCTGGGTGGATTCTGTTCTACTGTTTCCCACCGTAGGGTTTCCCTCGTCATTCAGATTGTTACCACGATCGTCAAACAGGTGCGGAATCGTGATGTTGATATGCGGTGCACCCGAATGGCCGCCTGTGTTGGCCGTTGCCGCTGCCGGTTTGGCATTCTTGCTAAATTTGGCAAATACTTCGATCAGAGCAGCAATGCCTTCAGATACAAGGCCGGTCAGATTGCCGAGAACACAGAAGCGGGGTAACATGTGGCGCATCATCTTGACAAATTGTTCTGCGCGTAGCGAGCCGGGGTCATAGGCAATAATCGTTAAGAACAGTTTAACAAAGTTTTGCAGAAAAAACGGCCGGTTGTCATAGTCGCTGATCACGAGTGGAACAATGGGCGCAGTGACACTTCTGGTCAGAGGCTTCAAGATGGTGGTTGACAGGGGCATTGCCATGGGGTTGCTGGCAGCATCGATTCGCTCTTGTATACTCCTTTCGTGGTCGTCCAGTTCGACTTGAAGCTGAAGACCCAACACGTCTGACGTGGCACCCAGACGGGGAGGATGGTGCATGGCTTGCATCAGGCCAAATAAGTTGTCGGTCATCCAAGCGCCCAAGGAGGTGGATCTTGTGTAGGCGTTGAGGATGATAGGCACTAAGGTACCCAGCATTTGGAAAACAAAAGTCTCTTCATGCACAGCATAGAACCGACACCAGGCAAACGTAATGGCTGACCGCACATGAGGGAACCGCTCGACTTCGCAAAAGACCTTGAATAAAGCAGGCAAGAAGATACCATGGCCACGGTTGCCAAGGAACAGGCGTTTGAACCGAGTTACGATGCGCGTGTATAATATCAGTGCTTGTCCGATTATTTCAAAGTCCATATTGTGCTCCATGATGATCATATTGACTCCCTTGAGGATCCGCTCAAGCTCACTGCGGTCGTTGTAGTTTTTGTTCAAACCAAGGAGGAGTGTGTCGATAAATCGTAGCCACACACGGGCCCGCAATGCAGACAACATGGCAACATCTTCTTCTTGCTGCGATTTCCGTGGTGTTGGCTTCAAACCGCCAATGTCCTCGTTCTCTTGTCGTTTCACTTCTTCAAAAACAAATGTTGTGTCTCGACGCATGCGGAAGCTCACATCGGGAAAATAGGTTTCGAAAGCTCCCGGTTGGAACGAAGATCGTTTTTTGGGTCCTTGAGATGACAAAGGCTCATAGTCCTGAAGCGTCTTTTTGACGGCATACACTTCTCGAGGATACCGTGCCAAAAAGTTGGTCAAGAATTGGATATGGCTGATACGTAGCATGGCGACGCTAAAAATCTCCCAGGGAATATCGAGGATACTGAATGGCGTTTTCGCATCGGTCAATCCGCGCGGGAACATGCTTGCAGGCTGTTCATTCGTGAACCAGAAGCGACCCGTGCTCACCAGCAAGTGTTCAATTTTGTGTTTGCGTAAATCTCGGGTTGATAACTCGTTGGTCGACATTGCTAGCTCGGCCAGGATAGGATGTATCAAGGTCATCAGGACAAGGCCATCCTCTTTGCTTTCGCGGGTAAGCCATTTCAGCATGCCGGACAGGTAGTTAAATAGAATGTAGCTGAAGCCAGGGGGGAGTTTAGAGCGTAGATCGACGAGGTACCGAAGACGTGTGAGCAGCTCGCGCTGATGGTTGATTTTCGACTTGCCCAAATCACCCAGAAAGGGTCGCAAAAAGAGTGCTGGATCGTCTCGGAGGAAAGTTTCCAGCAATTCACGTAGAGCACTTGAAACACCACCGAAATCGTCGCCAAGTAGATCGACCATGCTGAGATTTGCAGCTGTGAGTGCGTGGACAGTGGCAGCTCGTTTGCGACGCGCAATAATTTTGCTAACACTGATGTGTCTTGAATCGTTCTCGCCACCGCGTCCCAGGCCTGTGCCATCACCACCATCGTTCATGGGCTCTTCCTCCTCCTCCAAGTACAGAGATGGCAGGAGGGCCAAGGGAGTAAGCACTTTCTTCAGGGCCTCGTGCTCTTCCCCTTGATCGTCATCGTCCCATCCCAACTCCTGGATCTGCCGCTTCAATTCAATAGGAAAGTTGCTAGCGTGCTTCAACTTGGCCATCCACCGTGGCTCGTCCAGAGTAAACCGGTTGCTTCCCAGATCTGTCGGCACGAATGGCGTTGAGAATGCACCACCATCGCCTCGAAAAGGACGCTTGCGAGAGGATGTTTGAATATACTCTTGGGCAAGGATGTTGAAGCGGTATCCAGCAAGAGAAGCCTGTTTTTCAACTGCTGAGAGTCGCCGGAATGGATCGCTGCTATAGAATTTGTAAGTATTCGTGTACTAATCTTTTATACATAATCCACCATCTTACCTATAGAAATCGTGTGTAAAAGTCTCGACGACAGACTTGGGAACCTTTTCAGCACATTGCATCAGAAGGAACGCAGCAGGTACAAAGGCGCGTGGGTTTCGATCGTCAATGAATCGCTCCCATAACGGATAAACGAGGCGGGAAAACTCTTGAGTCGTCAGCGACGTGAAAACGGCGACCAATAGCGAAAAAATCGCACCAAACGGGTCTTGATGGACCGACGGCATTTCTTCGAGCCGTTTCTTTGCTAATTTTGAGGCCAGGACAATGTTGGGTGACTGGGGCGGATTTAAATCAAGAGATGCAGCAGCAGCTCGACTGATGGGATACATCTCTGCCATGCATTGCCGTCGCTTGGTATGAACTGGAAAGTTGCTGTTGCTGTTGTCTTCAGTGGCCAGGATTTCGATCAAGTCCTCCGTTGGAGAAGAAGATGTGGGCGGCGATGGCCGTGCGAGCGTAGATACTGGACGATCACCGAAATCCGTGACCTCATTCGTTTCATTTTCGAGTTGGTCGACCGTCATGGCATAGGTAATACGTATCCGCTGGAACATGAGCGTGACATCGTCAAGGAAGTGGTGATGCAAGATGGTTGATGTGCGTGCTGTGGCCTTCTTTTCAGACGATGCATCGTCATTGTTGTTGTTACTGTTAGCATCGCGAAAAAATTCAGAGGTGGCGACCGGCTGTGTTGCCCAGTCGAGAGCTCGTGACAGCCAGCCTGGTCTGTGCGTCGTGTTGCAGAAGAATCGTGCGTCGAGAAAGATGTTACACAGAATCACGCGCAGTGGAATAGGGATCAGGACAAGTTTCTCTTTGGCAGTCATGAACACGGCCAAGCGTCGTTCCAGGTCAATTAAAAACTTTTTGGCAATCTCGTCCTCTTCCATGTTGCGGCTTGGATCCGATTGCTTTTCGCGAAGCTCCTTGATGGCCCACATGAACTCCATGGCAATTGCACATTGGCCGATTGTGCTGCTTCCCCATTTGATCTCACCGTCATCCATCTCGCTTGCCTTTTCCTTAGCCTTCTTGCTGCCCAGATCACTCAGCAGAACCACATTGATCATTTCTGCATCATGCATCCAGAATTGTACACCAGAGAGGTATTTTCGCAAGCAGCTGATCATGGTTAGTTTAGTCGAAACTTTGTGCTCGTCGTCCGAGGCTGCGCATGCAATTACTAGCCGATAGAATACGGTACGATACGCCTGGGATAATCGAAACAAAAGTTGAGATAGTGCTGGCGTAGGCGGCGGGTAGCTTTTCACCAGTCTATCAATGAGTGCGGGTAATGTGGCTGTAACGATTTTATTGCTAATGTCGTCGTCCATGTTGAGCGACAAGTTCTCGTACATTTGCGTGATCTGAGTCCAGTTGCCATCGCTAATGGTTTCAGTGATGACGTGAACAACAAGGTCGTTGAGAGGCGAGTTCCAGAAACTTTCAAAGTATGATTTGAATGTGCTGACGGTATGTCGCCATGCGAGCATGTCCGATTTGTCGCCTCCCCCACCAATACTACCGCTCTGTGTGCTTAGCTGGTCACGCAAGTCCTCGGGCCACACTTCATTAAAATTATAAGCGGACGATGGCCGTGGGCTGTGATAAGGTGACGAACGGCGGCTGCTGGGCTGCGGTTCTTTGAAGCTCGTCACAGCCATGACGGAAAGAAGCATGCTGACTGTGTTTGCATATACGGATCGCTGGTTGCTGTTGTCGTGCCAGTCAGGTAAGAATGTCTGCAAGCCAGATGCAGTCAGCTTTTCCTGCACAAATGTCAGTAGTAGGGATACCGCAGATGATGACAGTCGAAGATCCTCGTCGGATGCATTTACAAACCAGTCCGTGGCTATAATTATCTCATTTTTTCAGTAAATTTTTCCCACTCTTACGCCTTTTTTTAGTATAGACTTACCACTTTCTGATAAAACATATAATACAATGGTATAAGCAGGTGCTAATTGAGTATCCGGCTCTTGCCAGTAGCGCTATAGAAACACAGAAGGTAACACAAAGACTTCAGAAATTGCTAGGTGCCACAAAACGCGATATTTAATTTGAATGATGTATTGAGCACTTACTGGCAGTAATTTTTGGATAACGAGCTTTCCAACCGCAGCTTTTGACAGTGGATCCAATTTGTCGGTATGTGTATTAGGCATGAGCGATTTGCAAAGAGCTTCGACGACGCAGTATCGTGCAACTTGAACAGGAACCGTGCCGCTATCGCCATTGGGTATAAAGTATCGGTCCCAATCCGTACCGCCGACGAGCGGAATGAGATTACCGTTTGCCAATTTATCCAACAAATCCAATATGCTAGACTGAATATGGTCAAACTCTTCTTCATGTCGCGAATGTGGGCGTTCAAATGTGGCGTTTGCTGAAAAGGTGGAGGCAGATGCTAGAGCATCCACGAGGGTATATACAAGAGCATGGAACGCCGCAAACGACGAGGGTAAAAAGTTCGGATTGCCCATGCAAGGTGCCAGCATCAGCTTCAACGTAGATATGAGCCGCATTTTGAGTTTGAGTTGGCCCAGTTTCAATAGTCTACAGCAAAACATGATTTGCTCAAAGTTGTCCTTTGTAAATGCAATAGTAAGTTATTGATTTGAAAGACGAAAGATATCCCTTTTAGCCGACTGTAAGGCACACACAAACGAAGCATAAAAAGGGGACTTACGATGGGATCCAAATGTTTGAAGCGCTCGCGAATATAATCAAAAATATCCAGGGCCTGCTGACAGTCGCTCACTTTAGAAACAGGAAGAGTTTTTTGAGTTAGTGAGCCTTATTATCTAGAGTGTATGCGAGATGTATTCTTATACAGTATGTCCCACGCTTCTCTTTCACTTTCTTTTTTCGATTTACCATTGACAGGCGATTGACTAAAAGGAACGGATAAAACGCCTAGAATATCGCCGGCAAAAGGCAATTGTGTCGCTAGCTTGTGTCGTTCCACAACTTCCATTATAGAGCTCATTATGGCGGCTATTCGGCTCTGATCAGTCCGCATGTCTTCATTGATGGGACCATTATTGTCGCTCATCAAGTCGGCTCTCGAGTATCGCATAAACAAGTTCCGTTTAACACCTCCGCCCGTCGCTGTCGTCTCCTCATTTGTATCCGGCGTGTTGTGTGACCCAGAGAAGCTCGCTTGGCGGTGGCGTCCATGCGGTCGTAGCAGTATTTTCTCGAGATCACGTTCGAGGCGCACGATATCCTGTTGGGCCGTCGTGGTTGTTGCATAGATACCGCCTCGCGCGCGTAAATGCTGCCGGTGATATCCGCCACCGCCACCAGCAGAGCTGCCATTCGTACTCGGTACCACACTTGTGGGCTGTGTCATATAGCTACTGTTGGTCGTGCTGCTACTGCTGGTACTCGGCTGATTCCGCAAAAACAGATTGTGTCCGCGACCTAGACGTACAGCGACAGCTGCTGCAGTTGCTGTCGCTGGCATAGACGGTCGACTTCCATCAGACTGCTGGTGATTGTTTCTGTGATGAAGTGATGCATTGCGTAGTGGTGGCAATAACCTGGGCTGAGACGCGACGGGAGATGGCGACTGTGAAGAGGGTGGTGGTGGTGGTGGTGAGGTTGAACTTCCATTGCCCCTATGGTCGTTCGACATGGTATTGCGGGATTTATTGCCAAACTACTAAAACAGTGCAATCGGTGCTTGTTAATAACAAAGAATTATTGGTACCCTCTGTGCAATGTGAGCCGGGTATTATTACCTGTTACTATTATCCCACTCTTTTCTTTTATTAGAAGAGATCAGCAAAGTCGAAAAAAGAAGTAAAGAGTTGCCAACTATCTTTTTTTTGCCTAAAAGGATCAAATTTCCCTTTCTATGACGCACACTCCGACTCTATGTGGCAAAAACGGAAAACGCCCTTCTTGTTGGCGTTGTTCATCGTGGTAGTCCTTATATTTATGAGTTATGGAGGCTCAGAAGATCTAACAAACGGGTTCTTTCCATGGACTGTAGAAATAGAGGACCGGTTGGAACGGACGCATATGCTAGCTATCTGATTCCGTTTGTGTTTCAAATTTGATTTGCATCAGTACATACATGCGCATGATAAGCTTCTTATACTCATGCACTCCTTGCTAGGATCGATACAGTAAGCCGTGCTATTAGGTCCACATCACACATCTAAACTCTATAAGTCATGCACTGTATTTTGCTAGATTTCGCGTATCACTACCTCGCATTTTCCATAACTATCCCTAAACGGTGTTTTGCGACCCTTCAGGTCCCGCCGCATATTCTCGGAAAGTTTTACATTTTCAATAGCAACTTTGTTCGACAACCTGTGCTCACTTTTCACACAATACGCATTTTCGACTTTTTTTTTTGAAGTAACTCAATGGACTTGACATCACTTTCTCTATCGCAGCTCAATACTGTCAGCCGTTTAAACCAATCAGTGCATTCAAAAAGAAACACTAATTAACAGCCGTTTCAGACTAGATGACGCGGTCGAAACAATCGCCAACGCGTACGTCTTTAGTGGCTGCCTAGAAGAAGCAACGATCAACTTTCGGAGGAAAGAACGCAGGGTATTCAAAAAGTACGCTTATATAATAGAAAATAAAACTAGCCAGTTTATTAAATAAAAAGGAGGCGAACGAAACGCGTACTCTATTTGCATGATGGAGCCGCGTTTCATAATGCCAAGATCCCGAGGTAAACCGACCGTTATGCGGCATTCGACAGCTTTGTCGGTATTACATATTGTATATACCCGGCATTGTTATCAAGAGATTAGTGATATTGATGCGGAGACGATGAGTATGCACTATAGACTAGGCCCAACGCGTTTACCCGTTGGTCGCATCTTTGTTCAGAACGGTGTTATTTAAAGCTGCAATTGACACTCTATCAAACACACAGATAACTGCAAATATAAGCTCACTTCTTGTTCTCGAATCATGGCAAGCGATCACGACCTAACGCGGATCAGAACAATGACAGACAATCACTTTGTGACTTGTTCAGCAGTCGATGATACCATTAACATGATCCTCGTACAACAACGACGACGGAGATGCGATACTTTCCAAGAAACTCACACTGTTGAGGTGTTTCTAGGACCACAAATTGGCTTCGATCTGACAACCATTTGCTGCAATGAAGCAGCATCCCATTTTCTACGTCAAGAGGCGGGCAACGGATAAATAGTGCAGTAGATAAAGCAATCCTTCGAACTAACGGACGAAGCACCCTTCTACTCCGGCAACTCTCATCGTCGTCGTTCAACATTCTATGCGCATATATACTATGTGGCGCTGCTGCTGCTGCTAAAGTAAAATCCTCCATCCCGAGTAAGACGATCGCTGATCAATAGTTATGCTACACAATCAATGCCTAGCACACGTTTTACAGTCTGTGGCCTTCTATGCAATGAGGGTTATGGGTAGAAAACGGCAAAAGTTACATCCTCTTTGTATTGTTTTTGGTGGTTGCTCTAACTAAGTGAACGACTATCGAAAAGCACATTTCAATGCCTCTTTGGAAGTTATTTACGTTGATTACTGTCGCGACTATTACGATAGTTGTGTCTTTTTAGAGCCTGTTACTCTTCCTATTACTTACATTTCAACAGCTTCAAAATTTTGCCTGTATCTATTCCTTTCATGACCGATAATTATCGAATTAGTGTCAAGTAAAATAACTTTAATAAGAATTACCTTAATTGGACACCCAAGTGCTCCCTTTACAACAGTCAGTGACATAGCGAGACCCTAAAAATGCCATGAACGTAATGGGCTCCCCGCTCACGCAATCTCCTTTTCCTGCCGCGCCAGACAGGTACGCGACTTTTTCGTTCTTTACGTTTTTACTACTTTAACAATGGCTCGAAGATACGATTCACGGACAACCATCTTTTCGCCCGAAGGTATTAAAGCATGCGCAAAGGAGAGAGACAATTGGGCATCATTCTTCTAAAGGAATTCATACTTTGAGATTTACTTACTGACAAATATTAAATATTTTTTTTCTTCGGTCCATTACGCAACCAACCATTGACACATATATACAGGGCGCTTATACCAAGTCGAATATGCCATGGAAGCCATTTCGCATGCCGGCATTGCGCTAGGCATTCTCGCAAAAGACGGTATTGTTATTGCTGCCGAAAAGAAAGTGACGTCCAAACTGTTGGAACAATCTGCATCCGCCGAAAAGATCTACAAGCTCAACGAGTAAGCACCTGTTTATCTTTACGCCCTATAATCTTTCTCTGTATGACAATGGCAATACGTTCGACCATGCAAACAGTGTTTTTGACGTTATCCAACATGTATCTATCAAACAAATTATAGCCGCATGATTTGTGGTGTAGCTGGTATGACAGCAGACGCAAATATTCTAATCAACTGGGCTCGGTCAAGCGCACAACGATACTTGTTCACTTATAACGAAGAGATGCCTGTCGAACAGCTCGTCCAGCGTCTGTGCGATTTGAAACAAGGCTACACACAGTATGGTGGTTTGCGTCCATTCGGTGTTTCATTTATCTTTGCTGGTTATGACGACCACTACGGATTCCAGCTGTACCATTCCGATCCTTCTGGCAACTATGGCGGTTGGAAGGCAACGTGTATCGGTGCCAACAATGCGACCGCACAAAGTATTCTGAAGCAGGATCACAAGGAGGATATGACCGTGGAAGAGGCCAAGGCTTTGGCTATCAAGGTTTTGAGCAAGACCATGGATAGCACTACTCTGAATAGCGAGAAACGTAAGTTCCTTATAATTTCATTTGAACTTGAGTTTTGGTAGTTTTGAGTCATAGATATGGCGGCGACAATTGAAAGGAAAATGAAAGAAACTCATATATGAACCTGCGTGCTCTATTTAGTGGAATTTGCTACCATCCGTATGGTGGACAGCAAAATCAAGTACGATCTTTACAAACCTGAAGAAATCAATGCATTGTTGAAGGAGCAGAATGTAGGAAGCGAAGCAATGGAGGAGGGTCAATAATATTCATGTTGATATACAAAGCAACTTTATATATATCAATTAAAAAAACATCACGAGGGGGCAAAAACAACAGATATTACATGAAGGTGGAAGAGGTATCTAGTGCATGTAATATGCTGCTGCACCACAAATTGCAGATGTAAGAACCGAGGAGACAAAGTTCACCTATATGATGGGGCAGTAAAGTTTGTCAATTTGCGTAAAGATAGATTAATGCTTGTACAGCAGTAGACATGTTACTTACCTGGTGGTTATCCAAAATGTTCAAGCCGCTAATCACTGAGGCATCCTTTTCATCTTCTACGACCATTTTTTGCTTCTCAGAGTATAAGGTTCGTTGAACAGTTGCGCCGAGAATGGAATCGATCTGTGTTTCGAAAGTCAGTTTATGCCGATTCAACATCTTACACGATGACGTTACTCAATATACGAACCAAAGAACCGCCGAGACCAGCCAAAGCACCCAAAAGCACAATATCCCATGGAGTGCCATGACACGGTTGCTGAATCCACAATGTGATGGCACCGGCCAATCCAACAGCCGCGCCCCCAGCAATAGATGCGGCCAGGCCCAATGGCGACACGCCGCCGTTTGTTCCTGGAGGCACTTTTTTGAACCGGATAATTGAGATAGGCCAGGATCGATTCAGGATACCCAATTCACTTGCCCACTATATACGCAATATTCAGTGAGTCACCAGGATCACCACCGCGGATCTTCTCTTATATTGTTACGTACCGTATCGCCTGCACAACAGCCGTAATGACTTATTTTCATCAAATAATATTAGGTCAGCACATCCTTACTCTTGCTCATGCAATATCTAAAGCTTACCCCATGTATGCCCAAAACAGTATCAAACTATTTCGGTCTTGATCGAAACACGACAAGTTGCCTTCATACAGAACTTGAAATAGCGCGGCAATAATACCACCAGTCAATCCGTTGCATGCGACCTGAATCAGCGTTCGTTCGCTTGAATGGTCATAGTCTGCCTCCAACAATCGCTTCCGTTCTGCTTTAAACTAGACACGAAAAGTTAGAGAGAGACATGATGGCAATTTTTTTAACAGAATTGTTGGTGCAAACACTGATTTTTGCCGAGCGAATTACAGCAAGTGTAGTGCTAATTACCTTCGTCAACTTTGAACTCGCGAGGAAAAATGTCAAAAGCACGACTGTAAAGTACGCATACGTTGACGTAAAAGTGGCCATCCCAAGAATGAACGCACCAGCAGCGCCATTAGGCGACAATGACTTTTTACGTCGAGAGTGAATCACTAAAAGTATAGATAACCCAAGAGCAAACAGATAATTTGGCATGGTGCTTCTTCTTTTTTTTGTTCGCCCCCTCTTTTCTACGTGAAATATGCAAACAAAGAAAAGAAAAGGAGTGGATCGACAGTAAGGATTTTGACCCGCTAGTTACCAGGTTTCACAGGATCGAGTATCAGAACGAAACTTATGCGCAGGGCGTAATGATGCTCAAACTTCTTCTAGTTTGCGCGGCAATCTGACACTATTGCTACAGTTTATAAAAGCATCCAAGCAGCAATATGCACTCATTAGAAAAGACCCCAGTACATTGGAAGATAATGCGATATATTTTGTGCGCTTTAGAACGCAGAGTTCAGAAAGTGCAACAAGTTTGAGCGGTTTTCGTCACGCACTTTGTCATCTGAAGACTTGTGGACCTTAAGCTTGATCTATGATACAATTCCTGTTTAACCACCCTTTTCTATGCTTCATTCTTCTTCTCATCCTCTATTTACAAATCATTTATTACCTTTTTACCAGTGATTGCGCTTCTTCTTTTAGCGTCCTCATCACTGCTTCCAACATCATCGCTACTCCTCCGACTCTTTCGATGTTTTTTCTTTAAGTATAGCATTAAACCTCTCATTGTTAGCCTACACCGCCACACACTCTTTAGCATATATCATTTTCGATCAAACTTACGCTTTTCTTATGCTTTTTGCTTCGATGCTGTTTCTTGGACTTTCGTCGTCGTCGCTTTTCATCTATAAGAGGCAAAAAGAAAGCGAATGGAATTAATAACTCTTCCATGTGATCTAGCATACCATACACATACAAATACAAGAATAAAATACCTTCTGACTCTGAAGCTGAACTGCTTTCGTCTTCTGAAGAAGATTCTGAAGATGGTGAAGGAGATCGGTGGCGGTTGCTATGATAACGACGATGTGATGGTGATCTCGAGCGCCGATCTACACATTCAGATCCCCACACAACCCATACCCCACGTTCCATGGCGTTGTTGTGTAGTGGTTGGTTGGTCGAGGTGGGTTTGGTTTACCCCCATGACAATGGAAAATGATAAAGGCCAATAAAAAAGAAAAAAAAAGACAACGTATAAGGAGATGCCATTTGCTTTTTTGACAGCATAACGCTTGGGGTAACATACCACTTTTTCTTCTCTTACTATGTCTGTCCTTGCTGTCAGGGCTTTCGTGCCGTCGATGCGACGTTGAACGGGTGCTTTCCGATCGAGGACGCGGCGATCGACTACGACTTCTCTTATGGCGATCGCTGCGTGAAGAATGTTCTATAGGAAACAAGGTATACACACGCACTAATTTAGTACATAAGCTTCGTAAGCAGAATTATGAGTGTGGGATAGCCTCAATACAAGGCATTGGCACCTTTACGATCACCCATGAGAAAATTCACAAGAGAGAGAAGGAAAATTTGGAGACGCCTTTGTCCAATTTTTGCCACAACCTCCGAGGTGCTTGAATAGGCTAGTTGCCGGAATGGAGTCCGATGATGTGGTTGGTTAACGCTCTTCTAGCCGCGCTTTTATTCTCAGATAAACAATAAAAGAAAATTCATTCTACAATCTAGTACTTTAGTTCTTTCTAAGCTATGTATTACAATTTTTTTGTCTAAGTATATGATATTATGGGAAGGGCCAAATCAAGCGTTGATACCAAGGGCGGGTCCCCACCACATCATCGGACTCCATTCCGGCAACTAGCCTATTGGTTGTCGTTCCTAACCCAATCGTGGTTGCCTCCATTCCGTCCTCAGATGTGGTTGGTGTGTTCTCCGTGGACGAAAAAATTGTCGTAACTACTTGTCTGCCACGTGCATGTTGGTCGCGAGGGCGATAATAATAATGTTCAAACGTCTCGCTCTTCTTGCTCCAATGGCCATGTTCCTTGATCATATCAACGTCTATGCCTTTTTCAGCAGCCTTTGTACTCGCCGCCGAACGCGTGGAATGTGCCTTAAAAATGGTAGTATCAATGCCTGCCTCGGCCATGACCTTAGTAACCCAGTTCGCAACGGTTACAGGACTTGCTACTCTTGGAGTCTTGTAAATGTTGGCTAAAAAGAGTGTTTGATCTGTAGGTAAATTGCAGCGCAACGGTTGTGATTTCTTCATCCAAGTGTGTAAGGTGCGGACAGGGCATATGGATTGGTCTGCAATGACACCAATTTTTGAATCTTTGACTTGGCTCTCTTTTGGTTCTCGAGCAATGAGGGTCATGCCAATACATTCTCCGTTGTCATATTGTATATGCACGTCTCGTAGTTGCAAGCGTCCAATGTCCGATCTTGTGCGCCACATGGTTGCCAAACACAGTAACATGATGGTTTTCTTTTGGAGTTTGTCCATCGGCAGTTGCTCCGTTGGGCCCCATTCCTTCAGTAAGGTTATCACCTTGTCCGTATCCCAAATTTCTTGACTAATATTAGGCATCTTGAATGTTGTGCGTCTTTTAGCAGCAAAGAACCGTTTGACGTCTGGGTGCTCAGCAATGGGCTGTCGCCATGGATGTGTGACGCCAAACACTGACGCAATCGATGATCGCATTCCATTGAGGGAATCATATCCTAAGTCTACGTTGGCTTCCAGGAACTCTACCAGCATCTTGGGATTATATTGTTCCGGGTCTTGAATAGGAACCTGATCACGACACCATTTGGCATAACGAATCCAATAATGATTGTATTTCCTTCTTGTTGATGAACGGGTGGCTTTTGTTAAAAATTTTTTCGTTTCCTTGCTATAGCCTTCTTTGTGCCATGTGCGTTCAATAATCGCCATGCGACTAGGTTGATTCGTTGGTTGATCGGCATTATTAATGGTGGGTCCCGTACTTGGTTCAAAATCATCGGCCACCAAAACTGGGTTGGCCACATCGGAGTGACCAACACGGCTTGTTGCACTCGATCTTGATTGAATTTGCGGATGACTTTCGGAATCAGTTGCCATGGTGGATGAAGGTACAATCCGCGTTTCGGCCATGGTTGTTGGAAAGCGTCTACTGCTGCTTGATTGCCATCCGGTTGTCTCGCCCAATACGTCGGAAGTCGATTGTTGTGCCTCCCTGCAAAAGCGTCGATCGTTAGCGGTCCCCATTGCTGTAGAATCTTGTAGAATTTGTTGTACGGCAACGTCCATTCGTAAATTGGTTTGCGCTGTCTGAGCCGATCCGCCGCCACGTTCTTCACGCCCGCAATATGAGAGAATCTGACTGTGAGGTTGTAATCGAGACATATATCTTGAATGTCTAAGGCGAGTTGCTGCAGTGATATGGATGCCGTACCGCCTGCCTTGCTTGCATATTTTAGCGCTGTTATGTTGTCGGTGTAGATGTGTATTGTTGAGTTTGCAAACCGTTTTGCATGGATCTCCAACGCTATCTTGATCGTTGCTAGTTCTCGAACATTTATCGATTCGGATTCTTCGTCGGTGCGCCAATATCCTGCGAATTCGCCTAGTTCGGATGCTATTCCCCACCCAGACGCCGCCGCATCTGTATGGATGGTTACTGCCGGTAATTCTGGTGGTGGTCGATGGATAGGTAAGCCATTCCGGCTCTCTGCGAGGGTGAGCCACCAATTCAAATCCTGTATTGCCAGTGTGGTTAATTGGCATGGAGCCTCCCACCCTTGTCGTGTCTGTTGCAATGTTGTGGTCAATGCACGCTGTATGTGTCGTATATGGAGTAGGGCATCGCCAATTGCTGGAATCATCGCTGTCATCTTGCCAAGTAATCCGGCGATCCATCGGCACGAGAACACTTGGTTTTTGGCTTGCTTGATGCGTCGCACCAGCTTGTTCAGTTTGTGTGTTGGCACTTGGATAAGTCCCGTGATCGTGTTGAATTGAAAACCCAAGAATTCTTGTACTTGTTTCGGTTTGAGGTCGCTCTTCTTGTGGTTGATGATGAAACCCAAGGACGTGAGATGGTTGATCATTTTCTCGCAATCTTGTTTCAAGCTGGTTGCCGATTGATTCAATAGACACACGTCGTCGATGTAGTAGCAAAAGCGCATCCCCTGGCGTCTGAGTGGTTCTAGGGCATATCGAAGTAGTTTCGACCACACTCGTGGCGCCATGCTTGCCCCAAAGGGGAGCGACCTGTACCGCATCACTACACCATCTTTGGTCTCGAATGTCAAAAAGTCTCGCGAATCGGGGTGGATCGGAACCACCGTGTACGCATCTCTCATATCGATTTTGCAGATAAAATCCTTGGCTTCGATCAAATCCCGTAGGGCTGGCAAACCTTCCATCCGAAATTTCTGATACTGGATGAATCGGTTTATCTTGCGGCCATCAATAATCGGTCGAATCTTCGTAGGTTCTTGGATGGTAAACAATGTCGACAAAAACCGGCGGTCTTGGGTAGGTGATCTCTCTATCACTTGTGCTACTTGAAACTGTGCCACGGCCTGGTCGATCCTGGTCTGTGCTGCCGCATCCTGTGTCACCCTCTTGGAAAACCATGGTTGTGGTTGCGTTTGAAATTGAATTTTGTAGCCCTCTTGGACGATAGACAAAGGCCATGGATGGTTCGTTATCTTCTTCCATTGATCGGCAAAATATAATAGGCGCGCCCCCGGTGGAATACCATCGGGGGGAATTGTGTAGTGTTGTTCCGTCAACGGCGGCACTACTGTCTGGGATCGGGATTGGTCTGATTGGTGTTGTTTTGGCTGTAGTTGTTGTTGGGTTTCGGTCTGCCAAAAAAAGAGCTGGACTTGTAGCCACCCCTGCCGAAGTTGCTGAATCCGCGGCCCCGGCCTCGGCCTCCACCATTGTTATATCCGTTATATCCATTGCGGTTTCTGTTGATGGCTGCTCTGATAATTTGTTGATCGTATCTGGCTTGTTCAATTTTTTGCACCATGTCTTGACTGAACGCCAGGTCTTTGCCTGCTTCGTCGTCTTCCTCCATATACCGGACACTTGCTGGTAACTTGAGGGCTTTTGAAACTGCTGTTCTTGCCTCTCGCTCTTGCTGTTTTCCTGTCGCGAAACCATAAACTGCAAGTCGTCTAGCTTTTTCCATGATCTGCCTAAGGTCTTGTTCATCGTTGTCGCTACCACCTCGCTCGATAAGTTGTTGCAAGTTGTCAAAGATCTCTGTTGCAGCTCGAGCCGCGTTTCGCATCCGGTCTGCGTCCTTGTACTTGCCATTGATTGTTTGATTGGCGTCCAACGTCGCTTTTTTGAGTTCGTGGACAAATACTTTGTTGACAGCACCTGATCGGGTCCATTTATCGCCGTCATACTTAATGAGGTCTCTCTTGAAAATCTTGAAATTGTCGTCCAAGTCAAGTTGGGTCGAGTCGTCGAGTTCACTTCTAATGTCGATGGGCAACTCTGGTCTGTCTCCTCGGTCGCGTTCCTCGAGTTTTGTGCGAAGGCGTTGCTCCAATTCTTCAAGTACTTGGAGTCTTTGTGCGTAGGTTTCTTCATTTGAACTCATTTACCACGAATGCGCGGCTTAGAAAGAACTAAAGTACTAGATTGTAGAATGAATTTTCTTTTATTGTTTATCTGAGAATAAAAGCGCGGCTAGAAGAGCGTTAACCAACCACATCTGAGGACGGAATGGAGGCAACCACGATTGGGTTAGGAACGACAACCAATTGCTACAACAGGAAGTAACTTTCTAATTATGACGTTATTGTCAAACTCCAATATACAGTCGCAATTAGGATGGACATATCTTTTGACGCTATGATATGTACCTTCGGCTGTCGCTGTGGGTAGTATTGAGCAACAAATCGCAAGAAGTGACTCACAGTAACGATATACTATCAGCTGATTATCTATATACACTTAATGGACGTCTCTGTTGAAATGCAAAGTTAGATAGTTGCCTTTTTCATTGCATGTAAAATCTATTTGATAAGTCGGTCACCTTGGTTCCTTGTAAAGAACGTGATCCTTCTATTTTGCTGCTATACATGACTTTCTTCCGTCTTTCGCATGAAATCGCATTTGTAGTAATAAACATGCGCAGGGCAAGGGAACTTGCATCAGCTGCTAAAACGGCTATGATAGCTGACATAGTGAGCAGATCATACCTTGTATTTCATTGCGACATATATACGTTTGCCTTCAACTATACAATCTTGTATTATTCTCACATTGCTCTGTCGAAGCAACCTGCATAACCTGTAACGTGATATGACAGCAACTTTTTTTTCTTCCAGGAATCATTGCAGCACCATACATATGCTACTCATCGACCCTTGATTACCCATACTCTACATCTTGGCATAAGTTACATTCATCGTTAGCAAGTAGAGATATATGTCGATGACTACTGTTACTAAGTAAATCAATTCTCGAGATATACAAGCGTTATATCCATGAGTACACACCAGCGCATTGATGAAGGAAAGCATTCAACTGTTTGTTAGTTCTTCATGGCTATATTTTAAGAGAGGGCTATATGGATACATCATGATTAGAGTAAGCCGTTATTTAGGAACGCCCAACTGGAATGCAAATGCGTAGTACGTTTTTCAGGCGATAAATAGCTCGCGTGTGACCATAGCAATTGGTCTAGTTCAGGATTATTCAGGGACAGGTACCAATTTTTTCGGCACATATCTATCAAACTTTCTAGTACTATATAAAACCCTCTCCTCCTCCTCCTCCTCCTCCCAAAAGCTCCGTAAAGACTATAAACGCAGCCTTCCCTTCTCCACCTTCCTCCACTATACTTTAATTCAAAACAAACACGTCTCCATGGTCACCACCCACTTGGAAGAAGATCCCAAAGTGCGTTCAACTGAAGCGGCAGCAGCAGCACATGAATGGACAAGTAACATTACACACGATGCTCAATGGTTCACAGATGAGCATGGTCGAACACTCTTGATGCGCGGCGTGAATTTATGCGGATCATCAAAGTTGCCTACGCGGCCTTATCCTGGGTCAACCCATTTGTACGATGAAAAGTTGTTTTGGGATCATCGTGGTGTCAGCTTTGTCGGACGACCGTTTCCACTAAACGACGCGCCTATGCATTTTGCGCGCCTGCGTGCCTGGGGCCTGACCCTGGTTCGATTGTTGATCCCTTGGGAAAGTATTGAGCACGCTAATCCTGGCGAATACGATGAAGAATATATCGACTACCTGCGAGAACTGATCGGGATGATGCCTGCATATGGTATCAAATGCTTCATTGATCCGCATCAGGATACGGTAAGCAAAATATAAGAAATATGCACGTAATTGTTTGTTGTTTGCTGCGCTTAGCAGAAAGGACAAAGGAAAAGGAAAAGGAGAAAGAGAAGTGATTTATCCAAATTACTGATCTGTTGACTTGTATTTACTTACATAGTGGTCACGATTTTCTGGTGGATCCGGTGCGCCAGGATGGACATTTGAAATAGCAGGGATGGATATACGTGCATTCAAAGAAACCGGTGCGGCTTATGTTCACAATACGAATGCTGTTCCTGGCGATCCACTACCCATGGTATGTAGAGAGATCAATAGAGAATAATGATGATACGGCTAACAACAAGACAATAACAACTGCATAAAGGTCTGGCCAACCAATTATACCAAGCTTGCAAGCTGTACTATGTTTACCCTGTTCTTTGCCGGTGATACCTTTGCTCCCAAACACACATACCAAGGCGAATCGATTCAGCAATTTCTGACCAACTCCTTTATAAACGCTTTCCAACATTTGGCCTCACGTCTTGTGGATCTTGAAGCGGTGATTGGATTCGAATTCATGAACGAGCCGCATCCAGGCTATATTGGTCTGGATACACTCAAAGCATTCGATCCCATAGTCAACTTGATCTTTGGCGACTCGCCAACGCCTCTACAATGCTTTGCCCTAGGTGAGGGCGTTCCACAAAAAGTCGGTGTATATATCAAGTCATGGCCATTCCCTACCAAAAAGTCACATATGCGCGTGATAAATGAGAACAAGCGGAGTGCCTGGTTGTCAGGAACATCATGCATATGGCGTCAGCATGGCGTGTGGGACATAAATAATAAGGGCAAACCAATTCTGAAAAACTCCTCATATTTTTCCAAGGACCCAAAAACTGGAAACAAGGTTGATTTTTACCGAGATTTCTACGTGCCGTTTGTCAACAAGTACGCGCAGGCGATTCAAAAAGTCAATCCTGACTGGTTTTGTTTTGTGGAACCATTGGCGAATGAGGCATCGCCTGTGTATTCGGATACGGATCATCATCACAATATGGTATTTGCTCCACATTGGTATGATTTGAATTGTGTCTTTTACAAGAAATTTGATGGCCGTATTACCCATGATGTTCAGGCATTGCAGAATGTAAGCATGAAGTCCGAGAATAGGGCATAATAATCAAATTTCTGACAGTTGACACAATGGATCTAGGGTGTCAATGTCATTAGCGCCACGTATTTCGGCCGCAATGGTGCCAAAAAGAACTATCGAGGGCAAATCAAGAATATCAAAAAGAGCGGCTTAAATAATATGGGGCAAAAACCTTGTGTTCTTGGTGAAGTGGGTATTCCTATGGATCTAAACCAGCGGGCTGCGTTTATGAGTGGTGACTACACGAACCATATCCACTTTATGGATGCCATGATTAATGCCTTAGAAGTGAATCTTGTTAACTTTACGTAAGTCATTGGACTATATCCTACACCTAAACTATGTGTTTTGGGTGCAAAAACGATGACACGGTTTTGTAATTACAATTACTTCTTTTTTATTTAGGCTATGGAACTACGATATTTGCAACGACGACGAATATGGCGATCACTGGAATGGTGAAAATTTTTCTATTTTCTCGCCCAAGTTGATCGCGGCAGCTATAGCAAGCGAAGAAAAGAAGGAGGATTTAGCATCGCTGGATACGGATGAGTCTCCAAATACCCTGTGTGATGATATTGGCCGTTTGCATGATGGAGGTCGCGTATTGAAAGCTGCTATTGTAAGTAAAATGTCTAAACTAGAATAAGCGCGGCATCATCCATAGAACTAGCACTAAATTATACCGGTCATATATAGCGGCCCTATGCATCTAAGGTGGCAGGTACACCCGAAAAATCAGAATTTAATATAGATACGCTTGAATACGTGTTTGCGTTCAAGCCATTCAAGAAACAGGAAGATCGTGCCAGAACAACTACTACGGAGCTTTACATACCCCACTATCATTATGGATCGACCAAGGCGAATTTACAAGTCGACGCCTCGGCAGGCACCTGGGAGTACAATCCAGAAACGCAATCGCTATATCACCGTTACGATAGCTCCAACGGTGGTGAAAAATCCATTACGATCCGTATAAACAGTGCTGAAGCAATGAAAAGCAATGCTAATAACAGCTTCAATTGCACCGTCATGTAAACATAGAGTGTAATAATTTTTTGTGCTATGTGTATTTGTAACCATCTGCTGTCTTTATATGGATACACATACTATATATCCACTAGCTGTCATTACTACTATGCATAAATTCTTCAAATGACGCATGGAATCTACTCCAGTTGTTGCCAGGGACTTTGGCCATCTTAATCTTCTTTATTATTAAAATCTTTAAAAGTTAGCTGAAAAATCCAAAAAAGGAAACTCTCATCCATGTAAATTCACAGATCTTTATTATTAAAATCTTTAAAAGTTAGCTGAAAAATCCAAAAAAGGAAACTCTCATCCATGTAAATTCACAGACAGAAAAAGAGAAAGTAAATACTTACGCAAAGCATTCCCAAATTCATGGGGACCTCGGCCGCACTTTTTACCCGTGGGCGCGGGGAAGTTGAAGATGAAGCAGGACTTACGCCCGGAGGCTGCCTGAGTAAAAAAACAGCCGTTCGCGTGAAACGATGCAACATCCGAAGATGGGTCGAGACAGAGGCTACTTGGAACTGTAAGAGAAAAGCAAAGGGGGAGGGGAGAGGAGGGGGATAAACTATATAAAGAACGCAATAGACGCTTTTAACGACTTCCTGGGTCAGAGCAAGGGGAAGGGGAGGGGAGGATATATATAACAACGCAAGAAGAATATGAGGCTTTTAACGACTTCCTCCAGGTCCATTCAAAGCAAAAAGCACACGCCACCGTCGAGATGGATGGATAGATCTTGACCACAGCCGATGGGCTACTTGACAGGTCGGCTTCTTTAAGCGGGATGACAGCAGAGCATCGATTTTGACCAGCGTGGATGTGTTTGTGCGCTATCGCCATTCCGAGAAACAAAAGAGACGAACAGATAATGGGGAGTTAGTAAAACACACACACACGCACACAAAAAATTCTATCGTGCTATACTTACCCATACTTTTACGATGAGACACAGGAGAACCGAACACACGGCCAGAGCAGAGCAGAGAATCGCATCCAAGATAGAAACACTTCTTCTAGCTGAGAAAAAAAAGATCATTAGAGGACTGCACCCACTGTGCTATCTTTATATTTGACACGGCATAACCATTCTCCTCCATCCCAAGCTGACTTACATTTGTTTTGTCTTTTACAGCAAAGTTATAGACAGAGAGAGATGGGGTCTAAGCCAATCCAAGTCCAAACAGATTACCGCAGAGCCATCCTCTAATAGAAAAAAGAAAACATCTATGAGCAGCTGCATACACTTTTTGACATGTCACGGCACACATCTTCCTGGTTCCATACTGCACACGTCATGGTCAGGAACCCTTTCCCGTCACGCTGCTGTACACACTGCACACCTTTGACACGTCATCTCCAGCACCCAGGCCATCCTACTCACCTATCATACCAATGTTCAAGTCCCCTTTTGCTTATCCTTACTATATGTTACTTGTCCGTCGGACACGATCAACCCAACCAGCATAAAGCGGAACCCGAAGTAGGAAAGATCATAAGCAGGCAGTTCTAAAGATGCAGCTACTTTTGACACGTCATGGCATCAGCACCTCCAACAGACACTCGACTTCTCTCCAGCTCATGCTCACATTTCACTCCCTACCGTACTTACAGTTGTTGCTTGTGCTTAAGGGTGGGGTGCAAACACCAAACCGAACTAACCATTTCAAAAAGTCAGAATCCTACAGTAGTAGCAGAGAAGAAAGGAGGATAACATTAGCGGCCGTATGCTGTACATACACTTCTTTAGACACGTCGAAATTCAGATCTTCTTTCGTATATCAAATCCACATGCAAAGCCTCAAATTACACTTCACACTTTCCATATTGTACTTACTCTTGCATCTGTGCTTTGAGAGCCAACGTGAGGGGGATATGGACCAGGTTAAGACGAGAAAGAAAATGATTTAACGGAACTTGGTATGTACTCACAACCGGTTGCATACGCTCCTCTCACTCACAACTATAACCATACACTCCCCGATTCTCTAATCCGTTCCAATGACACTCACATTGAATAGCTTTGGTTTAGAAAAGTTGACGAGCAGGAAGAAGAGCGGCATGGTTGCTGCGGCCGCGCGGTTATATAGTAGTCATGAACACACATGCTACGCGGCATTTGAGCCAGTTCATTCTATCCAATCGGGTTACTCTCTCACTATTATGACGCGCCGAGGTGTGTGGCTCCTCCAGATCAGAGAATTTATTCTACATGAATGTACGACTTTGTGAGTAGACGGATATTGCATCGAGGAAAGACTCAAGGGGATAACCGTCATTAACACGATGAAGCTCACTTCAATCCCTTCATCATCTGAGAAGTGCCATCGCTTCAAACACGTTAAATAAAAGTATCAATACAAGTATCAACGTATACAAGAGTATCTAAGATCTCATGAGACATGATCATCCCACACTTGCCAATGTTCCATTTGGTGGAAAGATCATGGTCTTTGGTAGTGACTTTCGCCAGGTATCCAACATTGTATCCTCTCTTCTACTTTGCATGTTTTATACTATTAAGCGGTAGTACTCACAGTAAAGTATATGATAATAGATCCTTCCTGTGATACCAAATGCGTCGCGCTCGCAAATCGTACAGTAGTGTTTAAATCGCTCATCCATTTGGCCCAGCGTCACCATCCACCACCTTCAATATGCGCGTCCAACAAGCTGCCAACACCAATGATGCAAATGAGCTTCGCGAGTTTGCGCAATATTTTAATTTCGCATTGGTGATGGTGCTGGGCTGTTCGTGCCAACCACTGATGACAAAGTCCGGCTTCCAGATCGAATCCTCATGTCATATTACAACATGTACGAGCTCATAACAACTATTTACGGCGATCTCAACGCATCACACGTAGATCGTGGATACCTCATGAATCGCTCTATATGACTCCAAAGAATGTCGACGTTACAGCAATCAACGAATTGATACTCGACCATTTTTCAGGTACCATACATGAATTCCAGAGCGCTGGTACAGTGGACGATGTAGAAGATCAAATCACATACCCACCACAGCTTCTAAAGATAATGAATCCATCCGACCTTCCACCACACTCGCTGAAACCCAAAGTCGGCTGCCCAATCATGCTTTTGCGGAACTTACACACCCAAAGTGGTCTCTGCAATAGGACACGGCTGATTGTACGCTCTTTCCAACAATATGTACTTGAAATTGAAATAGCCACTGGACCTCAAGCAGGCAACATCGTCTTGATCCCCCGCATAACACTCACACCTTCACAGACACGCTCCTCCATCCAATTTAAAAACACGCAATTCCCTGTTCGCCTGGCATTTGCAATGACCATCAATAAGGCACAGGGTTTCAACACTGTTGGCCTCTACTTGCCTAAACCTCCTTTCACCCACGGTCTACTTCATGTAGCCATATCACGCGTCCGCACCCCTTCATCCATCAGAATCAAGTTAGTTCCCGTGAACTTAAGTATCGCGGGTCAGCAAGGCTAAAACACCCGAAATGTTGTTTTCCATGAAGTCCTTCTCTAATTCTTTTTATCTTCTATTCTCTTTATTATCACCTATTCTCTTCTTTATCAATATCACTACATCATTTTTGTCAACACTTCTTTTCGCATTGCATTCTAAACTGGAGATAGTTAAGTGTTCAACTTTGACGACTTTCTATGATAGGCTACTTCTCACTGCACAATGATCTTGCTTTTGAATTTGAAAACAGACAATAAGCATCTATGTAATATTAAAACAATGATGCAACCTCGCTCCATAGGGGGGTTTTCCGTTGAATGACACGGAGCGAAGCGGAGGGGCTCATTCATCCGAGCGAAGCACCGCTAATATTTGGTAAAATGTGACAAGTGACGTCCCATCAGATTTAAACTGCTACATTTGTAAGAGTTGGTGTACACACATACTCCTCCCTGTTGGTTCTTTTGGTAAGTAAACCTCCTAGTCATAGGTATCATATCTCAACTGAACAATATCATGACTGTAAATCTCATCGATAGCATCAAGAAATATTTGTGGCAACAACCCCACATTTAACAGCCAACCGCATCAAATCACCTGCATTCTACAACTGCATTATTGTGGATTCCTGCCGTCGTTTAAACATACTGCAACAACGTGCTATCGGACACTATGGTAGCCGCAATGCAGAGATAAAACTGCTTTTCAATGTAATCGAGAACTTGTACTATGTACAACGAATGCATTGCTGGGTAAGTACTTGAGCTGTACCTATACCATATCTGTAAACAAGGAGCTAATAATTTGAGATTTTTTTTCTACTATTATTGTTTGAAACTATGATAGTATCACTGCGGGTAGTCCAAAAACCATATTGGCCAAAACCGACGCCGGTGAATACGCCAATTATTTCACCCCTTTTGTTGAAGCAAAAAACTGCGTCTCCTTGACATTGTGAATCGTTGTGGTGGCAAAATTCACTTTTTCACTGAATCCAGTGAATTGAAGGCAGTTGGCGATACGGAGGGGCAATAGTTCGAAGAATTCTTGCATGACTTGGAACTTAGTCTAACATCCCTAACACCTCGGATGGAAACTGTTCGTTCCGTGTTTGGCAAAAGTGACTCTGTAACCCCCTTTCACAAGGTAATGCCATTGAAACCTCAACGAGAAAACAAATAAAGAAGCAGGATAGCGACGACCAAAAAGTGTAGAGGACGATGAGATCCTCTCAACCAGAATGTTCGTTGTGAGTCTGTAGCAGCCTGTCTGATATTTATCATTTCTTGCTTCCGATTTGTGGGGAGGAAGGGGATGGTGTATGAAGTTAATTTATCTGCTTGTCCTTGCTCTACGTACCTTCGGTCCGCGTCATGGTTGACGTAATTTTGTGCGATGATTCCAAATATGGGTGGCCTGTTCGTAATGCAGACAGCAAACAGCAGCAGGAAAAACCGCGCTCCTTATTGCCCTCTCTTTTTTTACAGAAGAGCCATGACAAACAATACAGGTACGCGTGTACGTTTTCAATATACTCCAATAAGATTTTGCGTTACATTTTCAAATAATTTCTACTGATTGTCATAACAGATAACGAGATTATGTCTGACATTGACAGTTTGCAAAATGGAAGCTGGTACAAGATGCCAACGCTTGACAGCGAACTGGACTCGCCAGCAACCCGCCCTCCTCCTTGCGCAGGTGACAACAATACAAGCTCTTTAGTTCTATCAAATATGAAAAGTAGTTCCTGATATGAGCGTATATATTATATATGTAGACTTTAATGGTTTATCGCTGAAAGATAGTAGTCCACCTGCCACTCATAGCGGAAGAGACGATGGGAATACTACTGACAATGGATCAGCAAGAGGTGAGCACTTTAATGATCCGAATTTTTCAAGAAAGAAAGTCATCGGCGATGTACACATACATGATATATTATAGCTGAAGTAGCATTCCGGTCAAATATACATATATTCTTATGCTCTGCACAAGAGATGAAAAAAAGAATGGAAAAAGTTGAAGCAGAGAAAGGGCAAATTAAACCAATGCAGCTCTCTACCGTGACAACTGTATGTGCATATTCATTTTTACCGTGTATTGATATTGCATGGATGCTCATGCTGACTGGAAACTTTATCTAACTTCTCGTAGCAAAAGGAGCTCCAAAACCTGACGACAGCCGATTTGAGCAACAGCATCATCAATATTATACGTATCCGCAATCCTCAAGTGCACTCAGTGCGTTCCTCGTGCTTACCCTACTACAACTGGGTGCTCGTCGACCTTTGCAGGAGAATGAAACTTGCCGAAGTGCGCTTTCAAAGAGAGTTTAAAGAGCACTATGAAGAACAATTACGCCGAAAGATCATAATGGAAGCAGCTGAGAAAGTTAAATGGTCGTAAGTAAACTCGTTTTGTATAAACATAAAAATAGTGGAGCAGAAAAAGCGTGCGCCTGAATAAGTTGTCAGTTAGATAGCATATGTAACACTTCTACTTCCATCTTATAGCATTCACGCTAAAAACGCATTTGGTATTACAACTGACAATGAGTTTTTTGACTTGTTTGCTCCGTTCGTGCCAAAGAAGCGGGAACGCATCCTACGGGTGGCGGATATTTTGGGAGACGAAATTTGTTGTTTTACAGAATTCATCGACATGAAGAAAATTGGTGATTTGACAAGCGATGAGTTCATAGCTTTCTATCACGATCTTCTCCTGTGTAAGGAGAGGCTTTTAAAGGCATTGGAACAACTAACAGTAAAGTCCAGTTTCCATGGCGATCCGACAAAGTCGTTCAATAAGGTTGACCTGCTCAACGATGGTTTTTAGGAAAAGAGCTTACACACAGTTTTTTCTTTCTCCCTTCTCCCTCTATGTTTGATTCCAAAAGTTTCTGTTCAATAAATGTTTACATACTTTGGCGCAATACGTCGACCGAACGTGTGCTATTTTTAAGCAGTGTTTTTCAATATAGATATGACGGCAAACATGATCGCATTACCGGTAGCTTAGGATGTTAAAAGCAGCGAATAGAAAAGCTAGTAGCTTCGTCAGTACAAAATGCTGTTCCACAAGCTTCGTAAAAAAAGTCTATACGCGCCACCCACTGAAGAAAAGTAATGATATATGAAGTGGTAGCAACAGCGACACTCTTTCCATACTGTATGTTCAAGTTGTTTTCGCAAATCAACGCTGCTATTTTCATAAGGAATTGACATCAAGAATCACTATGTACTGGAAAACTGGTTATCGAATATCATATATATCGAAAAGGTGTCCAATATAGGAGAGGGGAGGCGCCGGATGTATTACATTCATACTTTGCTCCCCTCTCCCCTTGAGCGTTGTCTAGTAAAATATCATCAACTCTAATACCCATAATCGTTAATAAAAGAAAAGGCTCGAAAGTGTTACTGTTTGATGTTATATGTATATACCTCTTTGAAAAGCGCGAAGCAATTTGACACAGATAAGGGCATTAACTATTAAAAATAGTCTTGATGTTAGGAAATAAGTCTCTTGACTCTTCAACGATTGCGTTTCGGAATACCTCATGTGCTACCCGAGGGATAAACCCAGAGTATTCATCACTCAGCAGAGACCTCTCCTCGGAATTGTTATAGACTGCGAGAAAATCAGTTGGACTTGACTTGGTTGGACTGTATTGAGGAATGTAATGCAGCTTGACCTTGTGGTCAACTTGGCTGGATCCTTGACCGGGTCCACGAAGCACTAACTGGTTTAACAATGCTGTTGTCGCGACTGTCATAATGAGAGTAAAAGGTTTTACTACTTAAAGTCAACCGATCATATAGCTGACATGGAAGTTAGTAACTTTTCCAGATGCAATGCTTCTTTTTTTCATTAACATAATTATAGTTATATGCCTGGCAACATATAAGTATAACAGGATGATGGTGTGTAAAAAGCTTTGTAATACCATTACTTCCGTGCGTGGTAAGAAGCTATTGGCGCTTAAACGTTGCATGTTCATTTCCGGATGGGGCGATAAACATCTGAGGAAAACCAAAAGTGAACTACAAGTCGTTATGAAACACTGAGAGAGAGAGAGAGAGAGAGAGAGAGAGAGAGAGAGAGAGAGAGAGAGAGAGAAAGAAGCTTTGGATTTTGCCAAATGGCGTCTGTCTTTATAAACATGGAAACTGCTAAAATTTGCGACGTGAGATATTCCTTCTTTGTGAAACGATGCGGAGACTAAGGAAGAGGTTCTAGTAGGTGACTAAAAAAGCCAACGTTCAAATCAGTCGAGAAATGTGGAGCTTTTTACAACAATCAATCGCAGCGTGTCGCAGCAGCATGTACAGCCAATAGTGACAAACAAGTCATGTCAATAGCTATAATATGCAGGAACAGGATTACCGGTCTTCATTGACTATGAAAGTTGGATTGCGCGCTTGGTTCAGGTCGATTGGTCTGCAACAGCATACGGCCTTCGGTTATTGGCGCGGTGATGCTCAGAGTAAACTACAGTAGTCAAGTAATTGATACAAAGTGGCAGCCAAATCACTTTTGTGGTAATCATACGCCTAATAAGCTATTATACTGAGTGTGATCTTTTGTCTCTCGGTATATCAGGATGGAGCCATGAAGCAAATTTGGTTGTCCATTCTATTGGCACGGAGGGCGCTCGCTTTGTTTTATCATCATACGAACACTATGTAGCTTTTTTTTTGTCGAAGGCTATACATTCTGCTGAATATGTAGTCGTATATATACCCTCAGCTGCCGATGAGGCTCCTTCCTTACCACGTCCGCGGCGGTCAGTTAGCATGCATGTCATATGGGACTTCATCAATATAAATCAAAAAGCTTACGATGATAATGTAAGGTATACATGCAGTTACTTAAAAAAAAGAGCTTGCATATTAACGGTCTCGTCGGCATCAACTGAATTTCGAAAAAACTTACTACTGCTGTTGTCCGTACTACAGGATGATCTGTTACATATATTCAGCATCAAGATAATACTACTGCGCTTTACACAAGTCAAAGATCGACAGTAATGATGCTTTAACAGCAAAAGCGTAGTTGCACGCAGGTTGAAAGCAGAAATGTAGTAAATATGACATTTTTAAATGGTACACAACAGAACGCAACATGTTTAACTTGCATGCATATCTAGTTGGTATTGTTTTTCCTGTATTATGCGCGTAATACCAAACAGCTTTTTTCTTAACTTCGTGAGAAATTTGTACTGCTGTAGGGATGACAATTATGAGAACTATACTCAAAAAGAACTTCTTTCGTTACATCAAACCTTAAATACACTTTGGCAACGGCGTCAGAAATACTAGAAAGAAGCTTGGTCACAACAGCCTTTTTTTCTCTGCGGACAGTGTGAGAACGAAGGAGAAAAATCATGATCCTTCAGGCTTTTGTGTTGTGATTTATTGAAAATTTCTCACTCATGTTGTCGGGTAACACTCGTGGCGCCTTTACCATCGTCTTCTTTCCATCATAACCATAAAACTTGACTACTTTCAGGTGTGGGTTCACATGTACACTTCGGAACCATCGACTCGGAAAGGAGCGAAATCTCACACAGTAGAGAATCAATCAAATGTCTGACAAACACCACGTTCACGCGTTTATATAATAGTATGTCATCAGCTGAATGCAATTACGAAAATTGAGGATGCATATGGAAACAAAACGAGCGATACAGCTATTCTGCTTATATTGTGAATCAGAAAGATGAGTGATAGAATATGTGTTTATCTTTATGATGATCTGTTTGTGTGTTGCTGTTGTATATGTACAATACTTAAGCTTAAACAGGCAGGTTATATCTTACACAGATATAACGTTTTGTTTGTATCGGATGATAGATATGTACGTTTCATCGGTAATTTATGCAGTGTGATTATGTGGGTCTTTTAGAACCTGAACAAATGAGAACGCCTCTTTCTGTTGTCCCTGAAGATGGATGGAAAGGGTATAGTATAAATTTGATCGTATTACCTACAAAGTACTAGTGAGGTCACCTGCTAGTCCAAATTTCACATAGTGGACCACGAAATCAGAAAGTTCGGGTCAGATGAGGCAGTCAAACAAAGAAAGCTCCCCCACTTCTTTCTCTCTATTTCACCATCTCTTCCTTTCTTAGTAATTGTGATGTGAGGGTGCATTAAAAAATATAAAAACAACTTTAAAACAGGCAAGATCACAAATATGGACGATTCGTTCATCGGGTAATGAAGATGATGATCATGTTGTTGTAGCCGTCTTTTGGATAAGTATTGCAGTAGCAACATCTACAGCATGATATAGATACAGATCGGAAACCGAGAAGCACTTTTATATACATATACACTTTACCTAAAACAGTAGCCCATGGATCAATAAACAAGTTGGATCGAGTTGAGATATGATAGCTTTCTACAATTTAAGACGCAAGCATGTTTAGCTATATAATTGGTTACTGCAGCGTAGGGAGTAGAGCTTGACCACGCGCACATAAAAGGTCTATCACAGTATAATCATGGTTATGTGTGGAAGTAAACATTCGGGAATAGTAAGAAATTGTGTCATGAATTTCTATGATACGCTGCTGGTTAAATTTCGATTTACATTATCTACATATTGGATCCTCCGACAAAAAGGCAAAGATGATGTACGGTACCTTTTGCTACTCGCCTAGACAGAAACTGGAGATCACAAAGACTCAATTAACATGCACGCTCCGAGATGCTGTTTCTTGATGTTATTATCAGTGCTCAAAACAATTTTTCGGGGTAGGTAATTTGATGCTGCTAAAGAGATTGTCGTCAAAATGTTTCCTATACAGTACCCGCTCGTTAAACCGATCACCTTTAAACCGATATTTCGTTAAACCAACCACTTCCCCAAAATACCGGCTTGGTAAGCAGTATGTATGTCATATAGTGGACCCTCAATCTTTAAACCGATCATTTGTTAAACCGATCACTTTCTCGAAAAACAGAGGTGATCGGTTTAACGAGCGGGTACTGTATTCCACGAGTCATATAAAACTGCAGTAAAAGTGGATTTACTTCTAACAGCTTTCTCAAAACTTTTTGGAGGCTCAAAGATGTAATAGAAACATGGAAATTAACACTAGCATAGCCGTACCATGTTCCCTCTTGACGAACAACAAGGACCCTCTCCCCTTTCGTTTTTGTGAAAATTTATTTTTACTACTCTTTAACGAAATGGTTAGTATCTTCACCAAACTGTACTTGCTACCAGTTGTTAATATGCTAATAAATTACCAGCAGCAAAAGCTCTGCTCTTTAAGCACATTGTAGTCAATGAGTGTAGCTATAAAATGGTAGTCCGTATCAGGTATTAACAATACCTATGAGAATTAGTACGCGGGCTGAAAAATTGAGAACAGACGGACTGAAAAATTTCTGGCATTTTAGTAGTATTCAGCCCGCTTTGTTAATGTGAAGGGCTCGAGCACTACGCGGGCTGAAGGATCTTATATATGATGTATTGTCTTCAAGCTACACCACCTTGATATGTGATACAGATATATATCTCAATTAAAATAAGCTTATTGCTTACAGTCATGCAAAGGACAAATTTATGTGGCCAAAGCGATTCTGGTCTGGGCCACCGTAATAGCAATGAGAGCAAGCTTATAAAAAAAGTAGTGGATGGCCAACAGTAATTCTACTTGGCCAATGTAATTTTATTAATGAGAGCAATCTTTTAATAAAGAAGCATCGCGATGACCAGCTGAATGTGACATTTGGCAGTGAATGCATCCAGTACATACTTAGCCACTGCACTTCTAACTGGAGCAATTTAATCGTATCAACAGTGATCAAGTTCATCAGAGAAAAGAAAAATGCCAATATGTAATGAGCGTTTAGCGGTCGATCAAGACTTAATTGAAAAGGGACATACGAAAGAAGAGTAATGAAGGAGACGTTAGGTGCTGGTGTATGATTACATTCGTTAATTTGAACCTACTGTGGTGTTACTCGATGCCAGTACTTTACGAGCCATCAGATTTATCTCTAAACATACATTATTTATCTAGCGTAACATATATTGAGCGTTCTGGCTGTGCATTCCATTGAGAATTATTGAATAATAAGAGATGTACTATCAAATCAGAGTTGCTGGACATAGGACACACACTTTAAGTAAGCGTGAATAGGTGCTACATATTCTACTATAAAATAAGGAATATGTCACAGAAATGGATATGACCATTCAGCCCGCGTAGTGCTCGAGCCCTTCACATTAACAAAGCGGGCTGATTACTACAGCCCGTGTACTAATTTTCATACCTATTTGTGTTGTTGCTAGTAGACGGCTTATATTCAACTACATACACTCTGGTGAGTGAAACTCCGCTGCCTGGATTTGTTTTTGTCTGCGTTTTTCTGTGGACTCCCTATATACACCACACACATACACACCTTAAAATGAATGTCGCTCGGGAAGCATTGTCCAAATTGACACCAAAGCCCTCTGTATTCTCAAAAGGCGGCAAAAATCTTTATGAAGTTTTAAGTGTGCTTCCGGAATTTGGTGTTGGAAGTCGCGTGGTAATGGTCTTACTTTAGTTTTTTTTCCACGCATGTCAAAAATGTTAAGACTTTTAACGATCAAATGATCTCTTTCTCCCTCGGCGAACTTTAACACCCCACTTTAGACACCAACTAAAATCGCCAACAACCCAACTTTAAACGAAAGCTTTTATGAAGTGACCAAAGTCCATTTGAAACCTGTAGGTTCAATACGAGTGGTTTGTGGTGGCGGCCCTTAATAATAACAATATGATGATTATACTTTTTTGTCATTTGATCTGATATCGAATATGTATTTTGCCAGGGATTGAAGCACGGCCGCGCATGGGGCGTTCAAGTCCTGAAAGGTATTTGATTTGTACTAGATAATCAAAGGGAAAAAGATGGAAAATTTCTTCATTTAGATAGAGTACTAATTATCCCCAATACACTTCCTAGGTCGAACGATGGAAAACGGCAAACCAGTAGAGATTAGAGGAGGATTAAAGTATAAATGGAAACTCTATGCATAAAATAAAATAAGGGGATTGCAGAAAAGGAATCGTATGATTTTGAAATGGCCGTGCAGCAAGCAGAGAAGCAGCGGCAGCAAAGCATGCACACAATCTTGTTAATACACCTGCAGGGTGTTTCATTATATGTTCATTGAATTTGCTGCTTTATTTTTTCGTCTTTAACTATTCGGGCATTGAGTGAGAAATTGCGCACCGAGTGAGGGAGAGAAAGAGAGTGTGTGTGGGAGGGATATTAAGGAAATATGTAACGAATGGTATAACGTTTCACCAAAGATTAGATACTAGAGGTGGTATGGAAGGCACCTGATACGGAGGGTTGGTTAACTGATAAGTAGAGAGATAGAGGAAGATATGTCGGTGCATGCTACTGCGTACTCAGCACAGCAGCACGCCACACGTGGATAAGTAGCAGCAGTAACCAATATCACAAGTGTACAATATAGCGAGGTCTTATCGCCTATTATGGTCGTTTGTCCGGGTGTAACTTGTTCCTTTGGCTGTTCGTCTCATCGAAGATGAAATGGATGCACGCGCGGGATGAGATGTGTTGTTGCGGGAAAAGGTTCCACCCACTCTTTTGTGGCACCATGATAACGTGCGTCTTTTTCTTTTTGTTTTCTCTCCCCCAGTTTTCAGGTCATGATAGCCACATGGCACAAGGTTAATATTTTCAACAAACAACAAAGAGGCGTGATTCGGAACGTGTGCATGAGAGAAAGAGGGAGAAAGAGATACAAACAAAGACAGCTTTCAGGGTTTTGTTTAAAAAGATCCTTTCGATAATAGATATATATTTTTAGTTTGAAAGAAGTGTTTGTCTAGAAGAGTTTTTAAAATATACAAAATACAGATATATAGTAGAAATAGCGAGAGTGTGAGAGTGAAAAAGACATAGGAAGAAGTTGAGACTATTGTACAGTGTTGGACGAAGAGAGAGAGTGTGTGTGTGTGTGTGAGTAAGGGAATTGAATAGGAGGAGAGAGGAAAAATGGGATATAGTGTATATACGTTATTGGTGTTGGTGTAATATATTATTTACTGTCTATTTTTTGTTCTTCTTGTGCTGCTTGGGACGACAATGGTAGTGGCGCCAGCCATTATCCAATTCACCGTCGTTGCACATTTCCATGGACTTCATCCACGGAGTCTCTAGTGCCTGAGCAACGGTATATCGCGTGTCTGGGTTAGGGTCGAGCATACCGGACAGACATTCAATTTCTGGCGCAGTGAGATCTTTAAAGACCTGGCATTCTAGGTGGTTGCTGTTATCGTGGCGCTGTTGGCAGTACAGACCGAACTCCTCGTCGCCGCCATCTTTGGCATGAGCGGCCACATCAGCCGGCGAGCCGGGCTTTGCACCGTTCACAGGTTTAGCGCGATAAAACGCTGCACGGAACGGCAACATTTGGGTGCGGATGCAAAAGTAAGTGACGGCTGCGCTCCATACGTCGAATGCACGGCCGTCGTAGCCATCGTTCTCGTCTTTGAGCTGCCACATTTCAGGAGACCAGAAGGGTTCAGAGCCGCACCATTTGTGGGAAGGACGAGAGCCAGACTCGAAGCAGCTCTGTACGACATCTGCCGTGCCAAAGTCGGCAACCTTGAGCGTTCCACCCTGTGAAAGAACAAGATTCTCAGGCTTGATATCGCGGTGCGCGATGCCGAGTTGATGGATGTGCTGTAGACCCAGTAAGAGTTGTTTGAACAAGCAGCCTTGTTCGTTGAGCGACATGGAGGGTCGTTCTTGCAGGAGGTTGAAGAGATCGCCCCCAGAGCACTTATTAGATAAAGACACACACATATCAGTATTTTTCTTTTCTTAAAATGATAGTCTAACGTGTGAATATTAAAAAAGAGGGAAACTCACGTATTCCATAACAGCACACCATCGATCGTGCTCGTCTTTCACGAGATCTAGCGTGTCAATCACATTTGTATGACCAGAAACGGTCTTGCTGATGCAGTATTCGTTCTGCATCCGCTTATTGTAATCACATTCCGATTCGCTCTTGTCACGTTTCTTGAATTCTTTCACAGCGAGGATTTGGCCATTGGCGCGCACCAGTCGGATCACCGCTGTAGCACCGCTGGCTACATTTTTTTTAGAAGTGGCGCCCATGCCTTTGCAGCTGTGCTCAGGCTTCACATAGGGTCCGTACTTGTCTGCCAGCTTTGCGTATTTCTTTTGCTGCAGCTGAGAGGTGGAGGACGAGGGTGAGGACGGCGAGGTCGGGCTGTCGCTGTAGTAGCTGTTGTTGCTGCTGCTGCTGCCAGTAGTCATAGTATGCTGTTTCCATGACGACGAGAACTTGTTCCAAGTGCTGCTCACTGAGCTGCCGTAGCTGTGTAAGCTGCTCGATGCACTGCTGCGTCGACTCTTGGTGGATGCTGCACTGGCTCGTCGTTTGCGGTCCTCATCATCACTGTTGTCTTTGCTGGTTTGATGATGGTGGGCCAAGGGTGTCATGCGAAGACCGGCTCGGATATGGCCACCGGCATGGTGCAGCATGTTGTGAAAGCGGCCATGCGACTTTTTCATCGGCTCGGCCACTACGGGTTGTTGCTGTTGCGGTTGATGCTTTTGTTGTTGTTGTTGTTGTTGTTGTTGTTGTTGATGATGATGGTCTTGTTGTGATTGCGGTGACTGTGGTGATGAGAGCGGTACTTGGTGTGCGTTAGCACCAGCAGTTGTAGACACAGACGAGCAGCTGCTGCTCCTGGTATCGCCTGTGGAGATGGAGGAAGACAGACCGGGTGGACGGTTGTCGTCGTTGTGCAGGGGATCGATGGCTTCGGGTGAGCTGGAACGAGGGATCATCAGCCAATTCCCATCGTCAGAGTACTTGTGTGAGATAACCGACATATTCAATAGTACATGTAATGGATGGAGTGGGGAAAGGGAAGGGGGGGTATAAGATCAAGCTTGAGATAAGAAGGAAAAAAGGGGAGAAGGAGAAGTCAAAAAAAGAGTCTGTTTATATAAGAAAAAAGAAACTATTGTCGAACAGATTCAAGGTGTGGCGAATGACTTTTTGTACTAGGCAAGAGAGGGTGTGTGTGTGTGTGTGTGTGATAATCTATGCGCTAGCAAAGCAAGGGGGGGGAGAGGAGAGGAGAGGAGAGGAGAGAGGGAGAACCAGTGTGTGTGGCGACACAAGGGAAAGAAAGAAGAAAAAACCCATCTGCTTTTGGACTGTGTGGGTGTCTCTCTGAGTTTCGAAACTTTTTTTTTTCTTTTCGCTTTCCATTGCCATGCGGGGATTTTCTGGGGGTGGGTGGGTGGGTGGGTGGGTGAGGGTCGCCTTTGCCCGAATGAATGACGTCCATCACGATGCCACAAGGGTTGTTATAATTAGCTCTGCCCAGCGCATTTAGTGTCATCCCAAATACGGACGTCAACCGGGAAGCGCTTTTTGCTTCGCTCTTCCACAAACCGGACTCGACGTCCAAAGAAAAACTTTTTTCCTTTTGGGTTCCCTTTCAAAAGTGAGAAAGAGAAGAAAGGGACCAAAGGCTTTTGGTTGGTTGGCTCAGCCAAAACCACTCATGATATCTGATGGGGTTTTACATTACAATTTTTTTTCGCTCTGGGTTCCTGCCTGTCTGTGAACCAACCACCAAGCCGTCAGCGCCAACCACGTGCCCTGCTCTGTATACCCGCATATATATAATTCTGCCTTTCCGTGCTCTCTGTCGCACTCTGTAGTATGGATTCTGATCAAACCAATGCCCCTCCCCCACTCTTTACCCCGACATTCAATAAACAATTCTATATCGATCCAAAGGAAAACTTTATTGCTACTTGCTGCTACCGCTGCTGCTGATCAAAAGGGAGAAACGACGCAATTTATCACAAGAAATTCTTTTATTTTGGGGGGGGGGGCAAGAGAATCAATGTAATTTTATGAGAGAGAAATAGAGGCAAATGATATGTTTATTTATCAAATAAAACGTAGCAAAAAAAGAAAAGAACAGTTCATGGATGTTTCATCATTACTATGCATAATATGCAAATATCCTTTTTATCCATTCTTATTACTACCCAATTAATACCGCTTTGTCCATAGGATGAATATACATGCAACTAAAAAAGCGGGTATACGTTTACAATGAAACTCTTCTCCGTTTGCGGGTAATTTTTTTTATAAAGAAGAGACGGGGAATTTTAACAACTCATGACAACACACACTCAAAAGAGCGTATATGGTAACCCTCCACCACATGCCCCCACTTCAAGGACGACGACGACGACGACACCACTACTATAATTTACCGACAACGACATCATTTGCAGTAAAGTTACCCGACAACTCCACAAAATTTGATTTCCAGCAATATTACCCGTCTGAACTGTGGTCCAAACTTGAAAAGGGAGTTTTGTAACTTAGCACCCTTACATTACGTACCATTGCACCAACATGTACATACTTGTCTTGTCCCCCCCCCCCCACCTCATCCCACCCCATAATCAATAATCATCAATCATCAGTATCATCTCCGTGAAGCAGTTGGAAGCAAGGAGAAGATTTTCCATTGAGGGTAACCGTGAAGAGTATATGAGCTAGGTAACTTACGGTCACGTAACTAGGCAACGGTTGCTATGGCACGGTTGCTGTAAAGTGCATCGCTATGGTTTCACAAGAATGGCGATGCTCGAGCTTTAAAAAGCAGCGACACTTGGAAGATCGCCGTCGTTTCGAATGACGGCTACAGAATTCAGGGCCTTTATCTCTGTTGTTGTTGTTGCTGCTGCTGATAAACCAAAACACGGAGGAAGATGGTGCCATGAGATAGAAATCTGAAGTTTCTACAAAAGAAAAAAGGGGCGCACTGTGCACATTTTCTTGTTACGTACCAGATGTTCTTCGATTCCGCAAGCCGCCTCTTTAGATTATTAGTAGCTCCTTTCATCATCGTGTAATGCTCTCACTTTAATACCAATAAATCATTCGCGTGCTTCTTCTGCTACATGCCTGCTACCAGCATGTATCATCATGTTCCTAGTTTATTTCTTGAAAGAAGAAATATGGAATTCTTGTTTCCGCTGGAACGATTGTTGTGGTGATACAAAAAAACTGTGTATCCAAGATAGAGTGTGTGAATTTGTTTTCAATTTCAAGGGTAAACAGGAATCCTTCTGTTACATCTTCTTTCTGCCCGGCTATACACAGTAATAAAGACATGCTGTTCCTGTCTATCAAGGAAGATGAAAGATGGATGCATGAACATAAAAGATACTTCTCTTCTCTTGGCAATCTCCCCAATTGACCTATCCACTCGCTAGTTGACAATTTCATAACCCTCGCTGCTACTTTTTTTTTCTTCTTGTCATTATTGTTCGTTTCCTACCCAGTGCCCCACAACATGGCGCGCGTGTGTATGTAATTACATATATCGTAGCACACAAAGGCCGGACAACGTCTGTGTCCTCCTTTAAGAAACCAGCTACTAATGTACAGAAATACAGCACCAAACAATAATCGAAATTCGGTACTTTCGGGCCTTCAAGTTTTCTTGCACATACATACCTATCGCACTTGCAAGGTTCTCGTTGCATTAAAGTTGTTACTATAAATATTCATTTATTTTGATTCAACTTGCTGGTTTTGTCCCTAATTATATCTTTTGATGTATCACGAAAGTTACTCAGTGACGACGCATCATGTTTCCTCCCCCTGCCTAATAACTAAAAATCAAATGTTCCATGCAAGCAAACAACTAGGATAAATTGTCAGGTCAATAAGCACGGGAGGAAAGGAGATCTTGATTAGTATGTCAAGGCGTTATATTGCTAGTATTATTTTCAGCTAATCATATTGCTTAGAGCTTTGGAAAGAGCAAAAAGCTTTTCATCACTCATTGCTTTGTGGGAATAGAAAGTTCTTGCCGTTCCAATGGCCTTCCCTCCCCCACCCCACCAACTCGCTTCTAGATATGATCGCCATTGCAGATAACAACAGCAACAGAGCAGGCAGGGAAACATATTTGCATTATTATAACGGTTAGTCCAGAATTGAATAACCTTTTGTACTAGAGGCATAATGTAAACTTTTTGTGGTGTGTGTAGTTTTAACCTCAAAAAAAAATTATAGAAATGATTTTCTGACTATTACATATGTACATACAGGAAAACGTGATGAAGATCATCATCACATCATGCGAGAACATTGTATTGGCTCTACCAATTTCGGATTTGTCTGCTCTTTCATTATTTAAAATCAAGAAAAAATCGGCATTACTGCAACAACAACAGTTGGTTCTATGTTTTTGCCAAGAAAGAATGTGCACCATGACTTACCTTTCTTCTCTGTCTTATTACTAATCGTGCGTTTTTGTTGCCAAGAAAACACAATGACCGTTTATGCCTAATATGACCACTACTGTATTTTGCTCTCATCGGTGAGCAGTTTGTCTTGGCAAAGAATGAAGAGGACAGCAATGATATATTTCATCATCGGATATCGTACATCTTATACGTGGCGCAGATTATCCCTCCTCTTTGGAACGATAATTATAGTGCATAACAGAATATCCAAAGAAGAAGAATAGTTTATCCAGCTCTCAAGTCAATAACAAGTCGTAATACCTGAGACACAATGACTTGATGCCATTTCCAGCTTACATAGTGTGATCGTCGATCTGATATCTACATGACATCGGAATGACAACTCTCTTGTGTGCAGATTACAAAACAAAACAACCGGATCACAAGGATGGGTAAGGCGGACTCTAAGAAACTCTTTCGGATCGCTTATGCATACTTGTTGACGAAAAAGCATGAGAGATAGGGTAGGAAGCGGTGGTCAAAGGAAAGATCTTGACATATTTCTCTCTGAGTTTTGCTTGGCATCTTAATTCATGTATGTAAATGTAATGTACTATACAATGCAAAAAACTTGTATATAGCTAGCAGTTTCTCTCCCTCGTATTCCTAAAAGATCCGCGTTTACGACGTGCATTAGATTCCTTATTTTTATCCTCCTCTTATCACAGCCCCTTTGCAGCCCTTCCTCCCCCAACAAAGAAAATTACCGGGAACCCATGCGATTCGGCTTATTCACTTAATGTACATAACCCGTCGATCAAACGTTTGAAGTGGGAAGCTGATAACTGCAAGATGCTGCAACCCCGACACCTCGCTTTCCTGAGCTGTATCTATGTTATAGAAAGGAAGCATGCATGTCACCTATGATTGTGCGTATATTAACCATATCATTTGATGAGAACAGATTAAGGATAAGTTTTTCAGCAGTTGTGTCGTTTGTTGATGTGCAGACCATCTTATTTAGGGATTCTAGTATAGAAGCATATTTCTGATGTGTTGTTAGCTAGCTCACATTCTCAAGACACATGTTCCTCTGGTTACCTGAAAAAAACTTTTATTCCCATCGAAATGCCATCCACAGCGGTTGAGCATTTTACGGAAAGAAGAAAAAGCTCAAAATTAGCAGTTGATATATGATACAGAACCCCCCCCCTCCGAAAAAATCCTTCTATATACCTATGTATCATTACGGTTTTCCCTGAAGCATCTGGAGTAGCAGACGACTCATCACCTGTGCCAAGAATTTGTGTTGCTGTTGCTGATGTTATAATAGTGTTCTATATAATACTCCCACCTACTACTACATTACTTGGCTGTTACTATATATAATGAGATCGCTACAAGAAAAACTCCACTCTCATTACACGTAAATATAGTGATACCGTTACACGATTTCACAATAAGCTTTTGTGCTCCAGATATGGATGGGTGGAGGTGTGAACCCGATCATCCTCTTTCGGGAGAGCACAAAAACTTGGCATCCGTTTTCCGCGGCTTCCTCTAACTAGCACACTCTTCTTCTTCTCTAAATGGATATAGCAGTTTTATGATAGAAACATTAGAGATGCTGTTGTAGCAATGAGCAGTAATTACTCTCTTTCTCTCTGTTCGTTTTTGACGTAACATGTGCACAATCACCTGAGCGACATTTACTTTATTCGCGTTTATTATCGGTGAGAATAGTCAGTTGCGGGCCAAGACATTTTGAGAAATCGACTTGAGCGGTAATTGATGAAACAACTCGGAGTCGTGATGTAAAATGACACGGTTAATCATGCTCTTTTCATGGAGCATAGTAAACAATCCTACGCACTATGTGTTCTTCTTAGATTCGAGCTATTTATCGATAATATGCATACTTCACAGCATCATGATTGCGCTACATAATTTTTGAACGTTGCTTCAATGGTAAAGGAATGATGAGTGAAGCATTCACCAGAAGCGCAGATACGATTACGCAGTATCTGAAGGTTTTTCGCTAATTTTGCAAGAACACCAAAGAAGAGGTCGATTTCAAAATATTTCTTTGTTGTATGCCAATAAAAGAGACGTATCAGACTCGGATGCTTTCATTGTATCCGTTCTTATCGTTTAGAATATTTGTTTGTTACTGATGATAAATTTGTAACAAGCATTAGGTATTGTTCCTCTCACACAGAATTGCAAAACACCAATACTTTTTCAATGGGCGGGGAGCAATGATGCATTTATTTCAACAACTGTGTATTCAAATATTCTTCTGCGGCACTAGCAGGGATTCGAGACATGTAAGTGGTGTGTGATATGGTGAGTAACAAAAGCTGAGATCATATCCATAGACATTTCTTGCTAATTCGAGCGCTCTTACTACTTCCCACCGAGCGTAATTTCGAGGAACGCAATATAGAGTAGCTGGATTTGCGCTTGTTGTTTTATGATTCAAACATCGTTTCCCTGCACCCTGGATTCCTTTCACGGAAGATTTCACGTAGCCTTCCCCCACCCCAATGGATGCGGCATATCTTTTTGCACTGCATGATGAGTTTTGAATGCGATCCAATGGGAACAAGACGTGAACGAATCCTCCAGCATTTTGTGATGACATGTTAATTAATTCTCTTGCTTCTGAAAACCAACCCAATTACGCTCCCACATTCTTTTGATACTCTTTTGAATGCATCATTTGCTTGATTGACTAATCGTCTATTGACTGCAGTTGTACCCCGGTTTTTTGCGACCGAGGTATTACCGATTCCTATTTGCAAAAAGTGAGGATTTGCAACTAACAGGCTTTGTTTCACATAAACATTTGAGGTCATCCTGTACATAGTACTGCTTCGTAATTTATCTGTCAGAGATGATGTACGATACATTCCCTGGAAATAATCTCTCAACATAGGTTTCGGTGTTTCCCCATTCTACTGGCCATTCAACTACCAGTTTGTAACTTTTTTTATTTCACTTCTATATATTTTCTTAAATATTCATCTTACAGTAACCACGTCATTCTATATCTCAATAAGACGCAAAGCATGCTTCTGTCAGTTGATATCACAAAAGCAAAAGCTGTTTTCACCTCGATATGATAGCGTGCAGATCGTAAAACCTATTTGCAAGTTGCACATGTGCGAATTTTGAAGTTTTCAAACAAAACTGCAGATATTTACAAGACAATAGTGTATATGAGTCAAGCTTTAGTTCTATTATTTCTTAAAGACTTACGTCTTTTTCCTGCATGTCTCCTTCAGCTGCTTCTTCATCGATTTCTCGTTCTTTGAGATGTTAAGGTACTGATCGAGCCCTTGAGCCACTGGAACGGACGACTACTTTCGTAAAATCTGCGCTTCAGTTCTTCAAGAAAAGCCCACCGTGTCTAGCTCTACTCGTGTGTCGACATGAAGGCAGCATAAAGCTCATCTGCAGGTTGAGTATACTTCTAGGCCACAATTATATCCTCCAGCCACAGATGGCTGATACCGATAATGTGTTTCATACGCCTGACAGGCAGCTAGCGCTGAACTTGTGCTGCGTTATATAGTAACATTACTGTAACAATCTACAACATCAATGAAATTGATGAAGAGCCTGAACGGAAACAATATATCAGCTCTCAAATATTAGTGGTATATGGAATATTTGCAGAGTGACTAGAAACGTATTCACATGCATTTATATCAACAACAAGAAGCCGAAAGAACTTAGCTATATTGGAAAGGAGAACCAGGATTTACTTAGATTACAGTTTACAGTATGTGTGAGTTATTGTAAAACCAAAGGTTGCAAAAAACCGGGGTTAGCTATACGGAGGCCGGTATATACGTGACAGTGTATCAAACGTCTACTGTGGCAGGACAAGAGCAAGATGCTTACATTGGCTCGCTAGTACACTCGGGTAAGAAGCAAGGTGAGTGTTCGGTTGACTGCGATACATGTCCTGTTGAATAAATTTGCTAGTTTTGGCGCCTGCCATCTATCTTGTGATTAATCATAGCGAGAATGCTAAAAATCGAACGGTCAAAAATACAAAAGTACTTTCTTTAATTTTTTGATATCAGTTTTATATGCTGCGAAAACTGATGTGCGGTCCGTTGATTGATTCTGCTGCTGGTTCCGAAAGAACCGACAGCACATCGTAGCTCGTTACTGAACTAACAAAACATCCCTGCCACGATAGATAATATCAGCTTTGTCGAGTATGCAGAGCTTTTTATGTTTTCGATAACTAAAGTTATTGTCTGCCTTCGCCAGTACCTATCTTCCGTACTGTCATTATTACCACTGCCCGCTTTACCATTTACGATTGCCAAGACGTCAACGATAATAATACCTCAGTAACCATGAAGAAGAAAATGGATACTCCTATGATTATGCCGTACTCGAGAGCTTTTGTTAGTGTCTCTCGATTAGCGAAAAAAAGGAATGACAAGTCTACTCTGTTGGTTTACATTTATAAGCTGCTAAGCAGCGGATAACTTAAACATTATCACTACCACTACTGCGGGTTGACAACAGCGGCAGACTTCCCGAATATGATTTTCCAAGCACAATTAATGAGAGAAAGGATCATCAAGCCAGCGGTTTTTGCATGTTAGGTACGCACGTTTTGTGATGTTTCTTTACTATGAACAGATCATTTTTGCATATGCTACTGCTTTGTTGAGTTTGGTTCCCGAACGAAAAACTGTCTGTCTGAGCTTCTTTGACCTCCATTTTTGAAAAATCAATGATCCGACATAAAGTCTTGCCGCAGTCACTAGAGCTAAAAGCCGTTTTCCGTTTTTTTGGTGTGTTTTTTAACAAGAGAAGAAATTGTTCTACTGAATCCATCTCTTAAAGCATTTGGGAAAATCACACACACTCATTTTTTTCCCGCCATAAAAGCCATCTCTGCTGCTACGTATATCTTTATTTTATTGCTAGCCTTTTTTTTTGTTTCCATAACTCCAACAGCAAACAAAAGAAAAACTATAACGACGCAATGCCACCAAAACAGCAAAAGACAAAGGGTGACAAAAAGAAGGCTCAAAAGGCCGCCGATGATAAAACCTTTGGCATGAAGAACAAGAACAAATCAGCAAAGGTTCAACGTTATGTTCAACAAGTAACGCACCAAGCTCAACACAATGCTTCCCAAACTGTAAATATCTCAAAGAGACGCAGCAATATTTTTTTCTTATAACCAGTGAGGGCGGGTATATGCATGTGTGGGCTGGGGAATAGTGCAAAGGAGTGTGCCTGTTGGTGAATGGATATATGCCCCGAAGATGTATATCATTACTTACTAAATCACTTAATGAATAGGACAAAGAAAAGGCCAAGGCAAAAGCCAAGGAAGAACTCGCTGCAAAGAAGGCTGCCGAAGCGAAGCGAAAATTGGAATTGGAGGAGCTGTTCAAACCAGTGCAAGTACCACAGAAGGTACCTTTTGGCACTGATCCAAAGTCTGTGATCTGTCAGTATTTCAAGGCTGGTCACTGTGAGCGAGGAGCCAAGTGTAAATTCTCTCACGATCTGAACATTGAGCGCAAGTCGCAAAAGAAGGATGTGTATACGGATGCTCGAGAGGACAAAACAAACGGTGAGTGTCTATCTCTCTTTAGTGCTCACAATAACAATGACGGGATAATGTGTTTCTTTATGTATGTGTGCATCTACCTGCTGTAATATATATTCAGGTACATACATACATAAGCACCCGTATCCAGGAAAAAAGCTATATGTGTCGCTCTATAACTAACGTAACACGACATTATAGACACAATGGAGAGTTGGGATCAAAAGAAGCTGGAAGAAGTGGTCCAGAGCAAAGCAGGCAAGCAGCCACCTACCGATATTGTGTGCAAGTACTTTTTGGAAGCGATCGAGTCCAACAAGTATGGTTGGTTCTGGGAATGTCCAAATGGCGGTGTGAACTGTAAATACCGCCATGCTCTGCCACCTGGTTTCGTATTGAAGTCGAAGAAGGCCAAGACAGACGACAAACAGGAGATTTCGCTGGAAGAATTTTTAGACACAGAGGTAAAAAGAAAAGCATTATACATTCTTGGGTCTCTTTAGCTAGCTTTTTTTTACTAATCCGATATATATTTATAGCGTCATAAACTTGGACCAAATCTGACGCCGGTTACTCTTGAGTCTTTCAACCAATGGAAGAAGAACCGTGTGGCAAAGAAGGATGCTGCAGAAGCAGCAGACCGCAAGGCAAAGGAGAACCGTGTGAAGGCTGGCCGATCTCAAGGCATGTCTGGTAGAGATCTGTTTGACTTTAACCCTGACTTGGCTCTTGATGAAGACGAGGATGATGATGCGTTGGATCTGTCCATGTACGAGCGCAAAGATTCTGATGACGAAGAAGAAAGCATTGCACCTAGCGCCTCCTCTGATATCAACAATGGTGTCGCTAACATTTCTCTAAATAACGCCGCCACCAAAGCTTAAAGATGATAACCTAATTTTAATAAAATACGTTTGCCATTTATCTTGAAACACACAAAGAAAGCTAGGAGTGGGAAACGAAACTGCGCCAAAATTTATTGTCTTTTTTAAAATCCTCTTTCTCTCTTTCCCCTCCAACTATCTATACAAGCACCTACAATGTCATCTTCCGAAGAGGAATACGAGGTGGAACGCATTGTGAAGCACCGTAATGTGACCGGGAAAGTTAGTTTCACCAACAGTGATGTTTTTATTTTATTTTCGACGATAAAGTCGCGTACAAACACGTCTCGAAATAAAAGGAGTGAATTCAAGTTGAAAACGTCTAACTCTTTTTCTTTGGAATGATTTATAGCTACAATACTTGATTAAGTGGAAAGATTACAACGATGAAGATAATACTTGGGAATCCGAAACCAACGTGTAAGGCTTATTTCACCTTGTAAAACTTATAGAGCGATCGACTGTGGAATGAATTTATGCAAGCTAAATGGTAGCACCGATTCCAATATACTCATAAATTGTATAGATTCGCGTCAAACTTGGTTGACGCATATTGGGACAACCATGGTGGAAGCGAAGCTTTGGAAGCTGCACGCAATAGCAAAAAGTTAAACAAGTTGAAACCTGCAAAGAAGGACACCAAGAAAAATAGTAACACGGCGGCCACTGGTAGCAGCAGCAGCAGCAGCAAATCGCATGTCAAAGAAATAAACAAAAAGCAGCAACCAGCATCCGTGGCGTCAAATTCATCATCACCCGCATCATCATCAAAATCATTATCTTCGGTACCAACCAAACGCGACAGAAATCTCGAGACTTATATGGAATTTAGCGATAACGACTCGTCCAAACGTGCACGCTTGCCAAGTGAAACCGACAAAGGTAAGGTCTTGACATTTAATAGTTGTACTGTGAAACTTGCAGCAATGGGAAACCCGAAATTAAAGTTGTTTTTAGCGCCTTCACTAACGTCATTGGCTACAACAACAACACCAGCAGCAAAAGATACCCAAAAGCAATCGACATCACCAGCATCTTCTCTAACTTCATCGCAATCATTGCAACCATCATCATCATCAGCTGCAACAGCAACAGCAGAAAAAGTGACCAAAGTGTTGGTGCCTATAACCGATGCAATGGAAGAGGATGAAGTGCTGAAAGAAACCGAAATTGCAACAGAAAGCACGACGATCATGGGAAAGGATACACCCGCTGCTGAGGTCGACGCAACGGCATCTTCATCAGTACTGTCTCAGCTGGATGCGACAATCAATGCCACGGATGCCATTGCAGACGAGATCAGTTCCACACAGGTTGAAGTCGACACAACAGAACAGCAACAAAATAAGGTTGTCGCTGCTGTTTCTGCCCCATCGCCATCATCATCTTCTTCGTCATTGCCGCTATCGAAGGACAACGACAAACTAGCAGTAACTGACGGAGCAAATGATGGCACTCGGACATCAACCAGCTCTCTACCTGCTCCTACTGCTATCCTTGGCGATACCATCACTGATGCCTCAACGGACATCGGGATGGGAGAAGCAGCAGCAGCAGCAGCTACTACAGAAGGACGGCTATCAGCAAGAAAAGACACACCAATCAGCGCCACAATTGTTGATTCTGATCCCACAACAAAGCGGAACTCGTCAATTAGTGACATCGCAAATGATCTCGATACTGCTGTTGCTACTACTATTACTACCGAAGCTACAAAAGGACAAAAACGAACGTCTGTCGCTGAAAAAGAAAATGCAGGCATCACTCAAGATGACGAAGATCTTTTCATGGACGATGTAATGGATAAACCTGCTGCATCACCGACGACATTGGCAGATGCGACGTTGCTATTGGATATGTTGGATGACGAAAACGAAGAGCAGTCATCTGATATAAGTCCCGCGTATGACAATGGGAACAGTAGCACAACAACTGCAGGATTGAGCACCACATCATTAGCAGCAGCAGCAGCAGCAAATAAGGAGAACAAGGGCCGTTCTATGACTGAGGATAAGATACCACCTCGTGTTTTGGAAAAGGACACAGACATGCTCAGAGGTGGTGATGATAAGCTTTTGAGCCATATCTCACCTTACGACAGCAACGTGAAAGGGCTTACTGAACTCAACACAGACGAGGTGATCTATGATGCCAATTTCCCTGCGAGCCCAGAGGATTGGGTGAATGTGAAAGAAGTGGCTACGGTTACACGAGTCCCAGATGATGATGGCTTGGATGGCGACTTATATGTTGTAGTTCGATGGTATGTTTAAATGATTCTGTGCGCTTTTCTGAACATATAAAGTGTATTGGTGTTTTTTTACTGATGATGTATGGGAATAGGGCCAATGATGTCTTGTCGTTGCATCCAAATGAAAATGCTCGGAAACATTGTCCAAGTCAGGTAAATATTATTTATGCTAACATGATCTACTGCTACAAGACAAAATGAACTTTACTCAATTCTAATATCTACATGTTGCTATATGTGTAATAGCTGATTGATTTTTACGAAAAGTCATTGAAGTTTGTGGTGTAGTAGGATAATCCACTCGAAATTGTACATGTCGAAAAAGAAAGGTGTCTTTTAAGAAGTGAATAAAACACCGAAACATTATATATACTGTATTTGTAGTAAACATGTGATCAAATCTAGGGGTGCACGTCAAAGTCGACTTTTGTGTAATCATAGAGCATGTACGCACGGAACCATAACGTGAGATTGGTCAACACATCGAAGATATCCTTCATGTACATGATAGCTAAGTTATGGCGGAAAGCTATATTGACATCTAGTGTGCTTGCAGCAGACGATAATGAACACAGCGCTTATGTATTACTGTTTTGTAGCAGGAAGAGGATATACAGTAGTTTTGAGTGTAAGTCGCTGCATACAGCGCTCGAGTCTGAAATGATGTGGATGGTATGGCAGCACGTCGCAGTACTCTGTTGGATAAATGTGTATTATATAAACCCCAATAGCCGTTACCCCGCGAACAAGCACTAAACCCCGAAAGTATTGTCACTTTGTCAGCGCATACGTGAATTTCCTTTTTAAATTGAAGGGATTACCAAATCTTCGTTTCACCCTTTTTCCTTTTATTAATATTCAGAGTTGAAATGGATTTGAAGAACCTATTCAACGTGAATGGCAAGGTAAACATACAAGGGCATTATACGCACTCATATCATTGACAAAAAAGACAAAAAGTGCCCGGTTTTAATCGTTGCTGTTGTATGGTTTGGTTACTGTATGTGACACCTAGGTCGTCCTAGTGACAGGTGGCTCTCGTGGTATTGGCGAAATGATTGCAACGGTTAGTTTTTCTTGTTGAATAAGGATGAACGGAATCTTAGGAAGGGCTATAAGCTAATGGGGGTAGGACGAATTGTATTAGGGCTTTGTCAGCGGTGGTGCCAAAGTGTACATTACCAGCCGATCGGCCGACGCTTGTGACAAGGTATATTGTTTCGCAATGCATAAAACGTACCCTCCATTTGCACGGCCCTAACTTGAATGTATAGGTCGCTAAAGAACTGAATGCACGTGGTCCCGGTCAATGTGTTCCCATTCCAGCCGACTTGCAGAGCGTTGACGAAATCAAGCGTTTGGTAGCCGAGATCAGCAAGCAGGACTCCCACTTGGATGTGCTTGTCAACAATGCCGGTGCCAACTGGAACGGCAGTTTCCATGACTACCCTGACGAAGCCTTTGACAAGGTTATCAGCTTGAACTTGAAGCGTATCTTTACCTTGTCGCAAGCGTAAGTCTACTATGGGTTTATAGATACAGAATATTACACAATGCGAATGCAAATGTTATATGCAGACGGACACAATTATAATGGGGAGCTTACATATCTCACAATACTAGCTGCTTGCCCTTGTTGTCAGCCAAGGCGTCTAACGCAAACCCCTCCTCGGTCATCAACATTGGCTCGATCGATGGTATCCGTGTTCCCCCTCAGGACACCTATGCCTACTCTGCCTCCAAGGCCGGCTTGCATCATTTAACCCGCCATATGGCCGGCAAGTTGGGTGGCGACGGTATTCTGGTTAATGCTATTGCCCCCGGTGCTTTCCAGTCCAAGATGATGAAGGCCACTTTGGATGCTTTTGGAGATATCATCAAGTCTAAGATCCCCGTCCGTCGCATTGGTTCGCCTGAGGATATTGCTGGCACATGTATCTACTTGGCTTCTCGTGCTGGTCAATATACCAATGGTGCTGTCATCACTGTTGACGGTGGTGCTGCTGTCTCCGCCAACCTTTAAATCGGCTGCAACCTTGTTTTTGTAATTGTATAATCCAACTACCGTTTTTTCTTTTGATTACCCTCATTTTGCCTCCTCCAATCATCACTGGAAGAATAAAATAAAATAAAAAAGACATATTTTATGTATCGTGAAAATATCTCTATTCATAATTATGAACCAAAAACCTATAATTTTTGCAGCTACTACAATATAAAACAGAGCAGTTGTGTGTACCCATCAGTTGCGCTGTTGGTATATGTCGTCATTCGTTATGATCCTTTAAGTTAAAGCGGAAATGCTTTGACGTTGACCCGCCTGTGCAGGTTGTGCCGACATTGTTCCTTGTTTGTTTTGCGGGACGCGAGGTACACCACTACGGCTACTGATCTGTCGACTGAGTCGACGCGTCTGTTCCTTGGACAAGCGCGGTCGTTCAAGGTTGGCCAGAGAGCGCAAGCGGCCAGCATAGTAGCGGGAAGAGGTCGTTGTCGATACCATTGAAGAACGACGCGAGGGTGGACGACCTGGTTCTGCAGGACCGGCTTTTCTTCGGTCAAAGACACGCTGCATACCAAACTTGATCAGATCCAAAGGAGCGAACCAGATAAAGTTCCATACCCAAGCAGCACCGGCCCACTGCCATCCGCAGCCTTGAATGTTAGTGAATCCCCAGTTGGCATACACGGCAATGAACGTCGCCACCAATTGAGCTACGATAAACGCACACATCAAAATTACGGACGGCCGTTCCATAAAGAACCAGCTGTGAGATCGTGTAATAAAAATCAATGCTTGCGATATTGTTGAGACTTGGAGATAAATAACCGAGTGAAGGATTGGATGATTCGGATCGGTGAATGTCTGCAGGCCAAACTTGCGGTTAAAGAAGGTAGTCTTGTAGATGACAGCGAAAAAGGAAATCGTAGATGCAGCGAGATACAGGCCATAAACGATGGCATACGAAAAAATTTCAAAGAGGTTCCACTGGTCTGGATGTGGTGATGGTCTGACCCGGTCCTTGGAGATCGTCATGATCGTGCCGTCGTTCAAAATAGCCAATATCAGAACCATGAATGGCGGAAAGTCGAATTGGAAGGCAAACACCATGATGGCAAAGCCTACAACGATACGAATAGTTACCGAACAGGTGTACATGGAGTAATTTCGTGCACGCTGGAAAATCTGACGCGAGTTGATCAAGGCTTCAATGATGACGGATAGACCCGGCTCAGTCAAGACGATATCAGCAGCCGAACGAGCAGCATCAGAGGCATCGGCGACGGCAACACCCACGTTGGCTTTGGAAAGAGCAGGAGCATCGTTGACACCATCACCCGTCATGGCCACCATGTGGCCCATGCCTTGCAATCGCTCGACAATCTCGTACTTGTGTTCTGGATACACGCCTGCGAAGCCATCAGCACCCATTACCAGCTCATCGACACCGGAATAACCGCTGCCAGGTGGCGGACCATCCTTGAGCGTAGTTGAGAGAAACATGTTGTCACCCATACCAAGTCGACGACCGGTTTCTTTGGCAATAGCAAGCTGATCACCCGTAATCATTTTAACTTGAACACCCAATTCAATAGCGCGGTCAATGGTTTCCTTAGTGTCGGATCGGGGCGGGTCATAAATAGGAAGTAAACCAATAAGCTGGAAGCCAAGGCCTTCGTCTTCAACTCGACCGGATGGCACTTCGTCTATAGCGACAGCAAGGGCTCGAAGACCACGTCTGGCGAACTCGTCTACGTCGTCGTTTAATGCCTTGATTTGCTCCTCTGTTTTGCCGCGCGTGCACAAGTCCAGAATAAAATGTGACATGCCCTTGGTGGCGCGATATACTTTGCCATCATCTTCGCGTTTATATGTGATCTCTGTGCGCTTGATGACTGGATTGAACGGCTTGAATTCGAGTTCATCGATGCCCTGGCGCGCGGCTTTGGGATCCTTGAGAGCATTGACGATACACAGGTCAATGGCGTCTTGATTTTCCATGCGCGAGGCATAGGCGGCAATACGCATCACGTCATCGATACTGTACTCATCTGAATAGGTTCGCAGGGTCGGCTGGTCGACAATCAGTTTGTTGAGCGTCAATGTGCCAGTCTTGTCGGAACAGAGGATAGTGACAGCTGCCATTTCTTCAATAGCAGTGATACGCGTGACGATAGCCTTGTGTTCAGCCAATTGCTTGGCACCAATGGCGAGGGTGACAGATAAGACAGTGGGCATGGCAATAGGGATACCGCCAATGAGCAACACCAAAAGATTGTCGATGCCTCGTCTGTATCTGTATCTAAACGCGGCGTACATGACCAAAATTTCGACTACCAAGAAAATACCAATGCTGCACAAACAGAAATTACCAATCTTGGCAAGGATCTGCTGCAAATGGCCCATGCCTTCGCCAGCTTCGCCTACAAGTCGTGCAGCGCGACCGAAAAATGTGTTTGAGCCGGTGCCAATGACAACCGCCTCTGCTTCACCTTGTTTCATGGTAGACCCGGAGAAGACTTCGTCGCCGGCGTCTTTTGTAACAGGCAATGATTCACCCGTCAATGCAGCTTGGTCAATCGATACTTCACCATGTGCACGGACCAGTCGACCGTCGGCAGGAATGACATCACCCAGTTTGATTGAGATGATGTCGCCAGGGACTAGTTCTGATGCCTCGATCGTTTTCCATTCACCATCGCGTTTCACTTTGGATTCTGGAGCCAAGGAATCCATCAAGGCCTTTACAGCATTGCCGGCTTGTCGTTCTTCCAGAAATCCAATGATTGAGTTGGCGAGCAGTAGCACAATGATACCGACGAAATCGGGCCAGTCCGGAGGCCGGCCTTCACCGTTGGACAAAGCAATGGCAACGATAGCGGCAGCTTCCATGACCCATGAAAGCGGATTCCACATGAATCCCAAGAATTGAAGGATGGGGTTCTGCTCCTTGTGTTGGATACTATTAGGACCGAAATGCTGTATGCGTGCTTCAGCTTCTGTCGTAGTCAATCCATCTGTGTTTGTCCTAAATGGCAGATACCCGTAGGTTAGGACATATCTCACTGTGCTTTGTTGATTGCAAACATTAATGCAAAGAGCGAGCTGTAACTTACTCTAAAAGACGAAAGATCTGCGTTGCTTCCATTGTGGATAAGTCATAGTGCTCGTGATTGTAAAGCTCATCGATAGGGATATCCTTCAGCGGTGCAAAGTTGCCGTTAGCACCGTTTACTGCACCTCCACCGCCTGCCAACTTCTCATTGAGCGACTGCTTCGCATTGTTATCTGAACCACCATTGGGCTGATTGTTGGCGGATCCTAACGTAGGCGTGTTCGTTTCAGTCGATTCGCGCGGATGTTGGTCGCTACTATCGTATACTGGTCGTGTGTTTTCTTTCTCGGGATCGCCCGACATGTGGACTTTCTATTGTTCTTTAGGATCGAGCGAAAAACTATTGAAGAAAAGAGATTAAAGGAAAATTAAAAAACAAACATGGGACATGGGGCGCCTATTGTAGCAGCAACAAGAATATTCACCGAGCAGTGTATGCTATTCGCTTTTTTGTTTCAGTGTTGATCCAGATCACCGGAACAATTCGCACCAGGCTGATATTGGCAGAGCCGGAGCCTGCATCAAGCATGACATAATTCGGATCCAAAAGCAGGCAGAAATCAAGTCTTTTGAAGTGCTGGTACAATGATCTAATACTGCGGTAACTATTTTTTTTTGTATAGACGCACCTTTTTTTTTTGATAAAATGGTGGGTTATTCGACAGGTCTAGTCTTGCACAAAGCTGGATAGTTGTATTTGGCCAACAGCAGAAGGAGACGACGGTGGTTGCAAAAGAAATTGGGTAAACAAACGCTGCTGCTGGGCGCAACAGTTGTTGTTGTTGTTGTACACACATTGCTTCAGAGTGTGAGCCCTGTTTGTTTGTTTCAATGCTCATTGGCGGAAACAGGTTTTTTTTGTAAATGGTGTTGTGCCTATGATTGGTATATGCGCCAGATGATTTGCCTAGACCCCATTGTTGTATGCATTGTACTACCCTGTCCACAGTAAAAAAAAAGACCTTTTGCCCTCTGTTACTGTCAAACACCCTTTCCCTCTTCTCTTTTCTCTCTGCAACAAAACTTTTTTTTACTCGCTGTAAAACACTATGGAGAACACCGACCCTTTTACCCACATAATGGAAGACCACAGTTACTGCTGTTCTAGTGTGCAGGACCTTCTATCACACCCACACCCTCCCACAGCAGCTATGATGCCCGGCCCTACGAAGCTATCGTCTCCACAAATAGCTAATATAGAGATGCCACCACCACCGCCGTCATCTACTATGGCTCCTCCCATGGTTGACGACGTGCCAGTTGCTACTGTCCCCTCTATGAACCATATATTTTATCCTCCACCCCCGCCTCCTCCTGAACCACCAATGCCGCTAGTACCACAGCACCCACAGCATCTGCACCAGCGTCCCGAGCATGTTGTTCACCCGACACCTACCGGCAGCACAATAGCGACAGTAACAACAGAGTCGCCGACGTCATCGTCAAGTCAGCAGCAGGAACCATTTGAAGAGAGGCTTCCAGGGGGTAGGAAACAGCAAGGTAGCCTTACAACATATACCACGCATCATACACACTTCTTTTAACGCCAGTTGACCTCATATGATAACATACTAGAAACATCGTCAGTGTCACTTCCTTCTCACAACATGCGCTGGACGGATGAAGAAGACGAACTTTTGCGCATAGGACTTGTAAGCAGGGTGCTGTTGTTGCGATAAACCTCTCGCTTGACTTTTAAAAACACGTTTAATTTATAGTTAAAGTTCGGGTATGGGAAATGGAAAGCTATTTCTGAGCTTGTCAAAACGCGAAACTCGCTCCAATGTAAAAACCATGCGCGTCACTGGCTTTTGACCGACAAGGTAAAGAGTTGCACCTGACTACTTTACGATGGATGCTGGCTAACAACCTTTTTTTCCTCCTTTCCTTTCTTTTCCCTTTACTGAAAGATGGATGAAAATGTACAAAATCAACCAACAATAACAAAACCCGGCACTGTTGAAGACGAGACTCCCGCGAAAGATGAACAGCAAGGAGAGCAAAAACAAGCAGTAGCAAGAAGCGTCAAATCTCCCTCAGACACAGCAATGATGATGACGGAATCCAGTCAACCACCTTCCCCTCAGCCTGCGTCTTTCTTCAATCCTCATCCAACACCAGCCGATCAACAGCACTTTGCTACAGTCACTGACAACGATGTTGCCTCTGTTGTGCCGGCAGACACTGCTACTACTGCCCCAACAGCTACAACCGAAGATGATGTACGTTGAGGTTCTCTTTTCATTTATAGCACGTACTTCCGCTTCCTTCACCCTAGTTGCACTTAAAGCGTATAATGCTAATATGATACGTATATAGTGCAAACACTTTGACAGAGACGTTATCACAGACGATGAAAAAAAACACAACCCTGAATGGTTTTGTGACTCGAAATCGATCGCCAAATCGCCTGAACGTTACATGAAAATCCGCAATCATATTCTGGACACTTGGCACAATGTCTACAAGCCAGAATATATGACGAAAACCGCTGCACGCCGAGGATTGAAAGACTGTGGTGATGTCAACGCTGTTGGGCGCGTACACGCATATTTGGAACAAGCCAAAGCAATCAATGTTGGCTGTCCACCTGCTAAACCACGAGCACCTGCAACGAGACGCGCACCATCAACATCATCATCGCGGCGCAGCTACTTTTACTACCAAGAAAGCGACGACGATGAAAATGTTGAAACGTAAGAGAATTTTGTATTGTTTGTTTATTTTGCGTGCGTGCGTTTCTGTGTGTGTCTATGTGCCGTGCTATGTGTTGTCATGAATATACTTCTTTTTTTTTCCGCTGCAAGATAATGACATATCTCTTAATATACTTCGTTTGTTATGTGCATAGTACCCAGAAGCGTAAATCAAGGTTAGTAGGTTCGGTCCCTTTCCTTTGCAAAAGAAGAAATTGCTTAGATATGTTGCCAAACACTTTCTTCCACTGCATACTTTTCTAGACCCGACGATGACTATGATGGACATAGTAGTAAAGGTGGCAACCGCAAAAACAGACCGCGTCCGAAACGAGTTACCAAGAAACCACAGCATTACTATGACGAAGACACGCGCGATCCTGATGACCCATTCTGCCTAGTGCCTGTGGAGGATTATGTTGACGTGGAGCCACCGTTCCATGTTGATATTGCTAGCAATGCATTGGTATTAGCTGCTCTTGTGTAGTAAATCCATTTTCATTATGACTAGTACTCATCTTCTTTCTTCTTTCTCCCATCCCCTCTCTGATAACCACGCAGTTTGTGATGGACTTCCATTCACACTTGTCCTATACTGAAATTATTGGCTTGCTCGGAGGTCGCTATGTGCATGACGAACGGAAACTTTACGTGGATTGCGTCTTTCCTTGTCGAGGAACCAGTAGCACGGATATTGAGGTAATGTCTATTTTCTAGAGAGAAGTTTTCCAGATTTATCTCATTATACGATGTACTCATATCTTTTACTGCTATATCTTCGATCATGCTATGATTTAGTGCGAAATGGATCCAGAATCAGAAATGAAAGCACGAGAAATGTTTGCACAAAAAGGTCTCTCTGTCGTCGGGTGGTACCATTCCCATCCAACCTTTGAACCCAATCCAAGCGTCCGCGATATCGAATACCAACGACTCTATCAAGTAATACATGAACGATGGCATATTTTTTGAAGGATAAGAAGTGAGAGAGAGAGAAACATGACATGACTTGTTTGTTAACATTGTTTTTAGACACTTTTCCGAGATGAAACAACAGGCATTGAGCCATTCATTGGTATCATTGTAAACCCTTCATTTACTTTTGACGGTGGTGACATTTCGCGAATACAATATGTTCATATTGATCAAAACCAAAAGAACCAACGTAAGTATTCCCTTTTTTATTGTCGACCCATAAATCGAGCTTTACTTACTATACTCTGATTTTTCTCAAATGATACTAATGACACATGGTCCAATAACAACAAGCAGCTATTCCATTCGCTTGTTCATATACCATTCTTTCAAGTGACATCTTGCCTGGAGAAATCGTTGAGCAAATGACCAATCTGGTACTCCAATTCAAAACTGGCTCCAAAACGTAGGTCTATCATAATAGTAATATCCATTCTTCTAACTTGGCATTTTTATATATATTTATCATACTGATTCACCGATGTTTATATTTTTGTTATATCGTTTTTTAAAAGTGATTCAGATTTCGATGCGCGGATGGATAAGGTTATTGCCTCATCACGAGCGAACCTTCCACTTGTCACTGAACATATGCTGAACTTGATCCACAACTTGCGTGCTTTGATGCACGAAAACAATACAGCAGCCGCTGATGGCCCTTCTTCGTCTGGTACAGTTAGCGTGATGTAGCCGAAAAAGAAAATAACAACAACACGTACATGGATCCTGTAAAAAAGTTAATGATAGCGGTACATATTGAATATATGAGGAAAAAAGATTTCTTTGTTGGTTATTTTTTGCTGCCCATATGCTGTGGTGCTTGATGTCCTCTATATATATATATATGTGGAGGTGAGACTATGTATCAATACCGAATCGAGGGTTTAAGACTTCGTTATTGAATGGACGACAGGATATTGTTGCTGTTGTATTTTACGGGATTACTCGATATATTTCCTTTTTCCATGCTCCCCTTGAGATATGTACATTTGCCAGTAATGGATGCTTGAGACGATCGTAAATTATCTAGAACATCCAAAAAAGAAAGTAGCTCGCTGATCATATGATATTCTCTCATTGGTACTACTGCTGCAGAGCATGCAGTCATCATCTACTTCTTTTTAAGGTTTTTGCCACCTCCTTTTTAGGCGTGATTTACTGGACTTTAAGAAATGCCTTCAGGGTTTGGTCTGTCTGTCTGTCCTTAGCGCCACGTCCTGTGTATGTTCGTTCATTATTATCTTTTTACTGGCTTTCAGAGATCATTGTACATACATTGTTTCAACTTTTATGCTGTATGCGACGAGAGCAACATGACAGTATGATATGATGTGTGCTCTGACAGATTGTCGTAGGTAATCAGGGATATGCTTACCAAGAGAATTTCTGGTTGGCGCATCAGACATTCAGAGTATAAGACGCCTTCCGAGCACATACGGTTGTGATTTCTTCAGAGTACTTGAATATTTGCGAGTTAAGAATCGGTTGCTTTATATGTTTCTTTAACCACCTTTATATTAAATGTCTGGTGATTAGCCAACATCGTACAATCGTTTTAATATACCTGCCTGGATGGCCAGGTGTAACATACCTTTACTATTCGTGCGTGTCTACATCAACGCCATTTATCATTGCCGAACAATGCTTCAGCTATTTTTTGTGATGCTCTTATATTACATTGGTACAGATATTCCCAAGGTAGCGAATGACCAAATACTTTTTTTACTTACATGTTTAAACTTGGGTATATTCCTGTTGCCCACAAAGAGCCTTCTATACGAGCTCGGATATGAAAACTATTCGAAATCATTACTGATTGCGCAATCGCCCGAGGAATCAATCAATATGTCGCAATTACGACGCGTAACGATGATTTTCTTTGACCTTTTCGCGTTAGTAAAACTCGTATACGTGTCAGTAAGATATATCAGAAGTATAAACATTAGCACATTGATTGGTAACCATGACTCTAAAAAGTGGACTAACATAGCACTATAATGCTTATACCTTGCTCGTTTGGATCAATGTTAATAAGTATGATACTAATCCCATGATGGGTGCTCAAAGAGACAAGCTAAATGAAAACGATCAATTGACTCCCAAAATAAACTGGACCTGTTAGACGGGTAACTAAGGAGGACACTTTGTACGTATATCAGTACCTTGGGCAGGTTGGGGGACGCTATAATTGATGCAATATTGATGGTTATAGTAGTATTTATAATGCATGCGTATTATATACCAATTTTACTTGCCCGCCACTCTAAATAGTAAATGAACTAGCCAAGTTTCGCTCTTCTTTTTTCTTCTTTTTCCGACTAGAAGCCCGAGTAATTAGCAGCAGTAGCTTTCTTTTCTCGGTGGAACCGATATAGACGGATGATAAAATGTTAATTATAAAGTAGCATAGAGTATATATATAAAGTAAGTCGTAATGACAAGTAATCAACGGAGCGCGAAATAGAATTGTAAGCTTATAGAGGAGAGGATGTTGATTGTCAAACAGCTTCTACTACTTTCTAGGTGTCACCAGCAATAGTCAATTAGCAAACCTGACCAACCAGTCAATCCACATATTTCCCATACGATATATGTAATACCAACTACCACGCGACGCACACACACACACAAAGAACTGAGTAAGAATTTCTCTTTCTGCGAGAAAAAAAGTTCCATTTTATTCTGTAATCAAAAAAGAAAATGCGTAAGAAAATGGTACTATGTCCAACTTAAATTAGGGGCGAGGGGAGGGAAGAGGGGATAGTGTGGAAAAGGGAGTCAGAGAAAAAACAATAGCAAAATGCTTCAATCTTACTTTTCCTTTCTCTCAGATTTTAGAGAGAAAGAAGAATATCTTGGGAGAAGAAAAAGAAAAGGGGGATCTATAAAAACAAGAAAAGAAAATAAAATAAAAGTACTTGTTGGGGTGGAGGGCGTTGAATGTTTGAGCTTGCTTAGATGATAGTAAAATAGTGGTTATCATCGGCGGGAAAAAAACTGTGACAAGGTGCTTGAGTGTGTGTGATATGGGTTGTTTTTGCTATATAAAAAAGTTGAGAGAGGGGGGCATGAGAGATGGATATAGAGTAAAAATAGAAAAGTGCTTGTGGAATTGTGTGGGTGTGTTATGGTGTGATAGGTTTCTTCCAATATTTGAAAAGAAGATAGCGGAAAAAATGCAAGGTTATGGTGGGGAAAAGGGTTTACAATGTGAGGGTGGAAATAACAAAAAAGTGTTTTTGTGCATGATATATAATTTACATATTGCCCATGGAGGAGTACATGTTCATGTTCTCCAAGGCCTGCTTTTGCAACACGCTTTCTTGAAACTTGCGCAGTTGCTCATTCTCGTGCACTAATCGCTCAAGCTCGGCCAAGATGGTCATCTGCGTGCTCTTGAGATGCTGGATGTGTTGGACAGCTAGCAAAAAAAAAAGAGAGCCGGTCATGATTGTGTATGGTAAGCATGATGAAAAGTGGTAACAAATAGATCGATTATGCCCTTCTTTAAGAGAGAAATCCCCTTGTTTAAAAATGGAAAATGACTTACTGCGATGCAATAACGCTACTTTGCTCATCTTCTTGTTGAGACAAGCAGGAAGTTCGTTTCGCAAATCCTCAAAGCCGTCTTTGATTTGGGCACGGCGTTTCTGTTCAGATTGGATGTGAATCTGTCGTCGCATCTCGGCAGTTGACATGTTGCCCTGACTATACATTATGTTTCTAATTTGTTAGCATGGGAAAAAAATCCCCTCCTCAAGTAAGTTGAGAAACGTGGAAAATAAAGTACATACGCAGCTGCCTCGTCATCAATAACAGCTTGTTGATGCTGTTCATGTTGATCTACTGCGTGCTCAAGCTGCTGCTGTGAGTCTTCATCGGACCGAGGCGACTCGGAACCATCTCCTTCTTCCATACAGCGTCGCTTTTTACGATTCTGCACGGAACATTGGGGCTGCTCGAACGACTCTTTTGAGTACTGCAAGAACTCGGGATAAAATGATTCCGGAAGCGATGCCGCTTTGGCAATGGTCTGATTCAAGTACGCCGAGGACGATGATGAAGAGGCAGTCGTCGACGACGAAGACGAAGCCACCAGCATGGGGGGTTCGGCAGGCTTGTGCGATAAGGCGGATGACGACGGTTGCATCGATGACGGCGGGGTCGATGGTGACATGCCGGACATGAACGAGTCTGGACTTCCCATCACCGCTTGATCGTAGTACATTGGTCCCGCTGCACCAGTATGGGCAGTGGCAATAGACTGGGGCGACGAAGTAGCGGTTGTCGTCGTCATTGGATGCATGTAAAACGAAGGAGAGCCTTTACATACAGAAATAGATATATAATAGGTTGCCATGGTTACTACATCGATCTGGGGTATCATCATAGCAACGCTCCTCCCGGTTCAACATAGTAACCTATATTTCTTTCTTTTTCTTTACCTGGATGATACATGATGGGCTGATCCGTCGTCATTTTATGATAGTGTTGATGGTAGTCGCTCATATACTCGGAATTCAAGACAAGGTTGTTCATCTTTATACGATCAAAAGGGGGAAAGATGTTCTAAAGGAGGTGGAGACGAAACGATGAAGATGTGTTTGTGTATAAAGATGTTTTGCGAAAAGGTTTCAATGTATTCGAAAGTGAAGGGAAAAGAGTGGGTTTGCTGCTGCTCTGTTGTTTGTTGGAGGAGAGAGGAAGAGAAGGAAGACAGAGGCGGGAAGGTAAGAGAAGAAGGGTTCGCCGATGCGGTTTTCGGTTTGGGGAGAGTGTGAGTGTGTAAAAAGGTAAGGATAAAGGAAAGAGAATGAAGTGAAAAGGATTTCCTGATGATGCTTACTGTTATGTGTGCTGTGGGTGTGATGTGAAGTGATGTGATGTGTGTGTGAGTGGGTGTTGGACGGGCAAAAAAAAAATGTGCTACGGCGAGTGCTACGCTCTCTGTAGTGCAGTGCAGCTATTTATTTTAACTAACGCAGATGTGTACGTTACTAGCAAGCAAGGAAAGGGAAAAAAGTGCTTCACTTTTAAAGGGACGGTCTGTATTTTCTCATGCACCGACATTCGTCAGTGAGGTTCTACAAGTGCAACGGTTGGGTTCCGACCCTTCAAGTCCGCCCCGGAACCTGGTTCCATGACATTTCATAGACTATGGATAGTAGGTCTCTCTGCGAGATAGTGTCCTCTTTTGACCTCCCAAAAGAGAGTATGTGTTGTGTGCGTGTGTGCGCTACTTATGCCACCGAAACCGACATGGCTAATTATTTTACTATCCAATACGTTATGTGAGACTCTTATGAATAATGTTACAGTAAAGAGAAACTTGTTCCCCTCCGCCTATCTCGATATATACACTGTATCCCCCTTTTTACTCTCTTCGCTCGCCCTCTGCCGTTCTCTTTTTTGTAATCGGTCCGAGCCCCCAAAGTGTAACCATAACCAATTCTTCCGCGCCTGTACATAGCCAGAGAACTTTAAATTTTTTGTCTCGCTCTCTCTCTCTATTCCTTGGCCTTTTGGTAAGTTGTGTATGTGTAAGCAAGAGAGATTATTACTTAAATCATATCCACCCCCTTTTCCAGAAAAAGTTTTCCCCAGAAATAATTGTGAATTAAGGAGGGTTACTATGCCTGTGATGTGTAAGTTCCTTTTTGTTAAAGGTTCACAACTATCATCCCGCCCGCGCGCGTCGTCACTATATGATATGTAAAAGCATGAAAGAAGCAATCATCGAAAAAAAAGTCAGCAATGGGATCGTCAATTTGTTTACCCTTTGCTAATATCCAATATCAATGCTTATTTCTCTTCTCTTATTGTTTTTCCTCATGTTATGTCCGTTTTGTGCCTGTCGTCTTTCGCTCTTCTTAAATCGTCGCTTATCAGCGGAGCTTCTTCTGCTAAAGTTCCCTTTCTTCGGGTAGAGAAATGATAAGGAGAAGAGTTAGCCTAGGAGAAGCAGGGTAATAGCGGTAAGTACATGGATAGTAGCAGTGTATGATGGACAACTCTCCGTTTCCTGCGCTGGTGCCTTTTCTAGTATTCCATGAGAACATTTTGATGATGTGATAGTACATGAATGTCTGGCTCTTTCTTCCAGCTATTATGCAAAAAACTTCACACATCATACCTTGCTACTACACAAAAAAAGACAACAGATTTAAAAGTTGTCACGGAGCCCCGATCTAGCAAAGAGACAAAACAAGAGCTACTGTTATGCTGTAGTTGAACATCGACGTACCGGCTCCACAATTTCGGACGACGCAAGACGCTGAGATTACACTGTTGCTGTGTACCGTCTTTAATCCTTTTATGACACTTCTGGTAATTACGAGTAGACGGATAATAAGTTGCCACTAAAATAAACTACCGGCTCCTATGCCTATCGTCAGGGAATGGCACGTGTATTAGTCAGATACATATAATATAGGTGCGTAATATCGATCGTGAACACATGCGAGAACGAAGTGTATAATATCCATTGTTGCACCTTATATGTATGCTATATATGTACACGATATCAGTAAAAGTATATTTCTATCAAATTAGGTCGAGAAGACCTGCGTTCCCATGAAACAGCGTAGAATAGAAGACTACTAACAACGTCATCAGTTAGTAGGTAGTTTAATAAGTAAGGTTTTTCAAGTAAGGGGACGTGATCGCTTTCTCTATCATCAATCACCCACCTATCAAATCTTCTTTGGGGGTGACGAGTGCAACATCTTCTTACAACAAGCGCGTTTATAACACTGCGGATTCACACACCGTGGAATTCTTTGCACGATGATACGGTGGAAGGTGTTGTTAAAAAGCGGAGATGGTATCCTTTTACACTGCCAACCTTTTTTTTTCTTGCACGACACTGTGCTATGCTCCGATCTTTTTGCTTTTCTTTTTCGGAACAGTATCCGAGTCATTGAGTTTTTTTTGAGAGGCGCCTGCGCGATGAAAAAGTAATGCTCGAGCCCCCATCTCTCTCTGCAGTGGGTGTGACACCGTAAATCCCACCAACCTATCACTCTTTCGCTCTTTCTCCCCACATGCAGAGTTGTAACAGTGCATACTGCGCTCTCTCAATGTGGCATTCCTATCATTATTCTCTCTCCTGCCAACTGTTTTTCTTTTATGCAAACACTTTACACTATCTGTTTAGGAACAGTTGCTGATCACGCCGGGTACATTATTGAATGAAGTGACAGTCCACTCGATCCGTTTGTACTGGACATAGTTCGTGCGATCGGTGAAAAAGAATCGCGCAACAAGTCATTCATGAAAGGATTGGTGCTGCTCATGGCGCTGTCACCTTAGTCGGACGCGACACGCTTTCGCTGCGAACAGCCACGCACTTAATACCTCGATTCATCACTCATCACCTTGTCTAACGTTAGCGGTATCAAAGGTATTGCTATCACCTTGCTCAACCATGTGTCAACTTGCGAGTGCTCGAGTTGACGCTACCGAAATCACAGACGTGGGTGTATCACATATGGCGCGCATGACAGACTTGGCGTTGTAGTCATCATCAACAGACAGCAACAACATTAAACTCTGCGGATTAGATCATCTTCAAGTGAACTTTGAAAGTCGTGATAAACTTAATAAATAATAAGCTGAAGATGTCGACAAGGAAACAGACAGACAATACAGGATTTTAGTCTTAATTGGTACGGTTGTTTTTTTTGGGTACGACTTCAAAATAAATTTGGCACGATTTGAAAATAGAAATTGGTATGCATGAAATAAAACTTTTGGTACAAAGTGAATTTTTTATTTTGGATGAATACATAAGAAAAGATAACATGCAGTGGTAGCATTTACCTTAAGCCTAGTTCTTCATTATTGCACCTATCCCGGGAGGTCTCAGCATGTCTAACCCAAACTTGGCAGTCCTGAACAGTAACTGATCCGCAAGCTGCAGGAAGGCCAGATGTCAAAGTATCTGCCTTATCTAGTGGGTTTCTCTTGATGTTACTCTTTATTCCTGACCAGCATTCTTCGATCGGGTTTTAAAAAAAGAGGAGTAAGGGGGCATGAACAAAGGTTTATACCCTCTCTTGTTGAATAGAAAGAGAAAGACCGGTCAAAGGTTTCAAAGGGACTAGACAGTATCCACCATATAGCACGGAAACATTATACTCGAATGATCCAGTTCATGTAAACAACATCTGTAGAGCAATGAACGGCTATAACCCGAATGGGCTGACGTGATATGACGTCGTTTGTGAGCTCTTGATGATTATTTACGGCTGATGATGCACTTGGAATGGGTGTCTTGTCACTACTAGTTACATTGGTAAATAGAAATCCATGAAAGGAAAAGTATCTGGAACGGAGGGGGACGGGGGATGATAGCAGATAGTGATATCTCATCAGCAGGATGACTGGGCGTGTATTAGATTGGGATAGCGCAAAGGCCAAGCCAATGATCAAAGGGTCTCTGTACAGGGTTCGGGTCAATGTTGTTTATATTGAACAATAAATTGTTTGTTTGGAGTAAACATGTGCTGAACGCCGCAGCCAGCGTCTTCATGGGATCAGTGAGACATTGTAGAAAGTCTCGGCCATTGTTGTATCAACTGTCGTGGCGTGTGTAACGAAATAAAAACCGCTCTCTTACACGAGTATATGCCTACGGCAATCAGCGATTACCGATCCTCCAAGCCCGCAATGATGGATGTGGGCAGCTTAAAATAAATTGTAAAGAGCAGCATGGCTGTTTTCAGCATAGTATGCGCGTCATCCTAGAGCTACTATTATCCATACAGGCTGCTTCTTCAGGTTGATACTGTTGTTTGGTTTGCTCGCTTTATCAACCACCTCCCTCAGCGGTAGCGATTCAAAGTCAATCAGACGTGGTCGGCGTATGTGTGGGTGATGTATGATGTATGTGGGAAAAAAACAAAATACAAAAGAAAGGAGGATGGTCGGCTCGTACGAGAGTCATACATGCATAATCTTGGCCTTGCTTCTGAGCACATGAAAGTTGTGCCAACGATGTTTTCGGTTAGTCAAGGGGTTGAAAGGGGCGTAGCAAGCGAAACATACCATTAAACTGGTTCTCTCAGCTTAGAACAGCTTGCCTTAGCGCCGTTGTTGCTGGTGTGCATACCCTCCCAACAAATTTCTTTCCTTTCCATTATTCTCGCGAACAGAACTACGCGAACACAGAAGGTAAAATAAAAAGAAAAAAGATGGAAAAGGCGTACCAAAGTGTGATAAAGCGCGTTGTGATCGTGTTACTGTCGTCTGTCATTGTTCTGAGCTTTGTTGAGCACGGTCCAGGCCAGCGTTCTTTTTGGAAATGAACTTTTGCCCATAAAAAGACACCCATTTTCACGGAAAATGCTGTTTTTGGTAATTTTGTATCACAGTGATTGTTCTGCACACGACACGATTTTTAGTGGGATCCCTATGTACATCAGTGACGGTTGGTTACCTGGCTACATACTTTTTCAATTCCGCTCCTTAGCAACTTCATAAGCAACCAATCCCAAAACTGCTCACAGCAGCCTTTTTCTCCCGTTCTTTTTTCAAAA